GTGTGTGTGTGTGTGTGTGTGTGTGTGTGTGTGTGTGTGTGTGTGTGCATGAGTAACTGTATGTATGAGCTACTGCCTTATTTGCAGAATAGCACACACAACTCTGTTGAGGGCCCTTTTTTCATTTTCTGACTTGAGCAGGGAGTGTGGACTAATAGCAGAAAGTCCCTGCATTAGGAAGAGAAGAAGAACCAGTGGCTGGTCATGTGTAGATGGAGGGAAATGAGAAAAAGATGGATGGTCTGACACCATGGCATAGATCAGTAGGTTTATAGATGGGCGGACAGGTTGATCAGGAAGAAAAGAGGAGAGAAAAAGTGGGAGATGGAGGCAGGAACGTTGATGAGTGTGGAAGAAGAAGGGGCGTGCAGTGCTAATTGCTGGCTTTCGGATGCAGGGGAAAGAATGTGGGACAGACTTGCTGTAACCTTGGTAACAGAAACCTTTGCTTCAGAGTATATCAGGGGATTGTTAGTGTCTTGTCCCTTTTTTGGGCATCTCTGTCTCTCTCTCTCTCTTTCCCTCACTCACACACACACACCCACAGGGACTCTCCACAGTATACCAAGGCCTCTTACTGTAACACTTTATCTCATCTGAACTATAACTATAACTCTTACTTTAACCTAACTGTGACTTAATACTTACCCTAACAGGGTTCTGACATTAGAAAAATCTGTCATATAAAAGGGCCCTTTACTCATTTACAGGAAGACCCATGGATTGGTGGGAAGTCACTTTTGTCAGTCCTTGGAAAAAAATCCATTTAGAAAAAAAAAAGAAGACAAAAAATGTATTTTTATGCAATGTAATATATATTTATACACACACAGACAGACAGACAGACGGGACCCGAGGGGTTCAGCACACATGTATTAGGGCCCTTTGCTGCTCAGGGACCTTCAGCCAGCACTGATGAGACAGAGGGTTCACAGAAAGTCTGAGGTGGGGGGCTTCATGTTTATTCTGGATGTCACGGTTGAGCGATACCATCTTTTTTCTCTTTTCCCTCTGACTCTCTTCTCCTCTCCACATCTGTCTTCTGCCGTTGGCCCTAATAATGAGCAGGAAAATAAGCTGAAAACTCAGTGTGAGAACCCAGTAGTCTGGGTGTGGTGGCGTGTTCACACATCTCATGTGGCTCCAGGTTATTAATTGATTAGAGCTGATGGGAGGAGCTGCAACTGTCACTCCATTTCTGTGTGTGTTTGTACAGTAAGCACTGGTTGTTTTGTGGCAGGGCTTGAGCCAACCGTGAGCCTCTTTGCTTTGACAGGCTGTGTCATGTCTTGAATATATAACTGCTGGCTTGTCCTCCTTTCTGTTCTCTTTCCTTACTCACCACATAACAGCAGCTGCAGCAAGAGAGGTTTTCATGTTTCTGTTCCGTTTGATAAATGCTGTGTCGTAGCCTTTTCTAAAACCTGTATTAGTTTTTACGCCCCTCCAAGAGCTTGGGTGACGCTGCTGCTGAACAGCAACGTTTAATCTAGTTCTCTCTGCCTAGATGAGGAGCGAGGGGAGGACCGCGCTCGCCACCACGATGACAGGCTGCTGGCTGGCCGGCTGGATCGAGAGCAAGAAAAAGTGATCAGGTGAGGGAGGGCGGCTGATGAAATTCTGAGCAAAGCTGTCACCATGAATCAAAGTGGCAATGATAGTGGCAAAATAAAGGCAAGGATATCTATTTTTCCTCATGAGATGTACTCCTAAGGCAGTATTTCTCATCTCTTACCAGAGAGTCCAAGAATCTGCCTGAGTTTACTCAGATGCACCCTGCCCCTCTGTCTAGCGGCTTGACACCCAGCATGATGACGCCCAGCCTCATGACCCCCAACCTCATGGTCACAGGAGGGCCTCCTCTGGCAGGGGCGGGGAGGTGGCCTCCAGACCCCTCAACTCTGACCTCTCACCCCTGGATGCCCCGGCCTGGAGCCCCTCCAGTCTGGCTCTCCAGCTCTCCTTATGGTAAAAGCGGCTGAAGTCGTTTTATTAACTGCTGGAGGCATATAAATAGGTGTTCCTAAAACCAGACTTTACATGCCTCATGAGCCTTTCACCCGATTACAAAATGAGCGATTTATTTTTTTAGGACTTACACCAGGAGAGCAGTTATCAGTTGTACTTAAGAGCTGAAATACGAAAAGAAAAACAAACACATTAGAACTGCCACAGAGAACGGCAGGTCGGTATGTTCGGCCCGGTGGAAAAGGGAGGCGATGTCTGTCTGCGCAGAGCTCTGTCCAGCAGCAGGCTCTGGGGGTCATGTGCCACAGACAATCCTGAGTTTTGCAGGACCCTCTGGCCTGCATCTCCAATGAAATAACAGTATCAAAACACATATTATCACTCACTTATTTACACTTACATGGAACATCTGAAAATGGGGGACTGAGAGACGGAGCTCCCCAAGGACTTCTTTGTCTAGACACTGAGGGCAAAAAAACAAAACAAATCCTCTAAAAAATAAGCATGAATGTAGCGTGTGTGCACCCAGATGTGGCTCAGTTATGCTGTCAGTGTGGGTGTGAATACTGAATAAAGGATAACACTTGAATTTAGTTCTTCTGGGAAAAAGAGGCCCCTCTGTTCATTTTCTTGTTTTCAGTGAGCATGTTCCACACTTATGTCTCAGTTTTCCTTTTTTTCCCCCCTCTCCTTCTGCCATTAAGGCCTGGGTCCCTCTTCACTCCACCAGACCCTCCCCCCAGGCTACCCACCCTCTTTGCCAGGCTCCATGCCTCCTCCCTACCAGTTTGCCAGGGACCCACAGTCTGGACAGCTAATCGTCATCCCGACCGAACACCTGCCACATTACGGTAGGATAGCTGGTGTCTCTGTCTGTGTACATATACATCTATAGTATGAACGTAAGCACCTTCAGAATTGAGAGTGGGAATGATCTCTACATTTTTAAACAGACGCCGGTATTTACTGAAAACACACAGCGTCCATATGGTACCATGGATCACATGCCAGTTGTTGTTTTTTTTCAGGAAAGTGTTGTGATTCAGTTAAAATGGGATTGGTTTTAAACTGAAACATAAAGGAAAATGCTTTCTTTCTTTCTTTCTTTCTTTCTTTCTTTCATTTAAAAAAAAAAAAGGATTTATATGTTAACCCTCGTTTACTCTTCCTCGTGGCCGTTTCTGTCATGCTTCAGGGGGGGACCTGCTGGAGCGTGGAGCCCCGGTATGGTCGAGCGTGTACGGTACAGGCAGCTCTCTGCAGCATGCAGCCCAGCTCCAGCTCCTCTCTCAGCAGCAGATGCTCCGGCAGCAGGAGCTCCTCATGATCCAGCAGCACACGGCACAGGTCCTGGAGCTTCAGAGGAACGCCCAGCTAGTTGTAAGTGGGCTCAAAACACAGCATGACGTGTATGCTCAGCGTGCTTGGAGCCGTGGATAAATAACACCCCCAAAAAACAACAAAAGAATCGATTCCCACCATGCAGTAGCAAAGAGAAAAGAAAATTGTACAACACACAATACGTTATTAAAAATACAGTTAAAATCTAAATGAAGCCCTCACAACAGAAACGTTTATGCGGTTATAATATTTATACAGACATAAACGGCTCACCTCCTCTGCTGTGTAACAGGAGCGTCTGAAGGCCAGTGAGCACCGGCCAGAGATGGAAGACAAAGCAGAAAAGCGTGGCGCTGACCACAAATCCCGGCCTTCCTCGTTGTCCTCCCCACTACCGTCGCCCATCCTGCATCCCTGCAAACCCCCCCCTCCATCTCGGTCACCAACCCCATCTACGTCCTCCCTCACCCCGCTGCCTCCCATCCCCTCTCCGGTGACCGCCCTCAAGTCAGAAGAGGGAGGCCAGAGAGTCCCGTCTCGCGCTCCCAAGCCCCTGCCTCTACCGGCGTCTCCCCGCTCAGCCTCTCCCCCCCCGTCCTCGCCGCGGCAGCCCAAACAGGAGTTGGCAGAGGAGGGGGAGGTGAGACGGAGGGAGCAGAGAGATGGGCACAAGGCGCCTGCCGCAACCTTTCAAGGATTGTACTCTGGTAAGCATTGTGAAACCCAATAAAGCTAAATCAGATCAGTTTCTCTAAGCCCCCAGATTGAGAGTTTTCCACACATCATAGGTCTCACCAGAATGTTTTTTGCAAATGATAAATTCCACCCGTGTGCACGATATTGACATGCTTGTGTATTCTCTGCGTTTCTGTTGTGACAGATCTCCCTCCAGGCTACCCTTACCAGTCCATCACCGCTCCATACGGCTCACCTTTCCCCTCGTATCACATCCCAGCACCCCCAGCCGAAAACACACAAGCACATCGGCCTTGTTCTCCCGCCTCAGAGGCCGCTCTGCCCTCAGCCCACCACCACTCCCGACTTCTGGATGCAGATATCAAGCCGCAGAAAGTAGAACCATCAAAGGTGGGGTCTTTCCTCAAGCAGGAGCCCGTGGAAGAGCAACCTCGGCCCGAAAGGACCCCGGGGCTGCTCGGTCCTCTCGGCCAGGACGTACAGGCAGACGAGCAAGCTCCAAAGCACCAACCTCAGCCGCTACCTCTGCTCGCCTCCAGCCCTGCGATGCCACAAGGCAAGGGGGCGGTGGAAGTACGAAACAAAGAGAGGGAGGGAGGTCCAATCAAAATGGAAGTGTCTTCTTACTCATGCCAGGCAGCTTACACCCCACCTACCCCAGTCACAGAAGCTGAATCGAAACTAGAAGTCACCAAAGAGCCAGAACGAACGCAATATCCATCTATCCACACTGCGGATTTGGACAAGCAGGAGGTGTCTCCAATGTGTGTGTTATTAGAGCAAACCACCAACGCCGTGTGTGAGGGGACGCCTGACCCGCTGATGAGACCGCTCTCTCCCAGTCAGAAAGAAACTATCTGCGAACTTCACGTCTATCCTCCTCCACCTTCCAACACTCTACTTCCGCTTGTCATCGCTTCAGAGGATCCAATGGGGGGGATGCTCGCCCTGCTCACAGCCAGTGAGATGGTCCATGCCCTGCCCAGCACCCCACCCACCCCCACACTCACATCAAACGTGGAGATTTCAGACTGCAGCGGTGCGGGGCCTCTGGAGATGGTGGCACTGGAGGGGATGGCCATGCTGAGCCAGATGGCCCAACAGGAAATTGAGCACATCAGTCAAGAGCAAGGCAAGCTGCCACTAAACCCCCCCGAAATTCTGTCATTTTTCTCTCAATATCCATCCTATGATATCAATTTCTTTGAATCCCCTTCAGATCTGACATTAGAGGGTCTAGACTGCCTGCTCGAAGCAAGCAGACAAATTCTGTTGGAGGCTATTGAGACGCAGTCCCACATTGATCTGCCAAGAACGCTGGATCCCAACAGGAAGTACAGCTGGAGGCAGAGGAAAGAGGAGCCAGTAAGAAGACCGACGCCCACAAATTCAAACCTGGCACTATGTGCAGAGTTCTGACTTTTTGCACGTGTGTGTCCTGTTCTCGTGTCTCCGAGCAGCTGTACAGTAAAATGTCTGTGGACATGTTGGATGCCGTGGAAGTGGAGTACCGCGTACGCCTGGCCGAGCTACAGAAGACGTTTAAGGAGAGGCAGAGAGAGCTGAGCAAGCTGCAGAGGCGCAGTGACAAGCGGTAAGAGATGTGTTACTCATGCTCTTGTAAAAGGGTAGCCTTTCCAACCTTGGCGAACACACCTCTAACTCTCTGATGTCATGTGTCAGTGAGCGGCTGCAGGAGGATGAGAGGAGAAGCCTGACCAGACGGGGCCGAGGAAGACCCAGGAAGAGGAAACACTTGACCACACCTCCCAAACTGGACAGCAGGCCTGGAAAGTAGGTGTTGAGTTCAGAGTCCTTTGGGTATTTTTGTTCACTCTCATTCAGCTGGAGTAAATATTAATATTTAACATTAATGATTAATATGAATATTTACATCCCTCAGGATGAGCAGGACGGTGCAATACTCGGAGGACTCTGAAGCCGGGGAAGGACAGAGGAAAAGGTTCCGTGCCTCCAGAGATGAAGAAGAGACAGAGGCAGGAAGTGGAGGGCTGAAGATGAAAAAGAAAAAGAAGAAGAAAAAGAGCTGGAGTGAGCCGTCCACCAGCCACCCTCTGGAGGTGAGTTACTCAGACATGCACGCTTGGATATCGGCCAAAATGTTATGCATTCCTTCTTACTTATGACTTTCCCCCCCCCCTCTTTTAGATGCTTAAAGCAAAACGTGGACACATGTGCGAACAGGAGCAGCTGGCCTCCGACCTGGACAGAGCGCTGTCACTCTCTCAGCTCGGCTCTCTCGGCGCATCTCGCAAGCTTACATCCAGCACAAAATTAGAGAAGCTGAAAGGCAAATCTGCTGAAAGCAGACTGAAGGAGCGAGGCCTCCACTCCTCGCTCAAAGGAGGGAAAGCCAAGATGGAAGCAAAAGCGTCCACTTCAGAGATTTCCAGGAAGGTGAAAGGTCAGAAGAAGACTCTGATGTTCTCTCCCATGAGATCAGAACTCAGCAGCTGCTCCAACAGTGAGTAGATTGAAATATATACTGATGTGGTTAGATCAAAATGAAAGAGGCCAAAGAACACATCCGTCAGTATCAGTGGCCTGAGTTACAGAGTGCAGATGTTTGCTTTTAGCTGATGGCAGCAGAGGAAAGCAAGTATTAGCACAAACATATGTATTTATTTATTTATTTATTTATAAAACATTCAAATCAGAGAAAAACTTTGACACAACTTAATAAAAGCTTTTTTTCTCAGACCAGTAAAAAGAGGAAAGAAAAAAAGAACGTTCCAGTACTTTGTTGCAGTTGCTCTGGCTTTTATCACTGTGGTATTTCTTTGAGGATTTCACCATAGCCAAGACAGGCTATATGAGGAATGAAGATTATAATGGAGCTTTTTTTACTCCAATTTTCTACCATAAACTTATAAAATCAGACCATTACTAACAAAAATTTCAATCGCTTCTGAATGAAATGTATTCATCTAATTTTCTGAAAACTTTTCCTTGGTCCTTAAGCTGACATCGTCCCCATGCCATCAATAACTGTGGAGATGTGCTCGTTCTGTTCAGGCATTCATCTTTCTGTGGCTGAGTCATCCTCTCCAGTGCTGATAGATTATTCATCATGAATCACTTCCATCCATTCATCCACAGTCCAAGACCACTTTCCCCTTAGCCCACTGTAACGTGATGGCTTACATTTGGCTTTTTAAGCTTTTTCTTCAGTTTTTATCACAAACATTGACTTCTATTTCGGCTCAATTGTTTTGAATCTATTATGCATTCCATTCTGCTTCTTTGACATCTTTAGACCTGCATGTTTCTTTTTTACAACCAAACCCATTTTGTTTATATTCTCTCTTAAACAAAAACGGTGGACTGCCAACAATTGTCCGAAGTGTCCCACTCAAAGCTGAATTACATTCTTAAAAGAGGTTTATAGTCCTTTACATTTCCCTATGTTAGCGGGGCTAAATGGTTCTTTAGACTGTGAAGAGGTTTGGATTAGGAATTTCAGTCACTAAATCACTAATATCAACAAAACCCAACTCAATTATAACACCTAAAAATCTAATTATTTTAAGTATGTAGCACAAAGCCAGAATACCACTTGGCATATTTTTTTCTAGATAAAATAACACATTTTCTAAAGACGGTGGTTTCAAAGTTCCCGCCTGGGATGTTGTGCACACAAACTGTAACATCCTCTTCGGGTCTTAAATATTTAGAGTTTATGTTTCTAGTTTTTTAGTATAGTAAAAGCCTGTTTTTGCCTAGAAGGCTGTGATGTTGAGGTTAAGCAGAGCTCCTTTTGTGTCTGACTCTTTGTTTTAATCCTATTGCCCTCATGAATCATTCACTGCACTTTCTCCACATCAGACTCCGATTCAGAGGAGCACAATTCCGCTCGAGGGGGCTGGCCTCCTCTCTCTGGGACGCGTTCCCACGGCAACCTGACCAGGAAGAGGCGGTCCCCATCTTCTCCGACGTCCCTGCTGTCCAGCCAGAAGTCTCAGAAGAAGAAACACAAGCACTTATCGCTGCTGCTGGAGGAGGCGGGCCTCAGCTCCTCTGACGACTCCTTCGACCAAGGTTACTGATCAAATCTTACAGCTCCAAGCCTTTTACTGTTGAGTCAGGCCAAACTGTGTGTCTGAGCCTCCTCACAGCTTGTGTCTTTTAAATGCTTTTTGCTAAGGTAGCCGTTTTCAGACTGTGCTTTAGCTCAACAATACCTACCTCTCTTGCTGCTGGCTTCTCTGCAAAGTTGCAGGGTTTTTTAAAAATCTTTATTTTGTTTTTTAATCTGTTTTTCAGTTGTTTTTTTAAATTTCATTTCCAAGTTTTCTATGGAGTTTTTTATTGCCTGGATTGCAAATTGTTTTGTAGCATTTTGTACAAAAAGTGTGTGAATTGTGAGTTTTTTTTTTTCTTTTCTCCGCCCCATAAAGTTGTATTGCAGTTTGGTGCCTACAAGCTTTATTAAAGGTGTTGACGTGATGGGTACAGATTGCACATTGCTGTGGTCTTTGTGTCTGCTTCATCTGTTTGTCCGTTTCTGTCCGTCTGTCCAGCTGCCACTGCACCTCACACATCCTTTAGAGTGCTCTTTTCGTCAAATATCCCTGTAAGTGTAGCTCTCCTGGCAAAGGTTGCACTGTTGGAAAAGCTAGCAGCAGATTAGCTCAGAGGACACGTCTGAACCTGATTGGACGGATTGGTTGTCATCTTGATCAGTGTAAATAATCATTAAATAAATAGATCTTTTATGCTAGTTGGCTTCTTTTTGAGGTGGCAACATTTATAGCAGACCCATTGTTTAGTGTTGATGTGGCTCCATGTGCTTTGTGGGTGGAAGTACATGGATGGAGGGTGGTCAGATTCGGGGGGATATTTGCACAACAGAGCTCCACCTGTGTGTACTAAACCTTCAAATAACCCTTTTCCCTGCTCTCTCAGACACCTTGCTCTGTCCTCTCACCTTCCTTTCCCTCATCTGTTAGCCCTCAACGCTCCCCTATCCTTTCCTACCCATGATGCTTTGAGTGTCTCTCAGCCTGTTCCATGTGCTTGTGCTGCTGCTACTGCGACATTACAGAAGCTTGGCGAGGACTAGCGCAGCCTTGAGCCCTCACTACCTCGCCACTGCGAATCCCCGCTGTGGCTAAGGCTTTGCTTGAGCTAGGCTGTGCTAAAGCCAGGCTTTGCTAAGGCTAGGCTGCGCTCTGGCTGCTGCGCTGCCTGAGGCCACACCCCTGTCACCTGCTCTGTAAGTAGGAAGTGCCCCTCCCTCTATTCTTCACTGAACACTAACATGGACTATGCACAAATTGAACAACATACACAGAATGTGAACGTTTATATTTAAAAAAAAAATAAATAAAAACTAAACATGCAATTTGAAGCCCCCTGTCTCCCTGATGGCTTGCAAAAGTTTTAAAGGGGAACTTCCTGTGCTCTTAAGGGAACAGAAGTTGTAACCATGGCTGCTTGGAGCAAATGTGAGCATTGTACCAAGGGGCCTCACAGGGCTGTCCTCTCAGTGCCTGCTTGTTGTAACATCTGTTTGCTACCTTTAACATACCGTGGATTCACAGTACAGAGCAAACACTTCTTCATGTCACGAGTCTAAACAGAAAAGAATGGATCACTTGAGGCCTTGTAAAAATGGTTAAACCTCTGACCCTTGACCCTGACTGAAGCTTAAAAAAGCTTTTTAAGCTCAACTTTGAAGTCGATTTTTGTCAAAATTGCTGTGTAACGCTTAGCGTATTTGCATACTGTGCATCCACGCTCACTGTTAACTCTAACGTCTGAGGAGACGCTCTTCCTGTTTGTCGCTGGCCATGCAGCTAACTGCTAACTACCCGCAACACTAAACTAACCAGCTGCACACCCCGGTGTGCGTGTATGTGTGCGTTTCCCTGCCCTCCTACGCAGCTGTACAGTGCTCCAGCGTGCCTCCTCACGCTCCACTGTTGTTTCCCAAATCCCACTTGTTAAGAAATGTGTGTCTGTGTGAGAGTGTGGAGGAATGGTTGCTTTCAGTGTAATCCTGGGACGTTTTCCCCCCCCTCTCTGTATGCTCATCGTCTGGATGGTGCGACCTGCAGGCAGCTGTTAGAAACCATGTGAAGTGATGTTGGATGCAGACGTACACTAGCGCCATGTTTGCCTCTGAGCTGACGGTCTACTTTGTGACGCAGAGACCTCAGAGGATGAGGAAGAGGAGGACGAGTCCGACTCGGACAGCGGCGGGTGTGAGGAGAGCGGGCTGGGAATGCTGGCGAGGTTTGCGGCGAGCGCGCTCCCCGTGAGCTCGGCCCCCCTGAGCCTCCTTCAGGAGGGGAAGCTCTGCAGCAGGCAAAGCACTCTGGGTAAAACACACAAGCTTGTTGGACTTGTGTTTCTGTAAAATGGCTGAACGGATATGATACCCATTGGGTTTTTTCTTAACATTTGCTAGTACATAGGCAAGTTTCCAAGACTTTTTGGAGGGTTTTTGTGAGAAGAAAATAATTTTCCCATCGTTTACCATCAGGTTCATCGGAGTGCGAGTGGTCGGACTCCGGCTCAGACCTGAGACTCAGGAAGTTTCCCTCTCTGCTGCACGGGAAGCGCTCGGCCCCCGAGCTCCCCCTCCTGCCGCCGGCCACGCGGCGCCTGGAGCAGACCGGCTCCGCCAAGCGGGACGAAGCCCTGCCGGTCAAACGGAAGCCTCTGATGAAGCCGCGCCCCAAATCCCGGTCGCCGCGGAGGTTCAGCTTCGACCTGGCCTCCGGCTTCAGCGAGGATGAAGGCTGGAATCGCCGCCGCAGCGAGAGGATTTTCCTCCATGACGCCACGGCCTCAGCCAGTCAGCCGTCTGCGTCCACCTCCTCCTCCTCAGCCACACCTCTCACCCCGAAGCCCGCCTCCAGACCCAAACCCACTACACCCAGCAGAGAGGGGAAGGATGTGGTGAAAGTATGCCAATCATTAATCTGTTTGATGCTTAAAAGAAAAAAAATCCCTATCTGATGAGTCTTTGTCTTCCCATCCTGCATCACCTTCCAAAAAATTTCTATAAGCATTGTTACTCACTTAAAACTCCTTATCCCTTTAGCTTTCCTGACATATTGTGTATATCAGAGTGCCGGCAGGTTCCTTCACTGTAGTACTGCCCCGCTGTCTGTCTTGCCTTGTTGACATGAAAGGACAACTGCAGGCACCACATGTATGGAAAGATTTAAACCTGTCCAGCCGAGCCGGGCTGCCGTCCTTTATTCACCTTGCCTGTTCTTTTGTTTGTTCTTTTTCCTCTTGTGCTGCGACTTGACAATCAGAAGAAGAAACCTAAGGACCCACCCCTGCCCCTGAGCCCGTCGACCCTGTGCAGCCCGGCCACCGATGGCGCCGCACCCCCGAGTCTGAGCCCAGCATGCAAGAGCCAACCAAAGGCCAAGAGCAAAGCCAGAGAGGTCAGCTGGGTGACGACGAATTATTTACAAAGTGTTTAGACATATGACGATACTACTCTTGGTTTGGACACCTGTAAGGGCCCCTGCTGCTCCGCAGTAGGCAAAAGCCTCAAGAGTGCAGCCGTTAGCTTCCAGTGCAGCTGGTCACACCCATTTTTTCCCCTATTCTGCATTAGTTTTCTGAGCAGTATGCGCTCTTGCAGCCTTCCAGGGGCGCCGTGAGCCGGCTGATGGAGAGCATGGCCGCCGACGAAGACTTTGAGCCAAACCAAGACAGCAGCTTCAGCGAGGACGAGCTCCTTCCAACGCGAAGCAACAGCGTGTCCGAGAGGGCGTCCACTCCTGGTCGGTATCCAAAACAGAAGCAAGGGCACTCGTTCCTGTCGCGTGTCAAATAGCAATAGCAGTTTTCCTGATGTTTTTCCACGTTTGGTGTGCTCAGCTCCAGTGCAGTGCGTGCTCGATAAGGATTCTCTGGTGGACGGACTAAGAGTTTTGATACCGATGGACGACCAGCTCCTTTACGCCGGCCACGTGAACACCGTGCACTCCCCTGACATGTGAGTGCACGCCTCATTTCTCTATGCTTCGCTTCCATGGAGCCTTACATGAAGGATAATGATGAAAACGCAAGGTTTGATCTGACCCAGCATGTGTAGCTGAACATGATCTAGTATGTGTAAATGAAAAGGAAACAAAGCAGAATGAGACAAAGTGCCAGCCCGTAAAAGGCTACCCATTCTGCTGCCCGTTGCACAGCAAAGCGCTCAGAATTAAGATAGGAGCCGAGCACTGCTGTCTGTCTCTGGCAAAAAAAAAAACGCCTTGTACCCTGGAAACCGTCCAGAAAGCCTCAAACTTTTGACCCCTGACCACTCCGCCCACATTTCCTCCCCGCAGATACAGCGTGGTGGTGGAGGGCGAGCGGGGGAACCGGCCGCACATCTACTGCCTGGAACAGCTGCTACAGGAAGCGGTGAGCAAACGGAGCCCTGCCTCGTCTTACGCATTCAGGCGGCCTTATGTCATGTTGCGCCGTCATCACGGAGCCGCTGTTGTCGTGTGTCGCCAGATCATCGACGTGAAGCCGCCATCTGTGCGTAACCTCCCAGAGGGCACCCGCATCGCCGCCTACTGGAGCCAGCAGTACCGCTGCCTTTATCCGGGGACGGTGGTCAACGGTGCGGCCGTGGCACACAATCACACACCAAACGTCTGCCGCCGCCTGTTGATGCGCTGAATCACAAGAGACCATCTTTTTTTTATTTTTTTTATCCCCACACACAGGAAGTTCAGATATCGACGAGAAGGACGATCTTATCACAGTGGAGTTTGACGATGGTGACACCGGCCGCATCCCGCTGTCCCACATCCGGCTTCTGCCACCGGACTACAAGATCCACTGTGAGCAAACACACACTCACACTCAAGGGTTTGTGGATTGTTGAGTGGCAAAACTGTTCTAAAAGGGGAAAATGGAGGACGTTTTTACTTATATCATAATCAATCATATATTTGCATTCAATTTCACGGTAAAGTATAAATAAAACATTTTCTTTCTACTGGTGTGCGTTTGTAAATCTATGACTGCATTTTTCCCAGGCTAAATCTTTTCTAAGGCTGAAAGTGTTCACATATTTAACGGGGAAGAAAATAAATTCAGAAGTGGCAGAAAAATACAATTTTTTTTTTAAAGTTCTGGAGAGCTGGGCCCGCCAAAGCTCTGCACACCAGAGGCTCGTGTTAGCATTTTCTTTTTGATGCGTTTTCACGAGGGAGTGAAAGCAGCATCGGTGATGATTCCGTGCTTTACCCGACCAATCACAAGCTTTCGCACTTGTGGGTGCTAGTGGTTCGAAGTCCTGTGAGTCTCAAAGAAAATGTGGCGTGTCCAGGTGCTGAGCCATCCCCTGCGCTGCTGGTGGCCAGCTGCTCCCGGAGGAGGGTCCGCAAATGCAGCAAAGAGGGCAAAGAGGCGGGGACCAAGCCAGAGGATGCAGCACCCAGGATCAAGGGAAAACCGGGTCGCAAGCCCAAAGCCAAACCAGGTGAGGGTTGTGTGGCTTGTTGCTACGTGTTAATAAGCTTTACGCCCATCAGCCTACTGGGCATTCAAAGATTTTGTTTATCATTAGCGTCACAGTAGTCAGTACACTGTATGTACAGTCATACTAACAAACAGGTTCTGTTCAGTTTGTTGCTACATTATTTTTAACGTATACAATCACAGTGTCCATTCGGCGCTCAGATTCTTTTTGGTAATAATCTTTTTCAACCGATTGAAAACCCTAAACTTTGATCACAAAACCTTGACCTGCTGCTGTCCGTTTATTGGATTTGTTCAAACCGCTGCTCTGTTGTTCTGCAGCATTGTGGCATACAACATGTTGTTTGTCTGGTTTGCTGACGCCGACCGCCATCCGACTGGCTAAGCACTTCTTGAGTGTTGTGTTGTTGTTTTTTTTTGTCTCCAAATTGCTTTTCTTGCTGATTTGTCTTCCCTGCTCGGCATGCGAGGCTCTCAGACCACAAAAATTATGAACCCGCACAATGAAAATGTCAGCACATCCAGCATAAACCCAGCTGCACAGTGTATTGGCTCAAAAACTGAAGCGATTCAATTAACTTGTTTTTGTCCCCCCCCTCCCCCCCTCTCCCCAGAGGGTTCAGTGAACTCAGGTGGTCAGGAGAAAGTAGATCCTCCGCCTTGCTCCACCCAGCTCACTGACAGACCCCAAGCTCCTGTGAAGTCTCCCCAGGACAGGGCCTCCTCTGTCCAGAAAACTCACAAGGAGAAGCACCGGCCCGCATCTCGGCCAGCAATGGGAGCCCAGATTAAAACGGTCCGCAAAAGCTCCACCACGTCCCCCACAAGCTGTCCGGCGCTTCCCAGCCCGTTATCCAGGAAGAGCAGCTCAGCGCAGCCTCCCATTTGTAAATCGGCCCGCGCTCTCCCCCCGTCCCTCTACCCCTCAACCTATGGGAAGGTTCTGACCGTGGATCTGTACAGCGAGCCCAACCTCAGCTCGTACAACAGTCAGCTCCGAGAGAGAGAGGCCAACGCCTCGGTCAGTCCCAGCACCAGCAGGCCCGTGTCCAGGCCCAGCACCATCACTGCATCGTCCTCTGCGCCTAAGCCCAGCGCTGCGTCCACGCCCAGACCCTCCTCGGCTTTATCTCCCAAGACCAAGCACGGGTCAGAGCACCACGGCGGGTCCAGACCCAGCCACAGCTCTGGGCTCCTGCCCAGCCCCATCTCCAGGATGTCAACGGGCAAACCCAGCTCTTCTCTGACTCCGAGGCCCATCTCGTCGCTGTCGGCTGCTTCTGCTCCCAAGCCCAAACTGAAGATGCCGTCAGACCAGCTGTCCTCCAGGATCCTCTCCAGACCCAAATCCAGCTGTGGACCAAGTGAAGTGAGGCGCAAGTCTCTCCCCACAGAGCCCCTCGTCAAGCTCGACCACGAGGGCGTCACCTCCCCAAAGACCAAGAAGACCAAAGCTCTGATGCTGCTTGAGGGCCGGGGCGAGAGGCGAGACCACACCCCCATCGCCACGACCACAGCCAATCAGAAGCCGCTGAAGGTTAAAGCAAGAGCTCCAGACAGAGAGACCAGCCTGCCTGAAAAGGAGCCCGCATACAAAGCACCGCCTCCAGGCAAGGACAAGGGGGACAGCCGTGGAAGCAGCATCAGAGGGCAGGAGAAGGGCACGAGGAATGAGAAGACTAAAAAAGAGGAGAGAAAGGGGGCGGAGAAGAGAGAGGAGAGAAAGATGAAAGAGGAATCTCAGAGCAGCAGTAGCTCAGATTCAGAGGAAGAAGGGCAGAAAGGGAAGATCAAGAAGAAAAAATGCACCTCAAGCTGCTCCTCCTCCTCCTCTTCATCCTGCTCTGGGTCATCTTCATCCTCGTCGTCCTCTTCATCCTCGTCTTCATCCACTGACGACTCCTCCTGCAGCTCAGACGAAGAGAGGACTCCAACGCCTCCGCTGGGCCCCCTCCAAAAGCCTGTGGCTGAAGACAAACCTAAACAGGAGCTGAAAGAGGAGGAAGTGGGGGTGAAGAAGGAGGTGGAAGTAAAAGTGGAGGAAGAAGAATTGTCTCCCCATTTGGAGTGTCCAACCTCTCCAGCTCCAGCTGCCCCTTCTCCAAGTAAGCCTGCCAAACCAGCCACCGGAAAGGGCTCCGGCCAGAGAGGTCGTCCTCCCAAACCGAAGCCCAGCGGGGGAGAGGGGAAGGCGGGGAGACCTAAGCGGAGAGAGGGGGTCCACCTTCCCACAACCAAGGAGCTAGCAAAACGCCAGAGGCTTCCCAGTGTGGAAAACAGACCCAAGATTTCTGCTTTCCTTCCAGCCAGACAGCTCTGGAAGTGGTTTGGGAAACCCACTCAGGTGAGAAGAAAATGTCTTACATAACTCGAAACAAAAAAAAAAAAAAAATCCACCTTCAGAGTTCATCCAGACATAAACTCTCTCACTTCTCTGACTTTCTCCAGAGACGTGGTATGAAGGGTAAGGCCAAGAAGCTCTTCTACAAGGCCATCGTGAGGGGCAGAGAGATGATCCGCATCGGGGACTGCGCCGTATTTCTGAGCGCCGGCCGGCCCAACCTGCCCTTTATCGGCCGCATCCAGAGCATGTGGGAGTCTTGGGGCAGCAACATGGTGGTTCGGGTCAACTGGTTCTACCACCCAGAAGAGACAAACCCTGGCAAGAAACTTGCCGACAAGAAGGTGAGAGCCGACACGCCGGGATTCCGAGTCCTTGCGAGACTCTGCGAGGAGTAAGGCTTTTCGTTTACCAAAGGCTCCTTTTCCCCCACAGAACTGGGATCAGATGTGCGGCCAGTCTTTACCAGCAGCTCTTCACTCTTCCATCCAGAGGAAAGACTTCATGGAGGTGAGGAGAGAATTAGCTGGGATCTTCAAGGCAGCTGTAACATAAAAGTGTTATCTGCATGGGCAAAAAGAAAGAACAATGGTTTTATGAGTTGTTTTGGTTCTCTGGGGTGGTGGTGGTCATGTTAACCGGCCGGTGTGTCCGCCCCGCAGCGCGCCCTGTACCAGTCCTCCCACAGCGACGAGAACGACGTGCAGACCATCAGCCACAAGTGTCTGGTGGTGAGCGTGGACGAGTACGAGCAGATGACCCACACCCGCCGCTACGCCGACAGCGAGGACCTCTACTACCTGGCCGGGACCTACGAGCCCACCACCGGCATGATCTTCAACACGGACGGCGTTCCGGTCATCTGCTGAAGCTGAACGCAGAAACGCACTCGACAGGCTCAACCTGCGGTCTAATCACTGATTTTTAAAAACAAATTATTTTATTTTTTTACTCACGTTGGATCTTTTTAACACCTGCAATTTGAACAGACATGCTGATGGACCTAACTGAAAGGAGACTGTTCCGAGGAGGGGCTGGAGACACTACAGACAGTATTAAACGGAACCAGCCTCCCGAAGCATTTGCACACACAAACTTCACCAACACACACTCTTGTTTCGCTTGTTGTGTTTATGGGAAATTTTTCGAACAAGTAAGAACTGTTATGGTTTACCCCCTTTTTTAAAAATGTAAATACAATCACATACATAAACACACATTCAGTATGTATGCTCACACGTGCACAAAAACAATGTAAATACTCGCCCGGTATAACGCGCGCGCACAGGTATCTAAAGGAAAATATGAGTGTTTTTATTTTCATGTTATAGATTTTACGTCCGAGTAATTTTTTACTTTTCCGAAGAGGTAAACAGTCAAGAAGCTTTAATGTACTGTGAATGGTGACGCAGGAGATAGAGGCCTGTGTCGGTCCCTCTGTCCGTCCGTTAGCGGCGGGTAACGGACGCGGACACGCGCAGTTGGTGTGACGTTGTAATTATGATGTTGCCATGGTGATATTAGAGTCATGTTACGTTAGTATAAATGTTTGTACAGAACAGCACGAGCGACAGACGCGGGGAAAGAGACGCACAGAAAGAGATTCTTGACTAATCGCTATCCAACAGAAAGCACTTAACAAAACAAGAAACACTTCAAATGTATCTTCTCGTTATTTAACCCCTTTTACTCCCATGACAATCCTCACTCGGGCTAAGGCTCGTTAGCTCACGCGTAGCTAGCTAATTCGCGGCTAGCTGGTGTTTGCTAAAAAAATATATATATATATATATATATATAAACACATATATGCGTGACTCCCTCAAAGACTCAGGCAAAAATAATAAATAAAAGATAAATTAATCTTGTATTGTCGAAAACATCCAGTAGTATTTGAGTTCCTTATTCTAAAGGAAGAACACACAAATCAAACCAGCTGCAGTGATTCTGGCTTTTAACAGATTGGAGACTTTTCTTCACAGCTGCATGATGTGGTGCCTTTTGGCAAAATCTTTGGAAATCTTTTTTTTTTCATATTTTGAATTTATAGAGATCATATGAGTCCCAGTGGGTGGAAATTCCTTTATTCTTTTTCTTTCTGGGCTGTAAACGCTGCAGTCAATCTCAGACACACCAAGGTCATGGCTGACAGTCACCGTGGAGCTGTCAGCGCTGACCCCATCAACATAACTCACTTTTAACACTCACCTCCCACACTTTTGGCTCGAACCGCTTCTTTTGTTCACAGCGTTTGCAGCCTTGAAATGACTTGCATTTGGTTATGCTTTGGGTTTCAGTTTGCTACTGCATCTTTGAGGAAGTTCATCTCTACCCACCCCCCCATTGATTTGAGAACACTTGTCTGGTGATATGTCTTCCCAGAATATCTTTTAGATTTCTTCCCCCACACTTCACCCACAGCAAGCACACCAAGCCGCATCCCGTCGAACACATTTCTCCCTGTGTTTTTTTTTCAATCTGCTTGTTTAGTTGTCTTGTTTGTTTTGTTTGTTTAGAGTGAGACTGTTGAATGTCCCGCTCAGGTTTGTGAGCGTTTTGGGCAGCCTTACTCTCACAGGCCTTATGATGATGATCATTTGCCAAACCTCTTCTATTTGCACCCCCCTTAATCCCCTGTGTCTTCAGATGCAGTGAAAGAATCAAACATTCTCCCGTCTTCACCATTAATCCCGATATTAATGTGTATATGCTCACTATCAGATGTATCAGTATCTATATACAGGGTATAATGCGTGCATGTATACAGCATATGGTACACTGTGTATACATGATATATATATATATCTGACTATTAACCATGCTGCCCTCTCTTTGCTTTGCTCTGCCTTGCTGCAGAGATTGAAGATTGTCTTGTTGATATTCAATAGGTTTAATATTTTCTACTCTCTTGAGTCCTTATTGGTTTCGTCTACATTTGTCTCGATGGTTTTGTTTTCTTTTTGGTTTTAGAGAACGATCAAAGACGTTAAGGCGGCGTTTTCTCGTCAAATGACGGGATGTCTGTCCATATAGTTGCATTTCAATGCTCATTTACGGATCACTTACAAATAATAGCCATCCAGAAAAGATAAATTAGATCATATGCTGCTAATCTATTAGTATTTAAAGTGGTTTAACCAGGTACAGAGTGATTATGTGATGACTAAAATGTTACCCACTAAAGCCCCACATTTCCCATATATGCTGCTCCTACCCCCCCCCCGCCCCACCCCCCAAGTTCAGGCGTTTTTGAGTGACAGGAGGCTAAAATGGACCCTCGCTCAGCATCTGAGCGTGGTGGACACACAGGTCGGCGGCGTTTGCAGAGTGAACAAGTTAAAGTGCCCGTTATGAACGTTTGTTTACCCCCGGAGCTGCTAAAGCACTTTTCTGAGTGTATGCATATGTGTGTGTGTGTGTGTGTGTGTAGTAGTGGACAGAGTTAAGGAGACTGATGAGACATCACTCTCTTATCTCCTGATACCACAAACACACACATACATGCCTGCACACCCTTCTAACCTTTTAAGGTGTGTTTTCTCACCTTCCCATATACACCCCCCCCCCCACGCACACACACACACACACACACACACACACGCACACGTCTCCATCCAAAGCCCAGCCTCTGGCCTTCGAACAGGGTCCAACACAGACACACTTATACCCCACACTGACTTTTTCTTAATTCATTTTTTGTCATTTGTTTTAGGGACCTGACTGTTTAAAGTATGCATTGCGTTTATGGCCGTTTGCATTTTCCTTTAGTAAGGCGTTGAAATGTTTGATTTTGCTGTGATTATTTTTTCTTGATGTCTGTTTTGTTTTGTTTATTTCCCCCTTACTTTCCTCCTCTTTTCAATCATCCATGCCTCTCAAGCAAATAATGCTGACAGGCAACTGGGAGCTAGCTGCTAGACACAAAGAGAGAGAGAGAGAGGCTCTGGAGAGAGAGCTAAAGAGAGAATGAGAGAGAGAAAGAGAGAGAGAGGTGGACTGGAGGCTGGTTCTTCGTCTGCTGTTCCTTCAGTATCGTTATTGTCCTGTTACAGAGGGAAAAAAGATTATTTTGAAAATAAATAGAAAAAATCATCTAAGTTTTGTAAATGATCCTTCACTGTCGAGGGGAGAAAAGCTATCAGAATATACTTTGTACACATGTCTAATCTTGTAAAAATTTAAAAAAGAATACATTTTAGAAAGAAATCTGAAATTAGTTATATTCTGTCACTATAATCTGTGTAAGGAACCTCGTTTCTTGTTGGTTTTTTTGTTTGTTTTTGTTTTTTTACAGACAGCAACCACGTTTTATTGGTGTTTCTTTGAAATTGTTTTAGTAAGTCAATATTTTATAGTTAATCAATAAACGGATAAAACTGTCACCTCGTTGTCATCTTTTGGGGGTCATGAAAACTCAAGAAGTTTTTCTGTTTTCTACCACTGGTGCTTTGGAAAGTATGCGTGCAGCTTCTTAAAAATAGGAAGACCACCCTGTATTTAGAGGCTTTAAAACAAAAAGATCTCCATATTTACAAATCCGTTCTATGGACAGTCACACTTTCCCACAGAAAGCACGGCTTCTAAAAAGCCGGGAATGCCTTTTTGTCCGTCCAGGTTTCTCTTCTGCTCCCTATCTACATCACAATGAAGCACATTTGAATAATTTCCTGCTGAGCGACCAGTTGAGCATAACTCAAACTTCAGCAACCTCCTTTAGGGGTGGGAAGAAAAAAAAGGAAAAGAAAAAAAAACCCTCACAGCCACAAAGGCCCAAAACCAAAATTTCCTCCAAAGGAAATACCCATCCATTCTGCAGAGATAAGTTCCCTCCTTATGAGAAAGGGTGTCTCGGAAGTAGTGGTAATCTACTCCCTCAACCAAGAAATTAGAGGGCGTTTGGATGTGTATGTGGCCACTGCTTTTTGATCCCAAAAAGAAAAGGGACATTATATCCTGCAAAATGAACAGGATTAACACCAATGGATGGATTTGGGACAATGCTTAATCTGATTTTGATGGGTAGAAGTTGATTCAACGTGACGGAAGCCTGAAAATTGGTCTCAAAAGCAAAGGAAGCAGCTCAGACCAGGCTTTGCATGGGGATGGAAGTTGTTTAAGAATGTAGAATAAACATTAAAGGAAGTAGACTTTTTTTTGTTTCCCCGCCTTTGTGGAGAAGAACCCTAGTAGTCATCCTGATTTGGGTTAACAGCCTTGAATTTAGGATGATCAGTATATTTAAAACTGCTGATGGGTTCTTTTTTCTTCTCCTGTCCCCTTGTGAATCATCATTACTTCTGCTGGAAGCATTTCTTGTTCTCTCTGAACAACAAGCTCAAGCTGTTTGTTTCCTATTTCCAGACCCAGAAATGGGAAACTCTCAGCTATCTCACAGGAAAATAGGAAATGGGAAATCTCTGAGCTTACTTAATGTGTTGCCAGCAGAAAGTTTACCGTCTGTCCTTCAAACTTTATCAGTGCCTGCTGTCTTTCTTTTAAAAGACAATCAAAAAACAATCTACATTTATTAAGATGCCAAAAGAGCACAGGTTCAGCTTGTTGTGGAGGTTTTGCTCTGTTTCTCCTGAGTTACCTCCTTCACTCTCACCGGGAGAAGCAGCCGTAATAGCTGTTTTTTTTTCTGCTTCCCTCTCTTCTTGTTCAGGCTTGTGTGGGCGGCTCCTTTAATCAATAGTGGACTCCATCAGGCCTCCATTTTGGCAGCTCGGTAATGAAGCTGCTGGTCGTGATAAAATGGAGGAAAGTTCAACTTCCTTTTATTTGGCTGCCGAACTGACCGCAGGAGAAACATTTTCTGAAGCTGACCATTCGTCACTCGTCCCTCAAAGATTCAAGAGGGACGTGTGTGTGTGTGTGTGTGTCTCTCCTTCTCTCTCTTTTGAATTCCTGTGTGTTCATGTGTAATTAAATCTTTGCTGACACACACTGTGTGTGTGTGTGTGTTCCTGCTTGGCGGGGAGAGCTGCAGTCAGGGGTTTGGACACCTCTCCCTTTCCTCCAAAGGACCAGCATCAGCATAACATCAGAGCCTGCTGGGAGCTGCCCGGGATGCACACTCACGCTCGTGCACTCTCTCCCTCACGCTTCAGCATCGCCCCACACATCCTCCTGTGGGTGTGTCAGCATGCCGCGCTCCCATTGGACCACAGCGCAGAAGCCGAGGTGTCCTATTGGCCCGGACGTCATCGCATCTTCAACATGGAGGGGCGAAGGAGCTGAAAGGCAAGTGTGTATGTGTGTGTGTGTGTGTGTGTGTGTATAAGTGAGTTTGAACTCATTACTTCTGGATCCACCAGCTCTCTCAGCTCTTCCAGGCAGACGTGTGCATTGCGCACAGTTTCCCTGGAGACAGGTTGGGGAGTGCTCAAGTGCATATTGAGCACGGCAGTTTGAAAGGTTTGTTATTCAGAATGGATCTTCAGACTTCACTGCCGTGTTTGTCCCTCAACTCTTCGCTCTTAGTTGATTTTTTCAATAATAACTATCTGTGGAGGCTTTTTAGATAGATTATGACAACGCTCACTGTAGATTTATGGTTGATTATGGAATGTTTGGTATTTCAACGCATGCGCAGGAAGGAAGCAGCATTCTTTTGGAGCACATGCTCCACATAAAACAAGGTCGAAGGAAAAGGAAAGAAGAAACGGAGCTAACCAAACAGATGGCAAACTTGAAGATGACAAAAAGTAAATAGATACCAACTGCACACGTGTCTGTTACTAAACTGATCAGCGTTACTCTGGTGCCATTAAAGAAGCGTTTCTGTCAGATACAACGTTGACTATTCTAACACAATACGCACCAAATACCGAACAGATTTGACAGCAGTTAGAACCAGTCCATTGGCTTCTTCCAAAAAGTCAAATTCTCTGCTATCCAGGCTTTTCAAATGGAACAGTTTAAGTTGTTTTATGATGTCATTACTTTTAAAGCCTTTTGTAAAGTGGATGGGTACTTTGAAACAATTTGACAAGTGTGACATGAAGCACATTGAGATCTTATACAGTTCAGAGGGAATTTTAGGAATAAAAAAGCTTTTCGCTGTAATAGGTTATACTATTACAGCAATCTCTATGCAAAAAGTGAGGGATTTTCTCTCGCCGGTTGAGGTTAAAGTGGTCGTTTAATGGCCTAACAGCCAGTGAGATGGATGTCTGACTCCATGGCATGGCTCTGATCACAGTAGGGACCCGGAACCCATTGTGCCCAAGAAAGCCAAAGTTACAATCAGTAGGAATTAAAGTAATCTCTGATATATAAGGTTTTTACATAGTTTGAGCAAATTTCCAATGCTCCTCCTATGGAGCCATAGTGGACTCACAGCTGCCTGCTGATCTATAGCCTGTCTCATTTCTCTTCAGTCTTTGCACTCTTTGTCACTTACTTGAGATGAACGATGGGGAGAGTTCAGATTCATTTCTCTGCAAACTGCAGTCGTGTTTGCTGTGCACATCTCATTTTTGACAACTGATAAAGTTAAATTATTGACGTCAAAATTAATGACAGTTTTAGCCGCATAGGCAGAAATTATTATTCCAATGTACCGCTCATGCTCCGTCTGTGTGTGTGTGCGTGTGCGTGTTCTTTTTTTTGTCGCTAGCTTTTGATCTCCCCCTGTCCCTCATCAACGTGCCTTTTGTTCTTTCGCCTCTTGTGATAAATTTGAATGTGAAATGACTACTGAGCCAAACAAATATTAGTTCAGTGTGAGATCCCTGATGGAAGTGTGTGTGTGTGTGTGTGCTGTGTGTGTGCATGTGCACGATGTTCTGCATGTCAATGAGCTATCTATTATTCATGCTGACAACGTAATGAATGAAACATCACTGTCTTTATATTTCAGGCATGTTTACTTGCCTCTCTCTCTCTTTCTCTGGTTTTTGCTCTTTCTCACACACACACACACACACACACACACACACACACAGACACACACACACACACACACACACACACACACACACAAACACACAGCTGCTGTTGAAGAGTATTAGACGGGAGAAGCAGAGTGAATGAAATCCCATTGTAGCTGTAAAACCGTGGTGATGTCCACTGAATACCTGACAGCTGAATTTAGCAAGAGACCACCAGCTCCACCTAATTACAAAGCAAGGGTATAATTTATACTGAGAACGAGGACAGTCTCTGAAAACCTCTATTAACGGTGCCCTCTAACTGTCCAGGCACCGAAACCCAGATAAGAAACGAGCTCCTAAAAATGTTGATGCGCCGGTTTTTATTCTCATTTGAGACTAAGTTCTGGCAGCTTTTGAGTTTTCCACGTGGCAGCAGGTGCATCGTGGGTATATACCCCTTGGGTTTTGCCTACGAGGTAGTGCAGTTTGTCAGGTTGCTCCCCCTCTTCTGATTGGTGGAGGTTTATGAGATAAAGCTGGCTGCCTTTGCAAAGACACCCCAAGGGTGCTGGAGAGTTCTGTTGTGGGAAAACCGCATAGGCACGGTAGTTTGTTTGCAGAGCACCGTTCAAACAAAAGGCAATGCAAAGTGCTTTACATCATAAAACGCTAAGCCTAATGAATACGATTAAAAGCAAAGAGTGCAGATGCGATACTTTCAGGTGTCATATGCACAGCTGGTCAGCCTTGACCCGCATGGCAGGTGTGGCAGGAGTTTTTAAGCCATATGCCATTCCTGATAAATAACACAATCATCTCTCTAAAAAACATTTAGGCTTTTGGGTCAGAAAGTCTAAGTATTTTAGTCTAAGTTATTATTTCAGTAGTCTAAAGGTGAGCAAAGTTCAGCATCATTCACACAGAGGTGAAACATTCCACTGTGTTCCCTGAATATCACCTGAGGGAAGTATGTAGAAAAATATCACAAACCTTAGAGTTCTTTTAAGTGTGCAACATGTACAAACTGGAATCTCATAGATGAATATGACTAAAACCAACCTTGTGCAGTTGTTTTATTTATTCAAAAAGTTTATGGTTTAGATTGAGTGATTTCTGAACACTCTCTGACCCGAGCCACTTCATGGCCCTTTATTATTTGGATGTTCTTAACAAAATTGTAGTAAATAAATGTACAAGGGAGTTTTCATCACCCAGTTAATAATAAAAAAATAAACGGACCGTATGTGCTGCTTCAAAGAGGTCAAAGGAACTGATCAGAGTAATAAAAGCAGCTTAAGATATCAAAGTAAGTCCAAACTTACTGCTAGGCAGAATCCAACTGACCTAAAAACTCTACCAACTACCATCTACCAATAAATGAACAAACCAATAGTTAGACGCAAAGTTACTTTATTATAAATGGAACTCAAAGACAAATATATAGTAAATAAACTGGTTTATTTATTATATATTGGGTCAGCTATAGCTCTATTGTCAATTTGAATTACAGCCTTAATACTATTTTAAGGATGTGTTCAGTTGTGTTTAATTGATGCCATTTCACTATGAGCCTTCCTGACTGTCCTAATTTCTCAAGTATAATAAACTCAGAGTTAATGAGAGAGTAGAGGGAGAAATCTATTACCTATTTCCCTCTTTAGAGTTTGGTGTACACTGCTGTTAGGGGAAAAATCTGCTAGTTGCAGAGAATGTTGCAGCTGCATGGAGGCCGTTTGCTTTTATGACACAAATCCAATTTCTGTTCATTTTTCCATACTGTGTGCGATAGTGGCAAAATGTGAGTTTCGTCCTTCATCATTGTTGTGCTCACAACCAAGAGGAGCTGATAGAAGATCTTCAGACCCTGAAAACGCCGGAAAAAAAGCAAGGACCCGTTTTCTCTCTCCACCCTCTTCGCTCGATGCCCTCCATTTTGCACCTCCCCTTTCTCCTCCGCACAGTATATGGAGCAGAATGAGTAATGATCAGTTGCTCTATCACTTGCCAGAGACTTTCTTTGCCTGCAGCCATATCCAAAATTAGCCCACGTGCACACAAACACATGCACGAAAGCAGGTGCGCACGCTCCCGGGCCTGCGCCGGGTAGTCAGAGGCGGTGGCACACACCTAGAAATGTTCCACAGGAACATCCACACATGTCACGCAGTCAACACAAGGCGCACAACGAGAGATGTTTCCAACATTAATTAAGAAACCGGGGTGTTGAAGATGAAAAAACACTACAGATTTCCAGTTCATTCCAACACATCTCAGTGTTCAATCAGAGCAGCAGCGCTCTCTGCTGGAGAGAAGCAGCAAATACAGATTTGTTTCACTTCGCATTTGTATCACCATGCAGACAAGAGGGTCAGAGTTTGAAAAGCACATTTGGTTCTTTGTTTCATTGGAAATTGTACCTGCACACCATCAGCAGCAACATGTGCACAGGGACGCAGATGCAAACACTGGATTTATTCAGTCTGGCCGATGGTACAATGTTGAGTCCGTACAGATTTGTGACAATCCAGGATAATTCCACAAAACCTTCAACAGCTGCAAAAAACTGCTGCAGTTTACATACAATTCAAGTCAGAAGAGTCAGAAATTTAAAATAAGCTACTTCCTTTTTTAATCCTTTCAGGTATTCTGTGATTTTTTGCACTTAAAGTTGTTGTTCATGCTGATGTGACACCCAAAAAAAAAGGCTCCATTCGAGTTTCTTTGGAACATACTTTTTTTATTAGATCATTATAGAGGATCCATAAAGTTCTTAAATGGTTCTTTATGTACAAGTATTATCTGAAAATATGGTATTTATACAGAATATACATGCTACCTGTGCATATGCACCACAGATTTTTTTTTTCTTACACCATCTTGATATGCCACAGTGTTCACTCACACGTTTACTGTTCGTGTGTTGGAGTTAAGTTTAAGCTGCTGGAGGTGAGAAAATCAGTGTTACTGTTGATCATGTGTTTGGGTGAAAATTAGAAAATGGTAACAGAGAATCACACAACAGACCTACAGATATTATACTGAGGTATTGGTGTAATCACTGATTCTTCAGTAACATTTATTTGTACAACAATCTGTTTTTCTTTGATTTTTATTTTTAAGCCATTTAACTGTCACAGAGGAGACATTCAAGCTGGACATCTTGTTCATGGTTGAACCAGGGTTGCTTCTAAATGTAACAGACAATAAATAACAAATTTCAAATGTCGTGTTTGGGCACGGGCCACAAAGACATTTAAAAACAGTTTAATCAGAATGACTTGTTTATCCCTGAAAAGAAACAACTTTACAATATCAAACTAAAGTAATGGTTTTGTCATTTATTTGGATGGATTATTATACATTGGGACATACGTCTCTGTCTGTGGCACCGACATAGACGTAGTTGACAATTCTTATTTTCAACAAAAGAACATGGGGTGGGGTGGCTGTTTGTAGCCTGACAACAACTTAGTGGATGATGTCACAGTGTCAGCCGGGTGCAGCAGACAACAGACAGGCATTTCAGTGAATAAGGTGCTGAGCCAGCTGCAGCTTTACGCCATCAGCCGTTCAAAAACACTACAGTCCCTTCTCCCTTTACTGTTACGGCACTCTCTAACTACACACAGGGTTTGACAGCAGGGGAGGAAGGCCTTTTTCTCATTGTTTTGATGATCAGCGGAGGAAATAAAACTTCATACTCCTCTTGTCTATTCTTCACTGATCCCCTGTTTCCTGGAGGTCCTCTCCAGGAAACACAACGGATACGCACTAGAACCGAACTGCCAGCAGAAATCATTGAGGCAGGACAGCATCTATGTGGAGAATATAACAAAAAAAAAGCACAGGCTGTCCACATCTACTGCAGTAAGCTGTCTCTAATGTGGCGTGAGAAACATCTGGACCGCCAGCTGATCCATCTACTGCACGCTAGAACCTCATTAGAAGTTGTCTCTATGGAAGAGTAGTTTTCATTTAAGCCATTCTTAATGAGGACTGAGAATATATGAAGAGACCTAATTTGGCTCCGTCTAGAGAAAACTACATTCACCTGTTGGTTTCTCCTGGCTCAAGCAATCACAACATAATAAATCTTAAACTAATCATTTTTTTGCCGTACAGTCCATCATTTATGTTCTCTCTCTCTCTACGAAACTGCTGACAGCATCTCCTGAGACATGTCATTTCTCTAATGAAGACAAAAAGCATGAGCTACGCCAAATGACACAGCACCGAGATGGGGATGAATCCCCAGAGCCCCAACCTCAACGTTATTACAGATATCAAACAAAACAATATGGAGCCAAAAGCAGCCAGCATCCATCACAGAGCTTGGTTAGTGGTCATAAAACATCTGGATCATCAAGCCTCTCTTTTTCGCTCGTATTCTTTATTCCGATTTACAGAATATCTACATATTTCAAACAATTCTGCACCTTGTTCTAGCCTTTCTCTCCGGGCTGTACGTGCATACCAAAATGGAGACTGAAAAACCCAGTAAGTCTTGCTTGATATGAGATCATCAGGCCACTTCTATTCCAAATCGTAGGGAAAACTGCAGGATTTCTAGAAATCACCACTGAGTGTGTGTGGCATTGTTAAATTACACCTCTTTAAACAGTTAAGAAAGTGGCTGCCAGCTTAATATTTGCACAGTTCTCAGTAGAAATAACATTTCCTCAAAAATCTGTCATTGAAATGTAAATCTCACTTGGACAAAATCCCCTGTCATGCAACGATGGACATCCCCTCTCTCACAAAAGGCCATTTCTTCCACAGAGCTTAATACAGAAGAGAATTTTCATGTCCTTGACAAAAATAACTAAAACACCTTCAAACCAAGCAACTCACAGAGTGGCCTCACTAAACAGGGTGCTCTCACAACAACGGGACATAAATACAGTAATGAGGTTAGCTCCCAAATGGCTCCACACTATTCTCCAAACAGTACAGATCCTATGCGCCATCACCTACATAATGCAGTTTCTTTTATAGCTTTCCGCATTGAGCTCTGTTTTACTTCTTAATGGATGAACTCTGAACTCGGCTGGCCTTTTTGTCGCTGAAAAATTGATTAGATCCGGCTGGGAGTGGAAGCCAACTAAGAGGCTGTGGTCTGCTGCACTTTGCAAGAAAAAACTGAAGAAAGGAAACAGATGCACACAAAAGGTCAGCTATAAAACATATCAATCTCTTCATCTTTCTGGGGGCTTTGCAGCTGAGAAAATAAAATCTCTTTACTTTTTTTAGAGAATTTCATTTTTTTATATTTACAATAATACATTCACTTTTTTCCTCAGGAGCAGACGAACCCTTTGGCACTCACTATCCCCCCCCTCTTCTGTAAAACACTGATGTTGATTAGAAATACTGCTCAGAGGGTCAAAGAGGGGTCACACAGGTCAGGAAAACATGCGGTGACCCTCCCTTCGCAAACACAGTGGCATGTTAGTCTAAACAGTTACATAAAAGACGATCAACTAATCTCCAAAATAAGTTCAGTTAAAGATCAGTCAAGATCACACATCGGTGGCTTCTCTTTGCAAATTTAAGCATCAAAATCCAATGAGGACACTTTGGAAAAGGCATTTTGATGCGAAAACAATGCTGAATAACTTTGGGAAATGAAAAAAGGTCCAGAGTGCTATGAAACCAGCATCATGTCAATAGTTAAGCACGGAGGTGGCCTGATCGTGGTTTGGGCTTGCGTTGCTGCCAGTGACAGAGTGAACTGACAGTGGAAGGGTGCATTTAGGTAAATTCATCAAATTCAGGAGATGAAAAGTTGTTAGCCTACACAATGAGATAATAATCTAAAATCAGCCCAAAATTCAATACAAGCTGGAATAAAAGTAAAAATGTATAGATTTAGTCTCAACATTAATTCTGCCAAGACCTTTTATACAAAAACTCAAACAGAACTCTTTTGAAGTCTTTTGATGGGAGAGTTTGTGAAAATCACAGAAAGCCCACATAAACCTCAAATTGAGCTAATGAGCTGTGAAACTCTTGATTAGGGGAAGGTCATTTAAAAACAACACATTAATAATCTTGCTCGGACTGAAATCAAATAGTTTCATCTTTAACTGGTTGCATTTTGGAGATGAGGTCATCTTTTATTCTCTTTGATACTGACGGTAAATATGTTCACCAATTAGAATTTTTGCATGCGACTCAGTATACATGTACAGCCTTTTCTCTTTTCATTTTAAAAGGGTGTTTGAAAGCGTGAATGTGTGAAAAGTCCTTGCGCAGAAAGGCTTATTCTTTTCTAGAAATAGCCTTCCTGAATCCATCTGCTCACTCTGATAACTTCTTGGGTGTCGCGAAATGCAATACAAGTGATTCATGACACAAAGTCTCCTTTCCTGCTACAGGAGCTCGCTCCTCTGAGACTTTGACTTGACTTTACACCTCACAAATGTCAGACGGTCTGTTCGCTCGCACGCAGACAGTAATTTCGCTGTGTGATACCCAAAGGGATTAGATCAGCTCCTTCTCCACACTTCCTTGAAAGTTCATCCCGGTAGTTGCCTACGAGTCACTGCTTCACCGCCAGAGACCAGAAATTTCTGATCTTTTTCGTCCACAACAAATGCGGATTTCGCCCCCTTCTTCTCATTTATCTCGAATCCGTCGGTCCACGTTGCCGCAAGTGGAAAATCTTGGTCGTGCAGCATGTTTTTGTACATCCATGTGTGTAAATGTCTGTGAGTGTGTGTGTTTTGCCGACATTCGTTTGACATTCAAAACCCCGAAGCGTTGTAACGTGTGTTATCGTTGAGAGAACATTCTGCCGCCGCTGGAGCGGCGAAGCTGTAAGCCGCGTAAGCCACAGTGGAGCCAACCATCAAGCCTGTCATATAGGAGACAGTCATGGTGTTCCCTGGAGAGAGACGGAGTGAGAACAGTGAATAAGTCAAGAGCTGCCGGAAAAGAGAGAGAAAACCAGCTTATCCGGGGTGAGTGGTCTTTTTAAAAAAATGAGATTAGATATTCCTGGGAGAGTGTGAGGGAGAGGTGAGTAACATACAAAGTAGAACTAGAGGCTCCATTCATTTCAGAGGCTCTGTGAGGATGCAGTAAAACCTACCTGCCTGATTCATATGGAACAGAGATGCAAAGCATTGATTCTTTTGAATTACCTACCCTACCAGAATAACAGTTAACTGGATCAGCATTCAAATTCAGGACTATAGATACTCTAAAATGTTCCATTTTTGTTAAGGTTACCAGGCATTGTTGGTTAAAAACAAAGCATATTAGCATAAACACCTAATAGTGTCAAGCATGGCAATGGAGGGTTGATGATTGGGGATTATTTTGTGGCCAGAACACCTGGACATTTGCAGTCATTAAATCCATCGTGAACTCCACAGTATATGAACGTAAAAAGTTAGCCCATTCACCTGTCCTACACATAAAGCCTGGCTCAAACTGGCCCACACAATAGGACAACAGTCCCAAACACAGCAGCAAATCTGCATCAGAATGGCAATAAAGAAAATCATCACAGTGTTTAAATTCCCTGAACCAGCTTAAAATCCTGTGAAGAAACCAATGCCGTGGATCTCAATTCACAGAAGCAACTGTTAAGAAACAACGCTTACTATTCAAATAACAATTCCCCCAAAGAAAGATTTCATGACTGATCAACAGTTACAGGTTAGTGCTTTGGTGGAGTTATTACTGTATCAGAAGGTTCACTCACATGCTGAAAATCGGAGTTCACACACTTTATAGTTCTCTCATTCTCAATTGGATTTTTTATATATATATTTGATATATATTTATATTTATATATAAGAAATACCATGTCACAGTGATTTAGCAATATGGAGAATTCCTTAGTAGCAGTTTTGTGACTTTAGCAAATGACACCTTTGGGGACTTGAAAACAGGTTCATTTGTCAGAAAATATCTCTCTTTAGCGATAAAGGTTCAATATTATTGTTAGATAGATTACAACATTAATACATTTAAGCCTACCCTGTTTTTTTTCCAAACAAGTTTCGTATTAAATTTAGACTGAAAGAAGAAGGGGACAAAAAGACTAAAAACATCTAATAACTCACCGGCCAGCTCCCTCTGTTCGGGGGGCACTTTGCCAGCAGCCTGGATCATCGGCACAGACCCAAAATATCCGTTAGTGACTCCCATGAGGAGGGAGAAGAGGCACGGCCATGCCGGGTGGGACAGCGTGGGCGAGCTGGCTGGATAGACGCACATGACAAACAGAGGGATGAAGACCACCCTCAGGAAGGAGAAAAAGAGCAGGCGTCCTCCAGACCAGTCGTAGGGCAGTGCTGCCAGGATCTGAGGAGATAAAAGGGAGGATATCAAGAGTGATGGGCACCTGAAAACAAGTTTAAATCTCTTTCGGAGTAAAAAAAACTAAATGTGTCTTAAAATTCCATCCTGCCAAAGGTAGTGGACTAATGCTTGAAACACCTCACCATAAAGACACAACCTAAGGGAGGTAACAAATAATTCAGAAAGAATAAAAATATTATTTCCCACTTAGATGCTCAAGTATTCTTTGGAAATGCAGGCCAAAAAATCAAGACCATGAGAACGATTCAAACTCACTGTAAAACTACAAGTAAACATTTTTAGGTTATAATGTCTATATTATTTCTAGAAAGTTGATCTTAGGAAGATACACCATTCTGTTTTATCATTGCTGCTCTGTTCTCAGAAACAAGGCCACATGAGCATATATAGTAAGAGCACAGGAATGGACCCACATGCACTAATACGATGCCATCTGCTCACTAGGAGAGAGAAAAAAATCCTCTTTGTGTGCAATTTGAACATGTCTGGGTTATTTGTGCAGATTAGAGCTTCTGTAAATTCTGAGTAGTAAAGGAAGGGAGTGTTTCTAATACTGTTAACACACGCCCAGATCTATCAAAATCAGCTAAGAGATTAAAAAAAGAGAAGAGAGAAGTACAAATCAGGCTCCATAAGATGCAATACGGCTGTAGTCATCATTAAGAAATGCGGCATTTTCTGTGAAACTACCATTTCTGAAAATAATACATTTCTGTTTTGTAATTGTTATCAATGACTCTTTCTATCTTCTGTCATGCTCTGACTCGGCCGTGCGGTCGCCATTTGTTTCTGAGTGTGCAAGCGGCAGCTTACCTTGCCAACAAAGTCGGACATGTTGAAGGTGGCCATGATGAGGATGGGGAGCCATTCCCCCAGGGTGGGGTTTCGAATCTCGGACTCCAGGCCGGGGAACAGACACAGAGTGATGCTGTAGGTCACGGCTATGGACAGCATGTAGGTCCAGATCATGCGTGAGACGACGTAACGGTGCAAGATCATGTCTGTGTTAGGATAGCATACACACAAAGACACACAAATGTTAGCCCGCATTTCAAAGCTTCGTGATTCACTTAAGGGGCAATAGTCAACAGTCGCCATGGGACCAACTTCATTTTCAACACCATCAGTAAAGAGTCAGAGCGGAACCAAGCAGTCACGGATAAGATTAAAAAAGAAGAAAGTACCTCGGACACCGGGCCAGCTCTTCCTAATCTTTGCTTTCGGGGCGTCAAAGCGCACATAGGTGCCACCCACAACGTCTTCAAGGCCTTCTTCTGTGGAGGACGGTCCTATGCCGCTGTTTCCCTGAAAAGACACAGGCAAATCAGAATGCACTACAAATAAATAGACATGTGAAAAATTAAATTCCTTTCTCTTTTTTTCCTTTAAACATATTTTTTTGTACAGGTTTGCCAGGAAAAAACACTTCTGCTGGAAGGAGACCATGTTGGATGTGAGTCGGCACCATTTCCCCCAAACAGTAAATGGGGATCCATTAAACCTGACCCCGCTCGTATCTCCACCCACCAGCAGATGACACTGCCTGCCGCGTTTCTCCAGCCTTCCCGACACAAACGCCAATGCTATGCAACGGCTATTGCACCAGAACAATTCTGCCTGGTTGGAGTCCGAATCCCAGTTAAAAATCAGACAACCTTTCTAAATAGGAGTAAAATTTTTTACAAAACTGCAAGTTGTGAAAGGACCATAATGATATTCTTATGACTTTCCATCATTTTCAATCGTGATAACATTCACCTTTGGCGTGACAATAGTACAATCTGGTCAAGTAATATCATTGTTTACCACATCATTCTTAGGTATAAGACTTTTTCAGCTCATATTCTAATGACCAAGAAGCTTATAATAGTCAGGGCTAGCTCACACATTTTACAGGCTTTTTACAGGCTCAGTTCATTTTTCCGCATGACGTGTGCTGCTGACTCCAGTGTGACCCCCTCCCAGGCTACAGGCCAGACTCAAATCACTTGTAACACAAACGCTGTGCACATTTAAAGGACATGTCCAACACTGCTTGTGGTAAAAAAACAGGGTTGGACTCAACCCTGCAGATTCTTATTCTCTCTGATATTTTTGATTGCACGCTAGGCAGTCTTCAAATGAACTAGATCCATGTCTGTTATAGTTAAAGATCTTTGGTTAAGACATGAAGACTAACTGAATTGAACTCGTGCTTTCGTCACCATGAACAGAAACTGTGCTGGCTTCTTCTGTTGAGTGCAAAGATTGACCATTTTCTATGTTCCTCACAGCCCATTTAAGGCATCTGTAAAACCCCACCCAGCGAACAGGCAGGATGCATCCCTCTGGGAGCCTGCAGTCAGTCTGACCTTACCTCCCCGAGCCTGTCGTTGGCTATCAATGCAAAATACTAATGCTACAGTACAGATGACTGCTGTAGACACACTTAGAACTGAAGGGAAAACAGCACTTATTTATCCCAAATAGGTTTATGGTTTTTACAAACCATATTACAAACGCAACGACTTAGAATAATGTGAGTTTTGTTTTTATCTTTCAGAATTTTTGTTCCACTCAATCATTGTTTTCTGTCTTTTTAAAGAAATGGTTTCCTGAGTGCATTACATCAGCGTTTTTAAGCTAATTCTGGCAGGCGCTCTAAGAGAGGATGGCTGTGCGCGCAGGTTGATGTAATGATGTCAAAGAGACTGCAAATTAGGACACACACACACAGCTAAAAACACACATTTTCCCTTGCACAGGCAAATCGCTTTAGGCACAGCTCCAGTGTGTTCCAAATGCACTCTTTTTCCGCAGGCATGTCCCACACACACACACACACACACGCGCGCGCGCAGCCGTACAGATCCATTAGCTGATTAGAGCGACTTGGGGGCCAGAGGCACCACCGCTTCTTGATTATCCCGTAACATAGAGCGTTGCCTTCGCTTCCTTTTGGCGAGCAGAACAGCAACCAGCCCCCGGACACAGAAAAACAACACACACGCGCTTCCCAGTGAAAGATCAGGGACGTCCATCACACCACTTGTCTTGTGCACAGCGGCGCACAAACAGAAACATGCCCAGATTAAAAAGATGACAGCCTGCGGTGCTGTGTCCTCCTTTGAAGGATCTGAGCACACTGAACACACAGGAGTCAGGAAGAACACTAGCTCCAAGTCTTCAGGCTACAAAGCGCTGCTTAGAGCATGACTACAAAGTAGATTCAGCCCCTCCTCCCTCATTTGTCTCCCCATTTTCTTTCTGTCATTGTCTTGACTGCTTTCCGCTCTCGTTCCGTCACCGCTCTTTTCTATTTTGTTTCTCTGTAATTTTTTTATCATGCTATTCCTCACCGTGGCGGCGTGCATCTCTGCACCGTCTCCCCCCATCTGTCACACATTCTCATCGTGGAGGCTCTCATTTCTTCCCTGTTGGCAGGAGGCCTTAACCTCTCTTTGTCGACGTGTTTTTTTCTTAATCGACCACCGTTCACGCCGTCCTTCACATGACCACCTCTATCACCTCTCAGTTTGTTTACTCCTCTCCAAAGGTTTTTTTTTGTTGATTGGCAGCCACAAAAAAAAACACAATTTGCTCTGCATTTTAAAACAAACCCAGCATTTAGAAACATGTGGGCCCAAGTTAAAAATTTACACATTTATATCTGAGAAGGGTTTCATCAGTAAAAATGCATTAAGGAAACTTTATGAGAGAATCTGCTGCCAGAAACTACATGCACCTGCCTAGAAACTGCTGAGATTCAAGCAAGATGCCTCATACTAAAGAGAGGGATGAGTTTCTGATGTGAACAGATCGTTTAGTTGATATGCATGACAGACCTTTTCTAATCTATGACATACAGGGTATTGCACTGTGGGATGATAAGAAAGCACAATATGAGCTTTTTTTTCTTTACAATTTAACAACAGGAGCATTTTGGTGAGATAAGACGGACCATAAACATTTTTTGACACTGTAAGTGATACACTGTACAGATAAGGGCTTTGTGCTGAGGGCTGAAATCAGGAAGCTAACACACAGTTGGTGTAACAGCTCTATTTCTTCTTAGATAAAGAAGAGAAACACGAGAGACAAAAAAAAACCTCTGATTTGACCCTCTGATTTCTTGAAGCTTTTTTTTGTACAGAAACGGGTTGTTTCATCACATACCAAAGTCGAATTAGTGGACATGTTGAGGACAGCTCGGAGATTTTGAGCATCTGCCAGTTTATTTTGAGGCCTCATTCATAAACTGACTTCTAATGGGTTTTTCTCATATGTTTGACTTCACCAGACAGCTGTGCCTGAAGAGTTATTTATAAAACCTGACTTTGGAGATGATCTTATCTACTTAATAAAATGTGGATTTGATGGAAGTGACTTTCCTGCTGGATGTCTTGGTGTAATGGTGCCGAGGGTGAACATGTATCCAAGCCTGTGGTGAATCTTTCTTGGGGTTTTAAGAATAATGGGACAGGGATTTATGATAAAAAACAAAAAGAATCAATTACCGGGTGCAAAGGGACACATTCAGCTTAGAGGTGTGTCACTGCCACAGAAAGGAACAATATGAATTTAGACTTAAAGAGAAAGAACCACAGTCTGGAAGACATATGCAGGACCCCTCAGATATAGCTATCTGTGTGACGATTACAGAACATTAATTCTACCTTTATCTATAACTGAGGTCTTCAATTTTCGGATTCAGTAGGACTAAATGTGTCAGTGAGCTTTTTGAGATGTTCCTTAACCAAGACAAACCCACAAAATATTAAAGAAATTGTCCTTGGACTTACAAATCTGACTTCCTCTGAAGTGACGTCGTGGTGAACCCTGTACCCGGTCCCGTTGTCTCGTGGATCGTGGCATTTGGCTGGGCCTTTGCCCGCGGAATGGCTGGTGTAGTAGCGGACAAACCGCGAGCGGCGGACCACCAGGTGAAGCAAGAAGCACAGCATCTCCATGCTGATGGAGACCAGGAAGAAGATGAGCGTGTTCTTCTTCTCGTCCGTGATCAGCAGCTTTGTGAAGATGCGAGACAGGGAGATGATCACCCCAGCTGTGCCTGAGAGGGTTGTGTACAGAAAAGCTTGCGTTAGGATTAAAGATGGCGGGAAAGGAAGCAGGGAGAGGGATGTGCTGGTTTGTGAGCAAATATTTTGTCCATGCGAGTGTACTTACTTTCTCCAGTCATCACCCCCTGTGTATACCTCTTGGGCAGCATCCCCATGTAACCATAGAAACTGGACTGCTGCACTGGGGATGGAGATGAAGGTGGTCATGAATATAAATAGAGGCGTAAAACTGTAACAACACAATTCATTTGGAGACTCTACTTTCTGGATCTCATCGCACAGCTTGAAAGAAGCCGCTTCAAACCTCTGACCTCCACTAATTAAGATGTTGATACAGCTGGCAGAGAAGGCCTGCACCCACTCTAACAGCTACGCGGGGGAAGTCTATAGAGCGAGAAGCCTCTATCGAGCACTTCACCTTAATCCCAGATCTGACTGGCAAAATGCCACATTGATCGTGACTATGCCCAGAAAGAACAAGTTCACTCCATATCATATTCTGCCCAACTTAGCCTAGTTAAACCGGTTTGCCGCTATTATTCTCAAAGTGATAGAAAAAGCATGATTATAACTATTTACACATTTAGCTGCACCTCCACAGGAGAGCAAAGAGGCCAGTGATGATGACATCAACACAGTTTACAGTAGCCAGCTCCTCACACTGTTCAACATAGCTGTTAGACATCTGATAGAGTGCCAGCAAATGGGTACAATGGGCAGATATGCCAAAGAGAAATATTTTAGACATTTCAGACATGTAAAAAGAACATTGCAAACATTTGACACTGCTGTTCTTGTGTTTTTGTTTTCTCTTCATTCAACCTACATACCTGTTTGAGGTACTTATACTGCAGTAAAATATCAAACTTAAATATGATAAACGTGATGTTTTTATTGCATACTCCATACTTAACCTTTGCATTCCCAATAATCTTTGAGAGGACCTGAACTTTAAACCTGCTCCTTATTTTGACAGAGTAAATACCTTTCAAATTTATACCCCATAAGCATACCATAAAGGTCAGAAGCTGACATCTAATGATGCTGAAGGGAGACATATTAGGGGGGAAAAGTCTTTTTTTCCCAGCTCCTTGAAGCATATATCTAGAGCGTTGAATGAGCAGAAGAAAACACACAACTCTAGCACGGTTAGTGCCGATTTGTTTGAGGGGCTTTTCATTTAATGGGCCATTCTGACTGCTATTCAAAATTGATGCTATCTCACTCCACCTCTTCCTGCAGACCATCCAACTCTGAGCTCTGTTTATTCACATTCACCCCATTAAACCCATGAAGTCATTTTCACCAGGAAATGTTGTTGTCAGCTATACGGGGGGACTTGTATCTTAATTCAGAGGATATAAGAGCTGGAGAGGTAAACAACATTTGAGGGTAATGTTCCTTAAAAAGTCAGATAAAGGCTTACTACACATTACCACAACGTGCACAATGTATATCCGGCTTGGTCCATTACTGTAGATGAGAAAACATTGTTTTCCGGCATCCTCAGCTCGCTTACAGATACACTGAAAAACAGTTTCCTTCTCAATCGATAGTAACTATATATGCAAAAGGCACAGGGTCTATTTAGGATGAATTGAGGAATAGTTAAATTTAATTCCATAAAACATGTAACGTTTTTTAAACCAATTGCATGCCAGAAAGTTCACAGTGTGTCCTTAGCCTAGAGAAAGTTATGAACCTGGAAATGCATTTCATGTGTCCTCTGTAATCAAAAACGTGATTGTTAGAGGTACCTGTGCATCCAAAAGCCACCACTCCCACTGACACCAGGTTGATGATGTAGGCCTCCTTGGTGGTGAACTTCTCCAGCCAGACATCAAACACACTCACGAAGACCAGCGGCCCGAGAGCCAAGATGTAACCTGCATAAGAGAGTGACCGGCGGGTGGCAGGTGAGTGGACATCACTGATTCGAGCCATTACCACTGGATGTAGGGAGGCTTAAAATGACATGGTCAGTCTGACAAAAACCCTCCGCCTGAGGCAAGATCCTTTTCCTGAGCCAGATATTTATTTACTCAAGAGACAAGCTCTCAAGCAGACAACACCCTTCAAAAGATGTTCCCTCAAGAATGCAAGCGGAGCTATTTTAAGTTTGTGAAGGTACTGTGGTGAGATCTCGTTCTTACATGCACAGCATTAAAGCATGTGCATAGATACCAAAATTCTCCTTAGAGACATACATTTTTTAAAATAGTTTTTCTTTTTTTTTCTCCTTTACCAGGATTTTTCTTTGATACTAGTTCGAATGAAGCTGATTTACATTTTTATGCTAATTTCCAAAATCACAGTTGGAAAATAATTCATACTGTAAAAACACATTGGAGCTTAGAAACCAGCTTTTTTCATAAATACATTTATGGTTACATTTAAAAATCTACCAGACTGAAATGAAGCTCCGGCCAAAAAAAATCATCCTGCATTGGTGCCCTGGTTTGTTTTAAAAATGCCTTGAAACTCGGAAACAAAACAAAAGAAGCCACTTTTAAAAATGTGACCCTGAAAAGCAAAAATGACAACCAAAAGCTTTAAAGACAGAAACAAAAAACAATAACATTAAACAGTTTAAACATTTAATGAAGGAGACCATATATATTTATTATTTCCATTCATCACTTCTTCCTACTTTTTTCTCAGTTTCAATAAGATATGTTTTAATGCTCCCTGAGACTTGATAATGAACGCGGAAAAGTTTCTATTTGGGAAAACCTCTTTTCTTCTTCTTCGCAGATCCAACATACCCACTGTAATCCTGGTGTGCATGCTGAGTCTTTCCACCAACACGTTGTTAAGGATGACGGCCAGGAGAGCAACCAAGATGTACGTCAGACTCATGTCGAACACTATGGATGTTCCTGCAACACACGTGAGAGCGCTGAAACCTACCACTGAGCTCTCCAGGGGTTCACAGCTTCCAGGTGCAGATGTGTATACACATGTGTGGCTTTATCCCTGCTCGTGCATAGTCATACCTTTGAACTTGTGGTGGAGGTAGTCCACGTCAGTGATGAAACTGTTGTAGGGGAGCAAGAAACCAACTCCAGCCAGTAGCATTGCGAAATAGATGCCATGGTAACGGTCGTCAGGGATGGGTTCTTCGAAATCTGTAAGGGGAGAGTCAAGGGTTAGGGAATCAAAGTAGAGCGAGCAGCGGTTCAACAGGAGCTCTGTGACTGAGTTCAGATCGTCTGAAGCTGCTGATCACAGACCAACCGTCCCAGTAGTTGAGCTGGATGACTTAGGTGTTCTGCGGCTGATTCGGTTTCATGACTATAGGTTATTTTCAATGCATAATCCTTTTCTAATCCTGTAAGCTCTCCTTAAAAAAAAAAGCTCCAAATGATTTTCAAGCATTGAGATTTTACAGCAGACTAAAGGGGGGGGGGGTCTACTTCTCACTGTCGCAAGCAGTGGCTTTTTTACCCCTGGGGTAAGAGTGTCATAATCTACATTTAGCTTTTTAAGCCTTCTTTCTTCATACGTCCTTTGAAATGTTCCCACTTGTGACAGATTATACTCAACTTTTGGAGCCAAGACATTTTTTTTTTCAAATTTCTTCTCAGGGTTATTATTGCTTTGTCTTTTTAAACCAACATTCGTAAAAATGAACGATACTCCTCAAGACATGCCACAGTAGTTTCTATCTATCAGTAACATCTGCTTTCGATTTCAAATGAAAGATCCACAACCACAAGTCAACGAGCTACCACAGGGCTACAATGGACACTTGTTATCGGACCACAACAAAGAGTTTGAGATTTTGGACAATACTGGTTCACTTAAAGATGCCTCACACGCCATCCCCCATCTTCCCTCAGTGGTGCTGTTCATTTTCATGGGAACAAGCTCAGGGCCTTACGCTGACTCAGACAGACAACCTTTATTTTTAGACTTTCACACTGCCTAATCCAAAAAAGACACAAAAAAAGTACATTCAGTATCCAACAAGAATGTACCCAGTATCACCCACCAGAATGAGGCCGTTGTCTATTCAGAAAAGGATGACTGAAAAACTGTAGAGAACAATAACATGGAAAGAGGCCAGTGCTTACTTATTGATCCACCACTAACATGGTATGTTTGAGAGTGGCACCCGGGCTCAGGACTGCTAAACTGACACTGCTCAAAGGCAGGTAACAGCCTGCACTGACAGTCATGTAAATCATCACCAATCGCTGGTGTCCTTTTGACAGTGAAAGCAAAGAGGCATGTGTAAGCTCACACAGCCACAGCAAACCATCCATCCATCCATTATCATATGTTTTTATTCTATAAATACCACCAAAGCTATGTTAGGATGTGTAGAGCCACAGAAAGACAGACAGCAGCAACAGATGGAAACAGATAAGAGATAACAGAGCAGAGACGGCCTCTGTGAGGCCCTCGCCGTGTGTCCTTGGTCACTTATGATCTAATAAACGTGGCCTCTGAGCATCCTGTGTAACCAGGCAACAGGGCAATTTGTCAACAGGGCCGCCTTCTGTGTTTTACATGCTCTTCCCTTTTTTCCCCCTCCCCGAAGCTGCTCTCATTCACTACCGGCTCCATCATCTACAAACTCTTGCTGTATATCTTGACACGTATTAGATTCATACTTATTTTGCATGCAAAGTGTCAAGTGTGAGACGGATGGATGGCTCTAAGGATTTTCATTCGATGGAGAAGAAGTTTGAATTCTCTTCATTTTATTTGAAAGAAACATGTCCTCCGGCCTCTGTGCCTCTGTGCATAATTTTTCCATTTTTTCTGCAGTGGGAGAGGGCAAGTTTGATGTAATACCTTGGAAATGTTGGAATTAATTGCTCCATCCAATCCCAGATCTATGGGAGGCCCCTGGCTGTGAAGCTGGATGGTATTACACATCATTTCTTACATGTGAGTGTTACACATATTTCTGTTCGACTTGTTTTTACATTGATCAGCCAGAGCATCAAAACAACTTTTTTTTCCTTGCCGACCCTTGAAGAATTAGTACAGGACACACACAAACACACACACACACAGAGAACAGGAACTCCTTACCGGGCTCGGACAGAGCGAGTACTCCTCGCTCTGGGGCGTCTTTACTGATCTCCTCTTCCTCCAGCTGGTACGAGTCGAAGCTGTAGCTCTGCACCACTCCACTCTCTCGTCCCTCTCTCCAGCCCTCCCTCCCCACGTCCCGCCACCCCGCTCTCAGGCCGTCCCTCCACACATCCCTCTCCTCGGGCGTCTGGGCGGGCGTGGGCCTGCGGCGCTCCGCGCCCGCAGAGCCCATCTCCGCACTTGAAGAATGCAGCTTGGCGGCAACAACGACGACGACAACAACAAGAAAAAGCACTAAACGCTCCCTGCGGCTGGACGGGCTACACGCGCTCAAAAGCGTGCATGTTAAACCCAATCTTCACGACACGCCCTGCGCGAGGCGCAGCAGACCTTCAGATGATGGAGGATCTGCGGGGGGGAAACAACAGGAGAGAGAAATACAGTGTTAAAGAAAAGGAAGAGGGTTAGAGAGGAGGGGGGGGAAAGGCATCTGTCAGAGCCTGGCTGAAAATAACTCCAGTCGAGGTTAGACACCTCGGAAAAGAGACGTACTTTGCTGCGTGTGTTGATGTGTGAGAGGCATATTCAATGAGAGAGAGACTGTGACAAAGGATGCATAACAGAAAGGATGATAAGGTGAGAGGAATGCAGCTGAGTGAACACGGGCTCCACAAGGAGGAGAGGGAGAAATAAGCAGGAGAAAATCAATTAGTCAGTAAGTTCAAGCCATTAATCAAGAGACGATTCTCAGTCTTAACTGGTTTCACGCTCTCATTAACAAGAATTTACTGCTTTGCTGTATTTTTATGATGTTTTGAATGTGTTTTCATTGGGGACTTCAGGCTAGACAAATGAAAAACCGGAAAGACGGTTTCTGGGGAAATGAAGATCATGTTTTGTCACAACGCCTGTAAGAGTCATTCAACAACTTACAGGCAAACACCGCTAGTGCTTTTCTCTTCTCTTTGATTCAATCTGCTGTTTTTGTGCCCTTTCATGTTATCTAATCGGGTTGTAATTAAGGCTTTCTGAGCATGACCTCCTGAATAATAATTAGTTCTGTAAGTAAATGCAGTGAGATACCCATAATTTGATCATTTGTCTGCATTGGACCCTGATGAGGGGCTCCAGCTGTTTTTTCTCCTAATTTAACTGCACAGATGTGCTGCTGTGCCCTTTTTTTTGTAGACGACTGTAAGCCAAAAAACATTAGCTTTGACAATACATACATAAAATGAATTCAGATTATCCACGCATTTCATGAAAATAATATTTCACATAGTTATTGATAATTATATACCAACAATCGCATAGAACCCCATTCATTCTAAACAAGGGAAGAGTGATAGATGGCAAAAACATACTATTGACCATGTATAAATGGAAAATCTCCTCTCTGACATCACAGCAGCTGAATCATGGCTCTGTCACACGTTCCCTTTCAGTCGACAGGGAACTGTGGGAGGGAAACGTTAGTATTGCAACACAATTGGACTGAATTAGGTATACTGGCGTTGTTTCCAAGGCCAACGCAGGCTTGAAAGCCACAAATGCAAGACTAACAAAGGGCACGCAGCTGTGCTTCACCACCCCTGCTGCCCTGCAGGTTAGATTCCCCCCCAAGCCAAAAAAAAAAAGAAACAAAGTAAGTCCTCTTCTAAACCCCATCTCCTGACGTAAGAAGGTGTTCTTCTCTGGAACCTGCTGCAGATGAACACGTGACCCATGGAAATGCCACCCCTCAAAGGGCTGCTTGTTGGATATTCGTGGCAATATATTACATTCAACAATTTGACCAGCTCTCCTGCGGGTCAGCTGCGTTCTGCACAGTTTCGCCGTCCAGACTTGGGGCGGCGCTCGCAACCTTTTTTGGTTTAAATGAAAAGGCTCCAGCCAGTGACCGTAATTGAATTGCAGTCCAATATCACCCTGCAGCTTCTATTGTGGACTCACATTAGTGAGAATGTCTAACTCTATGTCCCCATTTCAAGACCGTTCTCCCGAAGCTTTTGTGTTTTTGGCTTTAACTCCAGATCCTGTCCTGACGCGTTTTTCTTGTGCGTAAAATGGAATTTGTCATTCCTCAAAGGCGATGAAAATAAAATTGGACGGCGTGGCATAATAAACCCCGTGATGCACAGCAGATGCCCGAAGTTCTCCTTTCAAAATTATAATAAAAAGCTAGCAAATCAACTCCCCTGTTCACATGTCGCTCCGGAATCGCTTGTTGTGTTTTTTTCCGTGCGACATCCCGCGTTGGATTGAGGAACAAAAACACAGTAACAACAGGTTAGTAATGGCCCCTTTACCTTCTGGTGTCTCCCCTCTCGCGTCCGTACAGCGAGAGCAAAGGATCCTCGAGGTGGTTTCTGTCGGGTGGACCTGGTTCCCCGTCAGCCTCGTCTCCATCAGACAGAAGGGAAGCCCTGGTGCCGTCCAGCTGGATGCGCTCCTAACGCACCATCCAGAGGCGGAGGAGAAAGGAAAAGGGAAGGGATGGATGGAGGAGAGGAGAGGAGAGAGAGGGGGGAACGGGGAAGGAGGGATGGAGGTGGAGGCGGTGTGGGGAGGTAGACATGAGAGGAAGGGTTGCGCGTAGCCTCTGGCTGTTCATGTTTTGTTCATGTTTTTCAGGAAATCAATGTCAAAGTCAGAGGGGAATTTATCCAAATGCATGTTTAACAACTTTTTGGTTTTTCTTACTGCAAGCTGCAAGGATTTAGGAAGGATTTGAGGCATATTTGAAGAGTGTTTTTACGCGTATGTGTGTCTGTGAGAGAGAGAGATGCAATCCGCTGTCTCTATACTAATGTGTAAATAAGCTTTCAAAAGCTGGGTTTTAGCTCAGAGCTTTAATGTTTAAGTAGAAGTGTTTTTGGACAATAGTGTGCTTTTGAATGAAATCATGTCTCCTATGGTTTCTGTTGTTGTCCTGCCTTTTATGGATTTGTCCTTCTGTGTGCAAAGTAAAAACCATTGCCAAACACACCAACTCTCTGTTGGCACCTGAGGCTCCTCGTGATTGACAGTTTTATCAGTTCTGTTCAATATGCTAATGCTTTATTACTGGCAGGGGCTCCCTGAAATTGCACACCCCCTCTGTTGCCATAGAGGAGCCAAGCCTGATGGGAAATAACTAAAGTGTGGCTGTTTCGTTGCGTCTGCTGTCAGTGCTGCATGGCAGAAGCAAAACGTTGGAACAAAGAGACAAAAAAGCATTGAAAAAAATGATGTGTTATGAACATGACTGTCCAGAAGAAAAACAGTTTTTTAAAAAGCACATATTTAAACAAGAGGATGTATTGTAATCACGTTTTGTGTATGCTTGTGTTGTTAAAAAAGAATAAAACCCTTTGTTGAGGAGTTCAAATCTCATATTTAGCCAGAATGTATGAGCCTTTTGAATGACCAAGTACTCCTGTGGTCGTGATGGTGGATGCTTCCTGGTCTCTAAAGATGAAAAAAACAACAGCTGACAAAGAAAGGACAAAAAACAGCATACAAGCTCATTATAAAGAATGAGGACTCTGTGGTTCTGAATTTGTCGGTTCTTTTCGGCATCGCGTGTCTGTTTGATTGAGTCTGAAGTATCTTTGCAGTGACAGCAAAAGAAGGGGGATCTTCAGAAACACCAGCTTTTCTTGGTTTTTATATAAAAACATATGAAAAACCCTAATTTGCTATTTATCCATTCCCCAATTCACAGTGAGACATGCAAACATCCCGTGGCACAGCAGGCACTTTGATGCTGGCCCAGAAACACATTCTTGAGAAGAATTTAATCTGCGTGAAATCCTCTGGATGACGAAAGCCTTGTTTCCTGGTTATCTCCCTGCTTTCCTCTTTATCCTTCTGCCTGTTTGTGTTTTGTGCTAGCCTCCCTCTTTACCTCTTTACCTGTCTGTCTGGGTTCTAAGCCGGTTTCAGTCTTTCTGTCGGCAGCCTGTTTGTCTCTCCGCACCTGGCTCTGTCTGTTTGTGTGTCTGTGTGTGTGCCTGTGGCAGCTCTTCCTCCCTGTTCAGCCTGTGGGGCTGAACCCAGAAGCACCGCTCTGGATTTATGCTGATTATTGAGTGATTTGTCATGTTGCTTTCTCTTATGGCCGGAAAAGAAAATTGGTTAAGGATGCATGTGCATGTGTGTGTGTGGGTCTCTGCTCTAGAGTGAGTCCAATGAATATTCATTTTCATTCATTTTCTATGTTATGAAACTGTGAAAGGCTATGTCATGCCTCCTTTAATCAAAAGGAATTACATTTCTGTCCTATCCTTTACCCCACAGCGCTGTACTGAAGGAAACACGTGCATCTCAGTTTGTGTTTTTGTGGCACCGATCGGTATCCAGGATCATCCAGCTGCTTGTGACACTAGCTTTCAGCTGTTTATGAGTCTGTTTGCATGCGTATCTATCCCTCCATTCACTCATCCATCCCTCTTTCCAGCCCGGTAAAGATGCTGAGCCTCGACAGTGTCTATATTTAGCTCCTGGTTCAATCAATGACGGCAGAGCCACAGCGCCATGACTCTGCATACAGATAGTACTACCGCCTAGCACCACCCACGCTCCACCTTAAAGAGATGAAAAAGAGAGAGAGAAACGAAGGAGGAGAGCGGCAAGAACACTGTCACAAGTGAAGAAATGATGACAAAATGGTATTGGGGCTGCAGAATGACAAAAAAAATGAAAACACAGCTTTAATCCAATGACAATGGAAAGAGAGCCGGGGGCCGGGGGGGCAGTAGCAACCTGAGAGTGGCAGGTAAGCGATGAAGAGAGGACTTGAAAGACTTGAAAGGAAAGAGACAGGTGTAAATGCAGCAGCAGAGGGATGCGGGGATGGAGCCAGATGGGGAGAGGAGAGGAAAAAAACAGAAAGATGTGGTAGGAGGTGGATAATTCACAGAAACAACAATAGAGCACATACTCTGAAAGGTGAAGGCAAAAGAAAAAATGGAGAGCAGCTGTGGATACCAGGTGCACTGAAAGAGTAGTTGGTAGCAGAATAACAAGGGAACTGAAACAGACAGAGAGTCGTTCCTGAGTGAAAGAAACACAAGAGTTTGCTCTGTGGAGTCTGGCTACTTTAAAGAGAAATAAAGTCGGAGGAGCACGTAGGAGAGAGGAACAGGTATCTTGAGAAAGAATAAATCAAAGAGGTTCTGTAATAGGGATTGTGCAGTGGCATGGTGGTGAACGCCATTAGCTCACAGTAAGACAGTTCCACATTGGAATAAAACTGTGTGTGGATCTGTGATGAACCAGATCAGGCTGAACTGGATTGAGCTGGTAAAAAACATTGGCTTGAAAATAAGTATCCCTCCAACAAATAAAAATAATATAATCTTTTGATATGTTTACATCAAGTTAAATGATTTGCCTTTTCACATGTGAGTCAGGCCATTTCAGTCACTGGAGACTAAAATGAAACTTTTTCCTTTAAAGAGGGCTGTTATGTATGGAGAAAAGAAAGACACGGATGTCAAAAGGTTATTTCAGAAATGCTGACCGGTTTGTCTCACAGTCACTGCTAAAGCTAAATGACACCTAACAGACAATGTAGGTGTCAAACACAGACTATGGGCCCACTGGTCCACCTCTCCTGCATGTTTGCACACTGTGGCTGGACAGCAGCTGGCTCTATAAGGCAGTGCCTCCCACACTAGCTTTGGCTCTTGTGTACATTACAAACTGGATGTGAGAGGGCACACCCTCCCCGAGGCCACCCTAAAGTTATATGATCGGACGAAATAACCATCATCCAAATACATCACGCCAGAGAGTCCATCAGCTCACATCACAGAGTGGGATCAATGTGTTGTGGTTTCTCTCGACCCTTCCTGCTAAAATGTGTGGCTGCATACAATTAAACGCAGGAGGAAAATCGATACAACAAATCACACAAACGTCTTCACAGCCCTCCAAGTGTGTTAGACTCATGTTTAATGGAGTGCTGGAAATGTTGTCAACATCCTCACCATGTAGAGCTGCTTTATAAATGAAGCGGAGCCAAAATTCGCCCGCACCACAAACCCTGCATTCATCTTTACAAACATAAAACGCGGCGGCATATAAGTGATACAGGATCATCTCCCTAAATCAAAACAAATGTTGCTTGACCTCCGGATGACGTTTTCAGTAATGTCATTTAGATGTATGAACATTCTCAGTGGGTTTTACTAATGAGAGAAATGTGGCATGGTGGCTCAAAACAAATACACATCTGGCACATATATGTTCACACAAACCCACACTGATTAAATATAAAAAGCAACAGCGGGAAACATTACTGACCAGAATTACAGGTGAACTCGGTCCAATATTGAGTCTGAGGCGCATTCAGTTTCCACTTTGTCATTGTTAAAGTATTATATTATATTATATGTTAAAGTATTATTAAAGTATATTATGCTAATTTATTTGGCTTTCTTAGGCACATACTGATCATCATCAGAAAACTGATCATTACTTATTGCAGTTCTTTGTCAAAAACATATAATTGTTACTCCTGACTCTTCAAGAAGCCATCTTCTGAAAGGCAAAAAGTTAAGTGAACGTTTAACTAACTTTAGTGTGAGCGTGCCACATTCGATGCACCTCTATTTGAGATGCACTGAGCAATCCTTTGTGTGTTTTAATCTAATGGTGCCCATGTTGTGAAAAAAGGTTATGAGTTGACTATTTACTTGGGAATAAGCCAAAAAAGGTATGATGTCACAGTAGTAAAGTTTGATTTGGTACAATCTACTGATTTCCATAGCTAGACAACATTTTTTTGTACTCTGCGTACTTTTTACACATTTGCCATTGGACCAAATGTAATTGATCCAATTATGATTGTATTACAATGAATTGGTTTCTAATTAGTTAGAATTCAAATGTTTCTCCAGACCCTAAATAAATTTAATTTGAAGACTGAACCTGAAACCGTGGAGTACAGTACAATAACTTTACTGATCAATCAAAAAGAACACCATAGGGTAATAGATTTTGGAAACAGATGTGATCCAAAAGATTACAGATTTACAGACTACAAAATGTGTGACTTTTCTGTATCATTGACAGTTTTTTCTTAAATCAAATGGGATGAAAGGCATTCAATACAAATCAAAAAGCTAATTCATATACAAGGCAAATCTTTACCTTTGCTACAACCCCTAATGGGGATTGGCCTTAACATTTTTGCTGTAGCTGCAGAATTCCCTATGAGAAAATACAAGCACACACACAGAAGGAAAGTCTCCCAGACCATCCTGGTGCAACACATAAACACGAAGGCATAAAAACCAAAGAATGCCCCAAGCACTTGGGAAGCGCTGGCTGTAAATCCACTCTGTTGTTGTGCTTGGCTGTGATCGGTTCTAGGCTGGAATTATGTCGCATGGCTGGCAAAAAAAAAACAGCCCCCGTTTCCCATTTATTTAACGTGAACACAAAATCACACATTAAATCAAATTATACAAATTCTTCAATGTGAAATTTGGAAAGCGATTCAGGTAGGCTGGTAGAATAAGAACTAATTAGTCCACAAGCTAAACGGTACTCCACAAACCATCCCTCCATTTTCTGAACCGCTTATTCCCAAATGGGGTCGCGGGGGGAATGGAGCCAGTCCCATTATTCAACGGGCGAGAGGCAGTGGCAGCGTACACCCTGGAGCGCCAGTCCATCCCAGTCCGGGGTGTACAACCCATCCAGCAACCGCACCACACACACTCACACACACTCACAAGCTCTCCTGCAAAACATGCAACATGCAAACTCCACACAGAATGGGTTGACTTGAACCCAGAACCCTTTTGCTGTGCGGCGATGGTGCTAACCACCACACTACCGTGCCTGCGCCTTTTTAACAGAGTAGATAGATGTTTCTAAGGGGGCCAGAGGCAGTGTACACCCTGGACAGGTGGCCAGTCCATCGCAGCGCTACACAGAGACAAACAACCACACACACTCACATTCACTCCTTGGGACAAGAGTGTTCAATTAACCTAACATGTATGTTTTTTTGGGAGAGTGGAAAGACGCTGGAGTACCTGAAGGAAGCTCAAAAGCGGTATCAAATGGCTGTTGCCCTAGATAAATGAAGAAATCCATATCCTGAGGAAATGAGCTGCTGACACTTTTAGCCAATTCCCTTGGTTGCTGTTCTAAGTCTGCTGGGACATATACTAAATACCAAAGGGTTCAATGGTTACGTTCTGTTTTTATGGTGGGTTTGATCCCAGCTGCCAGAAGTATGCAGATTTAAAGGACTTTAGACGTAATCCTTGAGCCGACATCTCGTGAGTTCATGCTTGGCAAAATTTTAAAAAGAACTGTAGAAACGTGATGGCAGCTTTGGATTTCTTTTATATGTGGTTTGTTTTTGTTTGTGCCATCATTTTGGCAGTTGTCTATAAAGTTGTCTATAAATTATGACCCTAGCCTTTTAGTTTCTTCTTTTCTGTTAGGTTCAACGCATTCAACAGAAAAAAATGTGAATTTCCGCACAAAATATGATCACATTTAGTGAATGCTGGGAAAGGCTAATCTGACAACTAATAAGCCATTTAGTTGGGATGTGAAATTTAAAGATCAAGTAAAGTTTCATTAATTCCATAGTTATATTTGTATTCCAACCATGTTCAAATAGTTATTCAGAGACTGGCCCCCATTATATTAAAGCGATTGTGGAAATTTAAATGGGAAAGCTTGATTCATAGGCTATTTCCATTATGGGTGTGAGCAACAAAATGATCCTGCTGGAGCGTTTTTATACATGTTGTGTTCTCTGGTGCTCGTCTCCTTCCATGCGAGCCCAGTGTTCACATACACAGTAAAAAAACGTGCACTCCTTTTTCCTGGAAGCCTCATCAGACCAGCGAGCTCCATTTAGCTTCTCCCCTGTTGATCGTCGTGTCTCTGACAAGATTATGGAAAAATTGATGAGCTTATTACCCGCAAACCACCTGTACTGTCTCATCGCCTATCTGTCTGAAATGTACCTGTCTATGTGTACAGGCAACACAACGAATTACACTGATAAGAACAATTAAATAAATGGTACCTATACAATGCTGACAGAGGCAGGGGAAATACATCAACATGTGAGGGAAGAAATAGGAAAGAATTACCATTAACAAAAGCTGCAGATAGGAAAGAAAAATGACTAAAAGAGGGGGTTGGGTCTGTAAAAACAATGTAAAAAAAGGTTGCCTGTGAAGGCTGGAGGAACACGGACTGACTGGGAGAGGCTGTTTAAAGGTCATGTGTGCTATACAGAGCCGTGTGCAGAGATATTGGCTCTGTCCAATTGTCCTTTCCCTCCTTTCCCCTTCATCCCTTTCCACCATTCTCCCTCTGCTGCCAGTTCCTCCTTTCATGCGTGCCTCTTTTCCAGCCTCATCCTCTTTCGCCCTGTCTCTCCTCTCTCCATCTGTCTATTCTCCCTCAGACAGACCCCTCCCTCCATCCCTCTCCATCAGCTTCAGAGTCATATCCGTGGCAGACCCCGAGGGCACCTGCCTCTTGAGGTGGAATAAATGCATGCGTCTTCAGTGTTTTTGTCTTTGTGTATGTGAAAACTGGCTACAGACTCCAGTGCAGTGTCCTGGGGCTTTGTAGCAACACTTGAACAAATAAACAAAAGCAATAAACAAGTACGCGAGCCTTGACCATGAGGTCATTTCTGCTTTTGGGTTTAGACTCTCAGTGAGATTTTGTTACATCTCCTCTGCTACCTGTTACAGCCCAAATTGAATCTGTGTGCGTGGTTGCTCAGTGTGTTAGTATCTTCATGTCTGTGCATGTTTTTATCTGTCAGTGTGGACGTGTTCAGGACTTCCTGATGGCACAGGAAGATGTTGAAGCTGCAGTCTGTTTTGTGTATGAAGCAGACAGGGAAAGGTATTGTTAACTGTGTTGTCTAGCAACAAGCCACCATCATTGTTGGGTACAGAAATAGCACCTCAGAGAAGAGGAGTCTCTCAGAGAAAGAAAATGGCATTCGGCTAAAACTGCACATTAGGTAGTTGTTTCAGAATATGTAGTCTCAACCAAACACTCAGAATTGTGACAATTTGTGAATATTACATCACAACAGTGAGCAATCAAAAATCCATAATCCAAAGAGCACTCATGCATCACACCATTACAAACCCTCCACATCAAAACTATCATTCAGAGAGGAAATTATATGACTTTATTATCAGCGTCCTTCTAGGTCAAAATGAAGAAAAGCAAAGTGAACACTGCACTTTAGAAAACATTCTATTTAAACCTTACAATGCAAAAAAAGGAGCTGCATTCTTTTTTATCAGATGTGGGTCAGCCCTCAATTTACTCATCCATGTTCAAAGTGAACACACACACATTCACACATACTGAAGCAGAGAGGCAGAGATTAAAAGAAGAACTGAAAGAGTCGAATCTATTAGTTGTCCATCTGATAAAAGTCATTCAAGAGAAGGAATAACATTAGTCTAATAAAGGAAAGAGCTTGGTGCTGCTTGGACGATGGCCAAAGACACATCTACCGCCCCTTAAAGTCATCATAATTCACTGAGACTTGTGTGTGATTGTGTGTGAGAGAGAGGGAGGTTATTGATTGGTGGCTGCGTTAAACAGGGACATGAACTGCCCAGCACCACCACTGCCACTCACACACAAACACAAGGCCCAGCCGGAATAGCTATATCTTCAAGAACATTATGTGCAAGAGCAACTGGCTGTGGAGTTGCTCATCGATCGGCTCATCCCTCAGAAAAATTATCCCTCTGAAAGAGTACCAGGAGACTTCGGCATAGTAAAACCCTTCAGGTCATTATTTCAAAATACATGAGATCTGAGATGTTTGTGTAGAGAAAGAGTAGAGCACGCCTGCCCTGATAAAACTGCCAGATTTATGCAGACTTTATGATTTTGTTTTACATCTAAATACACATTAATCTGTAAAATAAGTTTGAGCTGTTATGCTTTAACACTTCTCCAAGGAATGCTCATCTCTCATCTTCAAGACAGACTTTATTTATATGTTTATTCATAAGTCCTTATATTTGAATATCAAACCATTTTCAGGCTCATTAGATAGACGTTTTAGAGAGGTAAACAAATGTAAGGACTTTGATCTGATGTGTATTATAATTTTTAGTGGTTATCTATAAAATACACCATATTTTAAGCATGGCATGAAAACATTAATCCTATTTGTTATAGCCTGACAACATTTGAATGTTCTACTTTTCTATGTACACTTTTTCAGGTTTTTGACCTGCGTTTTTAATTTATTTACTTCACAGTTATCTTGACACTTTTGGATGTTGCTGCCATCTAGCGGCCAGATTTTAGAACTAAACAATCTCCCATAATGCATTTCCTTCTTTTCTTCCCATGATTCCCTGCTGCAAACCCCTTGCACCGGTCAAGATGGCGGACAAACCAGGTACGTTAGCATGTCCTCTGCAATCAAAATTTAAATAATTTTCCTTGATGCGTCTTTTTAGTTGGTATATTTCGAGAATTTTGGGGACATTGCGCATAATACTCTAAGACTTACCGTGAATTTATCACGCTTGGGGCGTTTTTCAGATCGAAGGCCGGACTCAATCCTTTGAGTCACGTCAAGGACTTTTCCCGACACTGTCAGCTCTGCTTTTAACGTTAGCCTATGGCCTGCTTTAGTACGTTTATGTGGCATGTTTAATCATTAAAATAGTTTATTTTTGATTCCAGTATGGATGCAGATGTCGTGATCGTGTTGCTAGTGTTCGACGTATTTAAAAGTTGAGTTTTTCGCTAGTTTTCGCGTTAGCCTGCAAATACAACATAGCTTTACACCAAAAACAAGTCCTTAAATTTGATAAAGAACGCACATCAGTGGCTTGTTTGAGTTTTAAGAGATTATGTGTTTTTACATTTACCTAGACAGTTATGGTTGTTACAGCAATATAACTACTAAAAATGTCATCATGTTAATACCACTTTAGATTGGCTACAACAGGACAAAAAAGGTTACAGTATTTTCCTGAGTACCCCACAGGAGGGGGAACTGTCGTTCGGATATGCTTTGGGACGTTGTATATACGGAATAAATGCCTTTGCACATCCATTTAGCTTGAATCAGACCAGTTTTAAAAGCAAAGTTTAGAGACACATTTGCCCATTTGTGATATTATTGGTTCTGACCGAAATTGTGTTCTAAAGTATTGGGATTACTGCACTAGTGGTGGTTTTAAGCAATGTTGTCTTTTTTTTTTGCAGTTTCCGTTGTTGAGAAGCGCCTCATGGACGTTAAGCTGGGTGAGCTGGGATCCTGGCTGGGAGCTCGGGACTTCACCCCTAACGGCATCATCTCTGCCGTCCGCAGAGGTGAGCAAAGCTCTGTCCACCCCTTCCTCTTCTTCAAAAATATACTTTGTACATTTGTTTGAGAACAGGCTGTGTAAACAATTTGTTCGGGGTCTTCCCAGGTCCAGTTGGAAAATGGACTAAACATCCAGAACAAACACATTGTCGATAATGCCAGCATATATTGAGTACTGCATAACAAACACATTCAAAGGCTTTTTTCGATGTAATGCAAAAAATTCAACTAATCTGACTGTGGAGAAGATGTTTATGGATTCATAATGTAACAATTAGTCAACCTTGTCTGGTTATATAACCAACAGCAGAGCCATCTCAGAAGTTCCTTCAGAAAAAGTTTCTCAGTTAAAATTCAAACTACAAAGAATAGATCACGTCTGAATAAAGCCTCCCAAACCGTGTTTTCAGCACTGCCATGTGTCTCCTCTTCCAGGCCATGACAGATACTACAACAAGTACATCAACGTGAAGAAGGGAGGCATCGGTGGTGTGGCCATGCTAATTGTTGGCTATGTGGCAATCAGCTACCTTTGGGAATACGATCACATCAGTAAGAAATAAGACATTCCTTTGACTTTGGTTTAGACCTCGTCGTGCTCGTCACTTCTGGTTTTTGCCTCTTTGTCTTCACCACTGCTTCTCTTTTGTCTTGTAGAGCATGATCGCTGGAGGAAGTACCACTAAGCCCCTTCAGCAGCCATCAGACCATCAGGGGTTGAGATCGGTTCTCTTTGCTCCCCATGTGCTTTCTACCCTCAGCTCTGTTGTGTTAATATGTAACTGTTGCGACCAATAAACAATATATAGAAAAAAAATTCAGTTTCATGTCATCAGTGTGGGATCGGTCTAACTACTAAGTTCACTTTGTGGGAGCTCCTTGAGAAGAGGAAACCCTTCTCGGTACGGAATATAAAGGTGTGATGAATAAATCTGACATTTATTGACAGACAAAACTACAGACTGTATCCAGTGACTGTCCCGAAAAAGAAAAAAAGTTCTTCGGTTGAACTGTCGGAACAAAATAGCTGCTAATCTGCAGGAGAAACATTTTGGGTCGGATTGGGAAATAAATCTGGGCTTTTCTGTTGCATTATGAAGCATAAACCTTCAAAGATTATATTCCCCACAAGCATTCAAAGTTTAATTTACACTCAGATTTATTCAGCACTTGTTGAGTGCAGTCACATGACCTGAGGTGTATTTTAAAAAAAAAAAAAAAAAAAAAGGTGACGGCTCAGCAACCCCAAAAATGCTGTAAACTGGACCCTCCACGTCATAGTTCTGTGTGCTGTACAGTACGAAATGTGTTGAAAAAAATGTATAAACCTGTTGAGTCTCTGCACCACACACATTTACAGTTGTGTTTTCACACGCCCACAGTTTGTAAGACGCAAGAAAACAAAAAGGGGAAAAAGTTTCCACGTTACTCCTTCCCCCGCTGCCTCACAGGTTTAAGTCTTTGTGTTCAACACCAGCTTGTGGAGCACAGAAGGCCTTCTTGGTCTTCAGCTTCTCAGCACGCAAAGAGGCCGCGAGCCTTCGGTACTGTTCTATTTGGTCCTCTCGTTAGAGGGTTACTGTCCACTCAGGAAGGCAAGATGGCCTTTAGTGCATTTGTTGGCATAGTGGCCTTTTTCTCCACACTGCAGACAAAAGGATCAGAAGGAAAATCAAAAAGGTTATAGGTCAATTAATGTCCAATCTGAGCTTCATAAAACCACAAGATGAATTTAAAACCTGAGAGATTTATGGTTTGAGGTCAGCATGTGCTTCAGCAACACCAACAACATTAGAAAAAATATCTCCACATTGCTGAGGCCACTGATATGTGAAAAACACTGTCCGGCTGACTAAGCAAAGAGAAAAAAAAAAAAATCAAATAAATTAAACCGAAGATGACGCACCTTGTAGCAGGTGACCTGGTCCAGAGGACGCGGCCCTCTGTTGGCAGTCATGTTGTTTTGCTGGCCGGCGTTCATGTTGTTCTGCTGCCGCAGGCCGGGGCTGGAGTTGGTCAGTTGGATTAGGGACAGCGACGAGCGACCGATGGGGGGCATAATCTGCAGCGGGGGGGCACACAAAGACGAGGGAGCTCAGACAGAGACATCTACCTCCGGGTGACCATCCGACCCATATGAGTGCCATGTCCGTGCACAGTTACGAGGGCGCTGGGTGTCCGTGTACCGGTTGTCTTACCTTTGTCTGGTTCTGGACTTGCTGTGGCAGAGGAGGCTGTTCAGACGCTCCCATTGGCAATTCAAACCGAGGACTGTAAAAGCAACGTCTGACTGTTAGCATCGTTTTTTTAGTTTGCTTGTTCCAGTGTTGCTCTAACCCACATATTGGACTGTAGCAAAATCGTACGTGTAACGCTGAGTAATGAATAAGAGTCACTCACTGCATAAATTTACAGGATTTTCCTTCTGGACAGAAGCCCACCAGGTAGTTGACGCAGATGACTCTTCTCGTGTGTCTGTGTCTGCAGTCGGGGCCTGAGACCAGAGGGGTGATGTAAATCGGGGGGAGAAGTTAAATCAAACTAATGCCATGTGGGTGAGCGGGGGTCAGTCTGCTCTGGAGCCGGACCTTACCGTGTTTGCAGAAGCCTCGGTCGTACCACGGGCAGTCTTTGATCTTCGATTCTGGGTCAATGTGTAGGAAGGGACACTCCTTGTTGCTGCATTCACCTGAGGGGTCATCGCACAAATCAGAACCATTCATTCCCACCAGGTCAGCAAAGGTTTCAGAGACTGAGAAGCACGGATCAAGAGTCGGGCCGACTAACCAAACTTTGAGTAGAAGTAGCATTCGGGCATCTTGGTCATGTCATACTCGTGTAGGAACTCGCACTGATCTCCCTTTTTGCACAGTCCTCTGAGCCAGTGCTTGCACACCACCGTCTTCTCTCCGCTGATGTGGCGGAAGGGACACATCCCACCTGTGGGATACACATGCTTTTTTAAAAAGAAAAATCATATCAACATCTAAAAAAAAAAAAGATACACTTAACCTAAAAAAAATGCTGTCCCTAAAAGGCTCCAAAAGAGAACAGTAAAGAGCACTGAACAGTTTAGTTTGCCTTACATTTAGTTAAGGACCTTAAAGATGTTCCATTTGACATCAAGTGGAAAAGATCTATTGAAAATGTTTAATGTATCCAAAAAGTATCTAGGAAACTGACAACTATTAAGCCGTAACCTACTGTAAACCCATCATGTGCAGATTGCTATGGTTTTGTGTAAAGCTTTTCAAAAAATGCCATTTCTATTCAAACCGATCTTGAATTCCAAACATGCAACACTGCAACTCTCTGGCAAGTGGCTGGACATGCCGCACGCCGTGCTTTTACCTTTCATACACGCTCCCCTCATGAAGAACTCACACACAGCTGACCCGGACTCTGCAGGGGCACACAGTATCACAGCACTGATATCAGAGAGTGGTCAAAACAGATAGACAGAGCCGCTCAGGTGCCACAAGCTGTCGTTAGCTCCGTTAACTCCTTATGGTTAACGTACAACGGCTAGCAGTAGCGGCTAGCAGCCTCACACTTACTGTCCATGCCGGGGAACGGCAGAGGCTGCGCCCCCAACTGCTGCTCCACGGCCAGCTCCAGGTCAAATTTGATGTGATCCACGTTGGCGAGTAAGTCCTGCATGTTGGCTTTACTTTGTTGTTCCCACGTCAAAGAAACTCTGCGCTTTTCAGTTAAGCTAGCTTTAGCTCGAACGGGTTAGCTTGTGATCCCCTCATCAGCCAGCTGAAGTGGCTAACGAGGCTAGCCAGGCTAACCGATGAACAAACTGTAACCGGTTATTAGAAATGGAAAAAGTTGCGGAGACTTGTGGCTTTCTTGTTTGAGGGGAAACTCCAGAACATGGCTAGGTCTGTAAGTTTTTTGTCGCCGAACTGCTCCTTGTTCTGCGAGGGCGCGCGCACATTGACCTCTGACCTGACCGATCCAGGCACAGCTAAACGATCACCGAGCGCTCATCGAAAATACGCTTTTTCTAATGCTGCTATTATGTTATTTAAATTTCTTGTTTAATTATTTTTTCTTTTTTAATTTTCAAATATAAAGTCATGTGAGATATAAACTACTCCCTCTTAACAATTAATGTTCCAGGACCTGATACAGATCTGGTCCTTAACAGATCTTGACATTATTATTGAAATGACAAAAACTAGTTAATAACCTAATAAACAGTGTTTGGGAAAACTAAGACCACCTAATATAATCTGTTTATATTATGATCGTAAGCAGTAGCCAAATGCTACTTAAATTAGCTTAGTAACTTGATCTTTCAAAAGCATTAACACCCAGCAGCATATGTTTAACAGAATGCCAAGAAGGAAAGATACCAGTAATAAACATCTGCTGCTGCCCATCAACCTGTATACAGTACAATTAAAATAAAAGCTTAAAAGTTGTTTTGGAAAATGGAAAGTTAAAGCCCTGTGTTTATTATAATCTGTGATGACGTATTTCTTTTACAGGCACAGGACCTGGACACCTTGCAATCACCGAGTTGAATGAATTCAACTGACATCATCCTTCACTTTTGTCAAATTATTTGACATAAGACCATATATCCATCTTTTTCAGCTTATCCAGGGACATCAGATCCCCTTATATCCACTCTATCCAATTTAAGGCCTCAGGGAGGCTGAAACTATTTTCTTTTTTTTATCTCAATTAAAAAAAAAAACAACTCTGTAACTTGTGTAATCGTTCATTTAATCAAAAGTACAAATAAAATATTAGTTTATTCACAGACAAGAAGAAAACATGACATCACAAATTAAGCAAAGACAGATTGTAACATCTAAGAAGCAAGCCACTGACCAAATCCTGTCTGAGCTCTGTAACGTAACAAAATAATCAAATGACAATGGAAAAGTCCAATTCCTCTCCATTCACACAAATCTGCTCCATCCTGATAAGCATCTACTCATAAATCCTTTGAATTATACAGAAAGTGGCTGATGTGGTTATTGACAGATTTAAAACCCAAAACACCACCCAGCCAACAATGTTCATTGTATCTAACAATCAGTTCAACTCGATTCAGTGTGTGAGCTGCTGCTCCTACAGCTCAGGGAGGCCGGGCATGGGAAACTGCCCAGCAAATGCCTCCACCTCATACTTAATCTCAGCCACCCGCTGCTGGAACTTCTCTCCTTGGGCCAGGGCCTGGATGAACTCCTTCAGAGTGGCCTTTGGATCCAGACTTCTCTGTACCTCCAAAGTCAGCTCAATACCTGCAATACATCAAATCTCAGTTAGTGATCTATTCCTTTCTAAATTAATGTGAATGGATCTGTCTCAAAATGCACCAACGCCTCATTTAAAAAATATCACCTCTGTGGATGAATTCGGCCACTTTCTTGAAATCCTCCTCCGTCAGGCCTCTGGAGGTCAGAGCTGGAGAGCCAAACCTCAGACCGCTGGGTCGCAGAGCGCTCTTATCTCCTACACACAAAATGCAAAAAAACATCTTAAACTGACCTGAAACGCTTGTCAGTGCAAACCAATGAATAATAAAGAGAGCACACAGAATACCTGGACAGGTGTTCTTATTGCAAGCGATGGCGCAGGCCTCGAGGACTTTCTCGGCTCGTCCCCCATCGCTCCCCTTGCTGCGCAGGTCCAGAAGGATCAGATGGTTGTCGGAGCCGCCTGTGGAGGAGGAAACAGAGAGGCTTCATCACGGGCGCCAAAGCCTCGCCACTGGCCTGACCCACTCACTGACAACACTTCTGCATGTATTAAATAATGAAGCGAGCAGTTGGAAATGGGTGGCATCATTCCAAACAAGGCTCTGTTGCTTTTCTGGCTCTTACCAGTGACGATCTTATAGCCGTGGTCCATCAGAGCGCTGGACAGAGCTTTGCAGTTGGCGAGAACCTGCAGCTGGTAGGCCTTAAACTCCGGCGTCATGGCTTGCTTGAGAGCCACGGCAACACCTGTCAGCCAAAGACAGGAGTGAGACGGGCGCTGAGGCAGCGGGACATTTGACCTGCAGAGGTTTAATGATGAGGCGTGGGGCGGTGTGGGCAGGGGTACCAGCGATAGCATGATTGTGGGGTCCTCCCTGCAGCCCCGGAAACACAGCCTGATTGATCAAAGACTCCAGGTTGTACGCGGTCTCCTTTCCTTTGGCGTCCACACTGCGCACACCTGGCAGAGAGAAGGAAGCAAAATAAAGTACCAAGGGAAAGGGGGGGCAAATGGTCGGGGTCAGCGTCCTTTTCTACCTTTCCTGTAGAAGATCAGCCCAGCGCGGCAGCCGCGCAGGGTTTTGTGAGTCGTCGTGGAAACAATGTCACAGTACTGGAAGGGTGAGGGCACCACCCCAGCAGCCACTAATCCACTGATGTGAGCCATGTCTCCCATCAGATATGCACCGTTCTCATCAGCAATCTGCTTCAGGCGGGCGTAGTCAAGGTTGCGGGAGTAGCAGCTTGTCCCTACAATAAGGGAAGGGAAAGGGGGGGGTGTCACTGATGCCACGTGCCGGTTATCCACAGGAGGTACAAGTGTGTGTGTGAGCATTAAAGACCTGCTATGATAAGCTTGGGGTGATACAGCCGCGCATTTTCTTCCAGTCTGTCGTAATCGATGTAGCCAGTTTCTGGATTCACCTGAACAAAACATCAGCTTTGGTTAGCCGACACACATTGGTCCCCAAAAATGTCTCTTCAGTCTCAATCAGCAGTGAGATGAGACCGGCAAAGTATTGGTCAATCCAGATATATTCTTCAAAAGGTCGTGTTGCCTTCATCAAGATGTCCTTTCGTTGGAGTTAACATCAGACATGAACGATAATATTCAGAACTTAACCAGAAATGCTCCTGGGGTGTTGTAAAGATGGCAGTTAAACACACAAAATAATAAACGGCGCTCAGGTGCACAAGGCTTTCATGTGAAGGTGGCATAATGACTTAAAAGGAAGCTAATCACTTAGCTGCTCCAACTATGGAGACAGAATGTTGCCCTGTGACAGTGATATAAAAACTGTGCCAGCAGTCACCACATGGCTTTCAGCTTAATTGGTTACATGAAATGCTGGTAAGATGAAGGTTCCACGTTTGATTCCATGGAAAACCCCATTTTATTTACACTCCCAAACCAAGCTTAATCTAAACAATTTCAGCAGCGAGGTCCATTTTAATTGCTCATCAACTTCTTTCTGATCTGATCACAGATACCCAGTTTCTGTTAGGGGTGGAGGTCACCTGCTTGTACCTTATATGGCATAGATTCAAAGAAGATGGACGTTGCGGAGATTTTCTTCTTATTGGTCATGAAGCCGTGTGTCAGGTGCCCACCATCAGGGAGGTCCAGTCCCATGATCCTGCCGTGGGGCTCCACGATGGCCGTGTACACGGCAAAGTTGGCAGGGGAGCCTTACAGAGACACGCATGCAACCGAGGGTGTGATGACACAAGGAGAGCACAGAGGATGTTGTGCAGAGGACAGCTACGACACAGGTGTCACATACCTGAGTATGGCTGCACGTTGACTCCCCATTTGTCGGAGTCCAGGCCGAAGGCTTCCAAAGCCCTCTTCTGACAGAGTCTCTCCAGCTCGTCCACATGCTCAGTTCCACCATAGTACCTGAGAAAAAAGGGTCAAGCTGATTATGATATTGAACTTTATTGGGTCTTTATCACAGAATCATAAAGCCAATTGTAAGTAAACAATAAGGTTTGAATAACTACTTGCAAAAGTCAATCAAGTCTCTGACCTCTGACCAGGATACCCCTCCGAGTACTTGTTGTTCATACAGGAGCCCAGAGCCTCAAGAACCGCCCTGCTGGCAAAGTTCTCAGACGCTATCAGCTCCAGACCGTACGTCTGCCTGTGCTTCTCTTTTTTTATAATGGAGAACACCTGAAACAAACACGGTGTTACTCATGTAATCCGTGACAAAAGAGAAAACCAAGTTGCCATTTCTCTCCAGTATATTCTGATGAACACAAACCTCAGAGTCATTGACGGCCAGAGGCTCCAGCAGCATCTTGTTGTGCGAGTCCCACGTTTCTTTGCTCACACTGTGGCCATTTGTCATCGACATGTTTGTTGTTTTTCTGGCTGGGTAACGTAGGGATCCTGCAGGCAAAGGCAAAAGTTGAACTCCTCTTTCAGAGATTAGATATGATTTCCAGACACAGAAGTGATATAAAGACTTTTGGCTCGATAAACACATAAAGTAGTCAATAAAGTTTGATGGCACACATCGAGATAAAAGTGAACAAAGACTGCTGCTTAAAAAAAGATTTGTTGTTTATGCAGAGGCTCTCTTGTTACAGACTAAAGCCCAGGACAAAAAGTTCACCTGCATCACGACCAACTAAGAATGTTGCAACCCCTCTGCGTGACATAGCCTCAATAGTTAACCTTTGAACCATTACGCAGGATTCTGATCATATGTGCTGCAGAACATGAAGAAACAGCCTTGTGTGCGAACTGGTACCCGTGTTTATTTATCCTGTAAACAAGTTAAACGTCTCCACATGACACTCATGCACTAGTTTGATGCTTGCCAAAAAACCAGCGAACTTAGCACGGCGCGTGTCTCTTATTAGGATCATTTTCAGTTGTTTACTGACCCAGAAACGGCTAAATTAGGCCTTATGTTAGGACCGTGAGGATTTAGTGACAGACATCCAAAAGTACTCGCAACAACACATACACAAGAGGTTCGAATAGCGCATTTTTAATGGTAGTTTGTTGTTTGCAATGAAACAAAGCCAGTTGCTAAACGTCACATCAGGGCGGACGCAGTAAAACCGCGGGAGGGAAAATAAATCAAACAAGAGCGCCGTTATCTCAATTCTATTTCTAGCCGTTGGTAAAATAAAAACATTTGGATATTTTTTTGCGTCGATGAAGTATGAAACAACTTACCAGGTGATGGAGTGGGCAGCCGCCGCTGTCAGTGGTCGTTTGGTCAATGAGCAGGACTGCAACACACACGAACGTCAAAGGGAAGGCAAAGTCCGCCAAACTTTCCACCAATCACGGCGGACCATTGACACATTTCTTCTTCGTCTTCACAATAGCGGGTCCGGTACAGTACCGCCACCGTTGTCCCGGAGTGAGAGCTTACTTTTTTCAAAGCGTCACACCTCACAGCAAAGTCACATACTGTCTTAACAAAATCTTTAGTTTAACATAATATACGTCAGAATGTAAAACCTGAAATTCCAGTGAAATATGGAACTTGTTTGCACTTGTTATTCACTGTAACTGAGTTAGTTATGTAAGTTAGCAGGTATGTAGTAAGTATGTAAGTTATTTTCCGTTCAAAATGTAACAGGATGCAAAACTGAGTTGAACACCTTCAAAAAACATTTTTAACATGAGTTGAAGTCTGCTCAAAACTTTGATTTAAAGTGATATTGATAAAATATTTTACATATACAGTACATGCAAATAATGTAAACCACACCAACACAATTTCACCTCTGGTTGTGTAGCAGTTTGAAAAAAGGAAAACAAAAATAAAGAAATTCCCAGGCTTTTGCAGTCATGTTCAGGCAAAAAAACATTTAACTGTTATGTATATAACAATTAAATTATAGCTTATACATTTTAGATGCTGTCTCAAATCCCTCTCGAACTGAAAAATTCTCCATTTCCAAAGTAAACGTCTGCAATATTGACTGATCTTGTTTTCCTATCAGTGGACCTAACATGGACTCTTTAACTGAGGTTGGGACCGTTGTATACCTGATCTTAATGTCCTGTGTCCAGACTCCTGCATCAGTCTGCGCTATGGAGCTGAAATCAGAGTGTAGGGGGGCACTCAACTCCCTTAGGCTACTGTTACAGATTCTCCCCAAATGTTTACGCAAATTCTATTTTTTTCATCATGTTCATCTGAAATATTCTACTGAGTCAGTTATTTACAATGTAAGATCCAAAGAAAAAAACATAGCTGTAAAGCTCAGATAGCGAACTTGAATTTGTACAATGATAAGTAGAGCATGATTTACACCGAGGGGTTCATTCCAAGTGTGAGCGAAAATTTCTCATTTGCAGATTTACTTCCTGGGGGAGATTGAGGTTGTTACTCCATGCCAAAACATACACAATCCTTCTCCAATGGTGTCTCCTCAACCATTTTCCAAATGTTCATAGTTACAGTAATGTCAAATACTCTTCATAGATCTTTCTTTAAAAATAGTCAAATATATCTATTGCAGCAGTCCGTGAACAAGTGAAAATGCTTCTGATATACTCTGCATCATTTTAGTGAGAGCGAGTTCATTCCTCTAGTCGCCGCCACTGCCGCCTCTTTTGCTGTGGAGAGAAAAACACACGATCAGCTGCTCCTGTTTCATGTTATCTGGTGTAAATAGTGGCAATAGGAGACCAAGCAGATTATGAGTTCTGAACGTTAGGCAAATCGCGCAACTTTTTAAAACTCCCTGCTCTTCAGTATTTAAAAAGACCTCAAGCTGTGTGTGTCTAACAGTTAAGTGTGAAAAACAAAAAATATCTAAAAAAATACTGGGATACCATACTTTTTTATTCATTTGTTCAGTAAAAATGATAACATAATTTGATCCCTGAGCTGCAATAGCCTCGTTTATCTAAAAGAGAATATTTCAGGGCTGATTTAGGGTATTTATTTCATGTCTTTTTTACAGGTTCAGGACTGCTGTTTGACAAATTGACTGCAACAATATAAAATGTTCAACCAATCTTTTGCTGCTCACCTTTCTTCTCCTCCTCTTTCTTTTTCGCTGCCTCCTCTCTTTGTTTTCTGATAATGGCGAGGCGGGCGAGGTCGGCTTTGGCCTGGTCCGTTTTCCCTGCCAAGTGCATCTTCATGTAGCGCTCCTTCGCTTTCTGCTTCTCAAGCTCTTCTCTGCACAGGAGGGAGTCAAAGTGGAGGAAAAATCGACAAGAAGAAAGAAGGTTTTTGACTAGGATTATAGAATTTGGGGTGATCAAACTGTGTCCTTATCTTCAGTTTCAAAACCGTTGCTTGATATTATTCTTTTGAATATGATGGATCTATAGTTCCAATTATGCAGACTTCCAGGTGGAACTTTTTACTAAGAATGGCCTGGTTGCTAACACACACCTCTCTCTCCTCGATAATGCCCGGGGCTCATCCAGCTCAATCTGCGTCACTTTCTTGGCCTTCTGAGCCACTCTGTTGGGGTTCTCAATCTCTATCAAGCCTTCCACACCAGCTCTCCTCCTCTGAAAAAAAAAAACATGTAGAAAAAAAAGCTCAGATAGTGTAATGCAAAAACTCAATTCAGTGCATTCACAGGGAAGTACCAAAAATGGTAACAAAGCTTTACATGTACACTTAAAAAACACTAAATGTGTGTGTGGTAACTTAGTGAGGATGTGACAAAAACAGTGTGGCAGCACCTGGGAATCTTCATCATCACTGTCTTCTGAGCCAGAGCCTGCTGGTTTCTCCTCTGTCGGGTCCTTCTGAGCAGCTCCTTCATTTTCCTCCTGTTCTTGTTCATTCTACAACATTTGTATGACACACAGCAGACCACCTCAGCATCACACAACTCATGTAAACAATACTGCAAAGCAGTTTCAATAATCATTTCTAAAATTGGCTGGTTTATGGAGGAAGACCATGTTCTCTAAGATGTGTTCTCTAGGATCCAATTCATGGATCCTAGAGAAAACATCTACCAGTGCCCCACAGGCATTTCTTTGAATCTCATCCTTATGACAAAACAACTTGTTGAATTATAAGAGGAGCTGGCTCCACTTGTGTGCCAACCTTTTTTCTCTCCTTCTCTGCCTTCATCTGCGCGTCTATCTCCTCGGGGCTGGTGTATGTCCGCATGCGACCCTTGTGGCCACCTTTCTTACCTGCAACCATGACCATAATAGAGACTGATATCATTTTCAGATGTGACAGCAACTAGAATGAATGGTGTAAAAGGCGAACAGACAAGTGTCAACTGAAACAGACCAGTTTGTTAGGTTGTCTGCTATTCCACAATGTTAAAACGCGTAAATTGTAGAAATGTAAATCAACAGTCCGTCTGTTATGAAGGAGTATTTGGATCGTTACATGTTTGCTGTCAACAGCAGCCAAACAGTTGTAGATATAATATATTTTAAACACTAAGTCATATTTTACGGCTCTTCTTACCTCCTTTGGGCATCCTCACGGGCGAAGTCTATGCTTAAAAATGTCTAAAAATAAATACTGACAAAAAACATAAATGTTAACGTAGCAGCAGAAACTGACAGCTGGCTAAACTCAGCCGCACAGAGCAGCATAAACACTGAGTGGTTCAACCCTTTGCCTGTCAAGAAATCTTCATTTCGTTGACTACATCAGTGGTTAATAGCCATATTTACAATCATTATATAAATATATTCAAGCAAAATGAAGTAGTTTAGTTACAATACGTAGTAATCAACAGCAAAATATGTAAATACCTATGTTTATTGCGAGGCAGTTCTCTAGTTTGCTAAAGTGATGCAACATGCTAAAAATAACAGAAACTATTTACATTTTAATTTTTTAGTTCAATACATTTTTATAACTCTATAACTTAAAAATACGTTTTCTAAATGTAAATTAGGTGCAATGAGGCCATTTACACGCAAAAAGAACGGTATGTGCGGTGAGGTCATTTGAGCGACAAATTGAAGCAAACTTGGAGTGACATCATATTCCTGCGCCGGTGTCTGGTTCGTACCACAGAGAAGAAAACATCGGTAGCCTTTGTTATAATTTTACTACTCAACAGAGCCGAAATGCCAAAAGTTAAGAGAAGCCGAAAGCCCCCTCCAGATGGATGGGAGCTTATTGAGCCCACTTTAGACGAGCTGGATCAGAAAATGAGGGAAGGTACGGTAGATACGGGGGTTTCTCGCTGTATTGCCGTGAGGCTGCTAATGCTTCGATGGTGGATACTCTGGCCGCCTGTTTATTCGCGTTTGGGGTGGTTGTGTGCCGTTGGGTAGTCAATTGTTTAACTTCCTTGTGAAAAAACTGAACAGTTTATAGTGCTTTCGTTTTGAAAGTATAAAGGTATATTTTTTAAGCAGGCAAAAATAGGCCAAAATGAAAACATGATGTCAGTGATCAAATCTTTGCCGTTGGAACACGAAATCCAGTGTTTTGGCAGAAGTTGTTGTTTTAGATGTGGTGTAATTTACATTGGTGTGATCAACACCACTGCTGCACAACTGAATTTAATATCTTCTAAGTAATTTTCAATTATCCTGACCTTCCTCCAGCTGAAACAGAACCTCATGAGGGGAAGCGAAAGGTGGAGTCCCTTTGGCCAATTTTCAGACTTCATCATCAACGCAGTCGTTACATCTTTGACCTGTTCTACAAACGGAAAGCCATCAGCAGAGGTAGCAGAGCCAAATTGGATGTATTATTTACATGTTTAACCATCTATATTCACATGATTTCTTTTTTTACTCTTTATTCAGATATTAATTTAGTTTAAACATTCAAGAATTGAATTGCCATATTTATGCATATGTGTATATATGATGGATACTTGCTTTCTTCTGGTTTCTGACAGAGTTGTATGAGTACTGTATAAAGGAGGGCTATGCAGACAAGAACCTGATTGCTAAGTGGAAGAAGCAGGGCTATGAGAACCTGTGCTGCCTGCGCTGCATTCAGACGCGAGACACCAACTTTGGAACCAACTGCATCTGCAGAGTCCCCAAAAGCAAGCTGGAAGTTGTAAGAACGTTATCCTTTTTTGCTCAAGCAGTTTAGATTAGCCCACTTTCTGTGTTTATGTATATTCTTTTTATAACACTGTGCTGAAATGAGAAAATCTTCTCTCTCTGCAGGGCAGGATCATTGAATGCACCCACTGTGGATGCAGAGGATGCTCTGGCTAAGATGTAGTGTTGGGACTTTTTTCTTCTTTTTTTGGACATCAGGGCTTATCCAGCCTCTGCTCTTGTTATATTGGAACAAATCATTTTAAATCCATTCATCTGCATCAGAAATGCATTCTTTACAGTCCTCTCCAGCTACCCCTGTGGGGAGGGGGCAGATTTTTTTTAAATGTTCTTGTGTAAACACAGAAAAACAACAACAGAGAACATGCTGAAAGGGGCCATATTGTCTTAACAAATGTTTTTCCTATACATTTGTGTTCATTTTATCCCAAACTAATGCCCTCAAATCTAGAAGCTCATAGTTGGAGGTTAAAATGAGTTATTTCTGGATCAGGCCTGTCATTCCAGATAGTCAAACCCACGTTGAGGGTCTGTGCTAAAACATCGCCTCTCACTTAGTTGGAAATGAATAGGTTTTTAGTTCAAAATGTCATTGCTTTAAATTTTCATTTTTGTTGTGTGATTATAATAATAAAAAAAAATCAGATTCACTTGCTGGAATGTTTTGTCCTTTTTACATTCTTTCATCTTTGCTTTCAATCCGAGCCAAATTTAGAACAGGAGTTGTTGGTTTACTCAAAGACGTTTCTTGTGGCAGAAAATGTTACAAGAAGGTTGAAAGCCTCATTTGTGTGAGTGTATTCCCCCCCTTCAGCTCAGTGAATGATGGGGTGGGGGGTTAGATGTTATTTATGTGGTTACTTAATTTCAACCAGAGGACCCCATCTTAATGTTCCATTTAGTTAATTTTTTCTTTCTCTGTGTACATTAATGATGCAGAAATGGCCAGTGATGTAAGTTCAGAAATACCAATTGGATTAAAAAAATGTTTTCATGCTTTTTTAACTAAATTTAGATATATCCTTAAGGACTTAGAATGATCTTTTTCACTATGTATTTTGTGGCACAGAGGAATAACTACAAGGCCTTGGAACTTTATCTTAAAGTGAACACAATATAGAAATTCTGGCTTAGTAGTCTTGTGCACAAGAGCGACCAGTTCTTTACGGCAGTATGATTTCCATGTTAAGGTAGAAAACAAGACATATTTTTATCGTTTGTTTTTTGCTTAACCATGCCTAATATTGAATATTAAAATATTTATTCCACTTAAATTGCTTTTTAAACATGACTGATTGGGTCTCAACCGGTCACATTACAGTTGCCCTCAATGCTGACCTCCAGAGCTGCTAATATGATGAAACGCATCAACTTTTGTTTCCCCGACTGATCAAAAGCAACACGCAGTTTCTGCGCCCAATTATCTGCCACAAATGATTGACTTTTAGGTTGTAGATAAAGGCTGGTAGAAACCTCAAACTGAGTCTCCAACACACTCAGCTCCCACTGAAAGTATTTAGGAGGATAGAGCACAATGTTACAGGCTTGTTTACACTTAATCAATTTCCCACCGCCTTCCTCCTGTGCTGCTCCAGCAGGGTAATTAGAAGTGCTCACAGAAGAGCAATTTATTATTCATGGCACCTCAAACACACACACATCCGTCATCGCTGAAGCACGCAGGCATGAGGCTGTTGGTGTTTTGGATGTTTGACAGTGATCTGGAGCTTGAGTTGGACTCTTGCGTGGTGAGATTGGGGAGAATCAAAATGGCCACCTCGCCAAAGCAAAAGAAAATAAAGAAATAAATGGAAGACATAAAAGCACCAACACATTCAGATCGTGCTTTATTCAAATCACTGGCTATGATGCTGTCTTGTGGGGCTGAAGTGAGCTCAGCGGCCCCCCCCCCCCGATGATAAGGTTCAAAATGTAGATATGGTATGGCAACATAAGGACACTGCGTGACTACATGTAAAAGCACACTGCGGTATGGCTTTTTCAGATTACATTCACCTTTTTTTTTTTTTGCATTAACAGGACATTAGCTTTAAAAAAAGAAAAAAGAGGTAGGGTAGCACACATGCTGCAACAATATTCACAAAGCTCAAACTGCACCAAACTCAAACAATAAATGGAATGGAATTTGAACAGAATTGCGCCCCTTTCTCTTGTTTTAAAAGCCAATGAAACAGAACTTTTGGGAAACAAATATTCAGGGTGTGTGGAGCTTTTTTTCTCCGCTCCCCGCATAACCATAAACACACAACAGGGGATTATTCATAGCATGTACCCAGAAAAAGGTTTATTAAATAAAGAACGCGCTGCTCGAAAACCAGACTTAGGCTCTCGCTTCTGATGGCACGGGTAAGATAAATTCTTTCTACAACAGGGGGTTTAAAAACAAAACATCGGTCAGTTCATCATAGTATGGCAAAAATCGACAAAATCATCAACACAGTGATCACCCTGGCACAAGACTGTCTCATGCTGACGCCACAACATTCATACAACTTTAAGACAACAGTGAAGTTCAATACATCTAAGTTAAGTAGCTTTAAAATGTTCCTGATTGTGTGTGTGTCTGTGTGTGTGTATTGGGGGGGGGGGTTACTGTCAATGAAAATGCTTACCAGCAGCAAAACGCCAAGCTGCCGGTCTCTAAGTGGACAAGATGTAGATGTGTTATCACAACTTTCACATCGCTGATGGGATCTACTTCCCGCACCCTCTTGCAAATGGACCCAAAAGCCACCTTTTACAGACTGCCTTCTGCATGCCCTAAGAAGTCAAGGCTAGTCAGTAGAAAAAAAAATCCAACATGGTGGGACTTTGGAACTAAATGGACATTTGTCAGTTACAGCAGGAATGTGTGTTAGAATACACCCACCGAAGAGAAAAGTCACAATACCAACAAAAAACAAAAAAAAGGGAAAAAAGACACACTTTTGGACTTATGGAGGGATGTTTTCATGGAAGCAGGCTCGTCACAAAACCAGCCATGAGGAGCCGGCGCACGGCTAGTGGGGCTTCGCTGACACACGTCTGTTCTGGAATGGACAGAAGATGTCAGCATATGCGTGTGTGTTACAGTGATGCTGAAAAACATGTTTACGTGGAGTTTGGATGAGAGCAAAGCTGACAAACTGCTCCGTGACTGGGAGGTGTTAACACATAACTGAGCCTGAACCTGCCAGCGAAGCCGGGCTGAAGTCAAAGCAGAACACACACACACACACACACACACACACACACCAGCTGCACGCTGACGTCTTTGCCTGTGTGCGTGTCGATGAGCTCGCCAGTACAAGGGACTTTTATTCCCTCCGTTTCCATAAAGGTGAAAATACTTTTCGAAGACTAACAAGAGAGCCAGCATCCATCCGATTAGTTACACATGTTACTGGTGTGAGCACATAAACACCTTCCCAGGTCAAATATGCATAAATAAACTAGTCTAAGACGATCAGGAGAAACTCTGTCTCCCGTTTTCCTGAAAACAGAGAAAGAAGCAACAGCAGAGGCAGAGAGAGACCGAACGGGTAAAACGATAACCAGTGCACAGAGTTTGGACCTTCTTAAGATCACTTTTGGTCCATTAAAAACCAACGCGTCCGCGACAGTGTCTGATAAAATACGAGTCAACGCTCCTCCTCCTCCTCTTCCTCCATCTCCCCAGAACGATGTCAGATTTTGTATAAAACGCTGGTGGTGTAGTTGAAGCGAAAGCAGGGCGGCTTGGCGGTGCTTCCGTCGGAGGGCTGCAGGTACTGCTGCGTGATGAGCTGGCTGAGGTAGAGCAGAATCCGGCTGTCCTCCTCGTCCACCCCCAGCTGCTCCTGCAGGAAGCAGCGGCGCCGGCCCTCCACCACCTCCGACCCCTCCCTCGGGCTGACGGGCAGGTGGAGGTGGTGGGTGAAGGTGAGCAGGAAGGCCTTGGCGGCCAGGCGGCAGAGCGTGCTCTGGAGGTGGAGGAAGTAGGTGGAGCCGCGGCGGATGCAGGTGCGGTGGTCGGCCACGTTGGCGAGCAGCTGGCCGCGGTACGGCGGGCAGCGCAGGGTCTTCAGGTCGGCGTCCAGGATGGAGATGTAGCGGCTGTAGCGCGACAGCGAGTGGAGTATGCTGGAGCCCACGGGAGATGCCACCCTGCGGGACAGAAAAGAAGAGTGAAACCTCAACGCTGCTTTTCTTTCTGTTTTTTATGACTTGTACACATTTTTTATCCAGGTCCTGGTCCTGGGTTGGCTACATAACAGTTCTACACCACAACATTGAGTCTGTCTCTCGTTTAAGAGAAACCGATGCTTAACACCTACAAATACTACTGGAATCAGGAACCACTGACCATCCCAAATTCGAGGATAGGCGCAATTTTATATACGAGAAGCAGAGAGCTGCAGGCAAGCAGTAAGAACTCCTGGGTGGAGGTCTTTAATCAAAATCTAATATTCATTTCAATTCATAATCTTGAAATGTAGCAACGTGTAAAATGAACAGGACAAAAATATTTTGAGCCCAATTGATTTCATGATGTTTTACACAAAGAAATCTATGCACACAAAAAAAAAGTTAAACTGTTCAATTGCCCCAAAGTAAGATTGATAGTGCAAAATAGTGGAAATAATATGTAATCCGATACTGAAAATTAGCACCTATACAGATATCAAACAGCTCATTGTGCTGCCACTTCTGCACATGTACAACTGATGGTCCCAAACACATTTTAAAGGGAAAAGATGGTACCAGTGTCCAACTTTACATGAACCCACCTGGTTATCGAGAGTAAAAATACAATTCCAATTGAAAATTATTAGGTATCAAGAAATATGCTCCCTCCCTATGCTCCAGAGTACATTATTTTGGTAATGGTCAGAGAGAGCCCTCACTACTGAACATCAAAGCCAAAATATGTCTCAGTCAATTAAATCTGATCATTGGAGGGAGAGTATAACAAACAATGGAACCCTTCACACTGACGAGCTGAATATGATTGTGCCACCACCGTCTGGGGCTTTTACCGTTTTTTGTAGTCAGTGTACACAGTAGTTGAACAGCCACACTGTTGCTTGTTGGAGCTTAAACAAATGCATTTTTATACCCAACATTCCTCACTTTTACAATGAATGCAGTTTTTGTTGTAGCTGCTGTAGTCTGTGGCGCTCTTTAGCCATGGTGCATTAGACACAGAGCCGTTTCTCTGAGCATTTATCTCCACGTCATCTACCCAGCCCTTCTTTGTCTGCCAAGTGTAACACAGCGCATACAGATATTTGTCTATATAAAAAAAAAAGCGAAGGAGGAAACAACAATGACGGAAATCCCCAATTTGATAAGTCACATGGCGACGTCACATGAGACATTTGAAATACTGCCTTCCTTGAGGGGAACCGTACGCAACAGTCTCAATTCAAACAGGTGCTTTTTTGTGCTCTAACAATACAGCATTTTTTTGTGTAAAAAAACAGATGAAGAGAAAACATAATCTGGCTTCAGCATCCATAACACATCTGTCTAAGGGTTCTAAAACAATAACTTCTTTGATACATTTGTAAAAGTAACAGAATAAGAATTTTTGGTGGGGAACTTTGACAGCCAAGGTCTTTCTTCTTTCTTCTGAAACCTGAGTGAAAAGGACGAATGTGGTGCCAGTATTGAATAGCCCTAATACTGCCGTTATGAGTCATCAGGGACTGAGTCACACCAGAGAAGTGGAATAAGGTGTGATAAAATCTATTTGACTGACTATATGAAAAAATTCAACTTAACATTTACAGAATCTTGGTATAGCTCTTAAGAAGTCACTCTTGATGTAATCGTCTATAGGCTGCCTTGTGTATTTGTTCTGCTGCAGGCCTTCCATACAAGCTTCATTGAATGTGTGATGTGGAAATAAATATGGTGTTGCTCAGCTTCCTCTTACCTTTGCAATCCGATGAGTTTCCACCTCTGCAGATCGGTGAGGGTAAAGGGACAGGACAGCCAGGCTTGAACCCTCTCTCCACACTTCCCAGGATCAGGAACAAAGAGAGCAAGAGCGGCAACCAGGCGGCGGACTCTCCCCTCATCCACCCCCAGCACCACCAGGGTTCTGCCGCTCAGGAGACACCACAGAGCTTGCATGGCAAAGGGGTACTGACGTACAAACCTCAGGGCGCCTTGGCCAGCCTTTTTCCTCTGACGGAGGGTCAGAAACCCGCCATACCCGAGAGGTGAGGCAGCCCGGTCTGAGCCAGTGGACGCGCTCATGGTGCAGTCTGAGCCATCCTCGAACGAGGCGAGAGAAACTGGTTCTCCGAGGGGGCCCACGGGAAGCTCCAGTCCGGCTGCTGCGCTTTCTGGGCCCGGCGAGCCTACAGTGTAGTCATCCTGGATTGGGAGAAGGGCCAGCGGCTCCTGGTTGACCACCAAGGTTTGATCGAGCGGTGGCAGGGAGCCCCGTTGCAGGCAAGGCACCGCTTTGGGGGCTGTGGGTTCATAAAGGAAACCCTCTTGGGCGATGCAGCACGGCGTGTCTATCGGAACCAGCAGGTCGGGCTCGTTGACCGTCTCACCCGTATCCTTCTGACCGAGCTCCAGCTCAGCCACCATTTCCAGCAATGACACAGGTGTCGCGTCTCCTCCGTTGTCACCGTCATCTTCCCCTGTGGTGGTCTCAATTTCTTCACTGCTACTCTCCCTTTCGTGGTCAGTGTTCTGGTCAGGGGTCAAATCAGAGTCCGGATCAGGCCCCTCTGATTTCATACTAGCCAGACTCCCTTGTTTCTCTGCTTGGTCTGTTCCACTCTTATCGCTACTAAAGCTTCCTTTGGTCTCCTCTGAACTCCCCTGTGTTTCTAGGGTCTGGTCTGAGGGGGAGGACTCAAGATGGCTCTCCCTAAGTCCAAGCTCGTTCTCCTGACTAACACTGGACCTCTCAGAGGCTGGAACTTGCGGACGTGACGGTTCTGGTACATCGAGTTCAAGAGGTGGCGATCCTAGCACAATATGAGGCGGATTTAAAGGTACAAAGTTGTTTGCAGCATGGTTCACAGCACAGAATGGTCTCAGCGTTCCTACTTCTTCCTCGTCGTCATCGAGGTCCTCCTCAAACAGGAAGTTGATAACTCTCTGTTTCCTGCGCAGCGCCTTGTCCAGGCGGCGCGTGTGCAGGTAGCACAGGTCCCCCCGGAAACTCCTCTCTGTTTCTTTTAGCAGTTCCACTGTGGCTTCGTAGAAGGTTTCCTCGCACAGTTCTTGCAGGGTCTTTAGGCGCTTGTCAAAACACTTGGCAGACTTAGCCTTGATTAGCTGAGGTGTGTAGGACGGCCTGCGTTTAGCATCCTCATCCTCATCCGCCTCTTCCTCACCTCTCTCGGCATCTGACCTGCCAAGCTCTCCTTCTCCTTTCGCCGCTTTGTTGCTGTAACCGAAAGGGTTGGCAAGCTTGGCGTATTTGTTCAGCAGTACTTCACACTCCTCCAAACACTCGGTCATACACTTCTGGCAGGTGACGGCTTGAGGATCACGCCGTGGACGGCGATGGTAGGAGCTGATCTGTTTGAGCAGGTCCCTGTGTTCGTAAATACTCTTTTCTACATTTGCAAGCTCGTTAGCCTTCTCCACAGCATGAGGCGAATACATAGACTGAGGCCCCGCCTCCCTCTGAAGGCCCTCCTCCCGCTGTAGCACAGAGTGGGTATACCTGAGGAGAAGAAAACAGCAGTCCACATCTTTACACGAATAGGGGAAATGCCTAAATCCCTACTGAAATATCTCAAGGACAATTTGATATATTATCATGACATGTTATACATTCACCAATCCCCAGAGGATGAGCCCATATGGACTTTACTGATCCTCTGACACTTACTTTTGGGTCATTAGCCACTCGACTTTTAGAGAAAGATCCTGACAGCTACATAATAGAAGAACACTGTCTCCAGAAGATGAGTCTAAGCAAAACTAACTCTTGACCCAATATGGGAAAGCTTGTAAATTATTTGCAAAAAATTTTCTTACTCGAGGTCCTGGAGCTTCCTCTGGAGCTCCTTGGCGAATGCTCTCCGATTCCCTGCCTTCAGACACTCGGATGCCTGTGAGAAGCGGAGGGACAGCTCTTGAAACTGAAGCATGATTTTCTTCTCATCTGCAGCCACGTACGCCATGCAAAAGGGTCTGACAAAGCCCCTGGCCTCCAGGTCGTAAAGAGTAAGGTGATGGACGTAGGCAAACGCCCCCTCCTTTGAATCTCCAAGCACAACCCTCGAGTCCTCCACAAAACTGAGCCTTGGATAGCCACTGCCGGGTGGATGGCCCACAAAAGACGCCTGGTAGTCGACTGACATGATGCGAAGGGAGAAATAGTTAAGATCGAAGGTGCCACAGACTTTGGGATCATCCGGGATGGTGAGGAGGGGCTGGGGGCCAACTTGCTCAGAGAACTCAGAGATGAGGATGAAGTCTTTGGTGAATTTGGCATAGGAAGTTTTGGCCCAAGGGTTGGAATCTGCCAGAGGATGGAGGGGAATGGAGAACTCCTCTGGGAGAGCCCAGGGGTCCGGAGTAGTCTGCCCATACTCATCCTCTTTAGTGAAAGCCACCACATCCGGGGAGCCTATCATAGTGGTGTTGCTGAGAAAGGCATCAGAAAGAGCAGCATCATAAAATAGCAGTACCACATCGGGGTGCAGGCACATAGAGTATAGACAGATCAGTCATGCTGCTCTAACACTGTGCTGACAGTACAAGGTTGAAGGAGTTAATCCAAAGCATGAAATAATTCCCAAAAGAAATGAACTGGGTCATAAATTATGCAGGGGATCCCCAGTGGGAAATCTGCAAGAAAATCTGCTGTGCCCCAAGCAAGCTGCAGCTCACAGAAGAGTATCTTGCATATGTCTCCAACATTAAGCCCGATCGACAATAGTACAACTCGATGTTTCTTTTAACAAAGGGAATTGTGTAGCGCCTGTCACAGCGTCCAAAGCAGGCATCACACCGTTTGTGCTCTCAAGAAATAAAGCTGCGTCTGTGGTGAGCGCGTGTTTTCCTCGTCCTCGAGATTCCATGTGTCGCGTCCATCCTGTCACTCGGCGCTGGGCTGAAGAATGGCGCGAGGGTAAAAAGAAAATACCGTTTACAGCTAGAGACGTTTCACATAATGATCACATCCAGAGACAGACGCCATGTTTACCCAGCTGGAGGCTGCGCGGTCAGGTGACCATCCTCCGCCCATTAAAAAGGAAATCCATTCTGAAACAGAAGATTTAAACAGACTGAGTGTTGGTATCTATTTAAGTGTCCAGTTCAATGACATGACTTTGCTTATCATTGTTCCTTTCGCCCATGGCTACCTACTGTAACTATAATTTATACTTTCTTGTTTGGGGTGGATTTTCCCATTACACAGCTATGTAAATACAATATAATTTAGTTTATATAACAAATTCCCAAGAAAGTACACCAATAAACTGACATTTACGAGGGCAACATTTATTATTATACTCGTAATGTTTGTTATTAGACATGTTAGGTGCAGGAATGTTACGACAGTTTTACGACCATGGGTACGGCAGTTTTTCCCCACTCCGGGCGCGGATTTTGTAAACACAGCTAACTGTAACCCTGCAACTGAGGGCGATTGATTTGGTCTTGTAGCTTTTTTATAATCCATTTCCCAAATCTCCGTGTTATTTTTCTTCCTTCCTCTCTCCGTGGTTGGTCTCTATTGACCTTGTTGGAGTAGTGACAACTTTTGAGCACTTTGTAAAACTTTCTGCGCGCGGGCGTCATGGCTTTAGCTAGCCCGCGGAGCTAGCATGGTTGCACAGAGGAGGGACAGCGGCCGGGAAGCTGCCTGGCGGACCGGCGGCTTCATGTGAGAGCGGGCCAGGCATGCGGTTACTGCACCTCCTGGGGAGATTCACGCTGCGACCGGGACTACCGCGGACAACCGTCAAGCCGAGGTACTTCTGCGGCCGGTCTCCGGACACACCACCGGAGGCGGACATGATCCGGAGTCGGGCTCAGATCAAGCGGGTCCTCTGCGTCGCCGAGAAGAACGATGCCGCCAAGAGCATCGCGGAGATCATGTCCAACGGCAGAGCCAGGAGGGTCAGTACAACACCCAAAAGAGAAAATTCTTTCTTACACCAGCAACCACCTATCAGAACACAAGCCCGGTACAAAAAAAATGGTCGGATACGTACATCCTCAAGTCTCTAATAAGTCGTTTGGCAGCTTTTCTTTAATTTTGTATTCTGGATATTAGATCATTAGAACCCTGTTACTAAAGAAAACATCCCAACCATACATGCTGTATGTATAGAGCAGAAACTGAGGTGGTTATCCTTTTACTGAACTGAACCGATCTAGTTCACATTAAGTCTCACTGAAAGCCACTTTGGATACAACTGTTTACTAAATTAACTCCATAGAGCAGAATGCTGAGATTTGCAAAGCCTGTTAAATGCTGACGGGAAGCCAAAGGGACAAATAGTTGCTCAGAGCTTGGTCTGATCAACAGTCCTGGCTAATTTGGTCATTCGTATATATTTCATGATGTGCCAGGTGTTGGCTTTTCTACTATGAAGTCATGCTGCTTTAATGTTACCTTCTTGGAAATATGCGTAGAACAGATTGGAGCACATACTCCTCCAAAACCTCTCCCATTTAAATGGCCTCTCCTGCTATAGAAGGTGCCAGTTCTTGAGTTAATAATTCATCCTAAAATCATCAGAGGCTTTTGAACTGAGAGCTGATAACAGAGCGCGTGGTTCCTCTCCTCTGTAGTCCAGAGGAAAATAGTCTTTGAAAACCAGAGTTTCTAACTTTGATTTGTGTGACCACTGAGCAGGTTTACTTTCCACTTTGTGTTAGTTCATTTTGAAGACTTTTTTACCAATAGAAGACAGTGTTTCTGGATCAGGCTTACTAATGACTTCTTGTCCATATGAGATGAATTCATGAAGTCATTTGCTACATTCTCTGAAAGTGTTCCTGATCCAAATCCATGTTGTACTAATGTGAACGGCATGCATACACCATGTAAATCATCTTTTGGTCCTGTTTAGCCATTGTTGGGTAACACTTCTCTGTCCAATAGAATTCAACACATTTCCATGGTTACGGAAGCCTTGAAGTTATAATACCCTTCTGAGATAGTCAGCACAAAAGTAAATGTTGTTACATAACCCCGCCATTATGCATAACCACTAACCAAACAAACATGCAGAGAAAAAGAATAATTTATCATCCACATTGAGCAGTCTCCTCTCTGACCCCGCATCAACCAGCCTTCAGTGAGCTCAGCACAGTTGTCTTTGTTTGCTATCATGCTGATTTCTTTATATATTTGTTGTGTTTTTCTCCATACAGAGGGAAGGAATGTCAAAATTTAATAAAATCTATGAGTATGAATATCAACTATTTGGCCAGGTAAGCAAACACCCTGAAACCATTAAGTCAGCTCATATGCACGAGCGTGTCTTCTCTTTTAAGTTTTTGCGTTTTGATTTTTTGTCTCCGTCCCTCACTAGAATGTGACAGTGACAATGACATCAGTGTCAGGCCATTTGCTGGGCCTGGAGTTTAAAGCACCGTTCCAGAAATGGTGGGTTTAAATATAGATGCTTCAGTGTTTTTATTTATTTCTTCCTACCCTCACTGTCACACAGTATCACAGCTTCAAACTTTGTGTGTTTTTTTCTCCCCAAGGCACAGCTGCAATCCCGTTCTCCTCTTTGATGCCGAAGTAGAGAAGTATTGTCCGGAGAACTACATACAAATTAAGGTGTGCTGGGGGGGGGGGGTTTCTGCCTAGAATCTTTTAAAAAAAGGCACCCTTACACATTTAGATCTGTATGTGTTTAACTGCTTGTTCCATGGATGAGTTACATGTCTAGAGAATGATGATGTCTGTTTATAGTTCATTTGGACTTGATACTGGTCAGAAAACCGGGCTATAATTTTGTTGCTCCCCGATTCGGACGCGTGATTCTTCTTTTGTTTTCCTTCTGCAGCGGACGCTGGAGAAGGAGGTGAGGCAGTGCCAAGCCTTGGTCATCTGGACCGATTGCGACAGAGAGGGGGAAAACATCGGCTTTGAAATTATCGATGTTTGCAAAGCAGGTATAGCACAGTTAAAAGCGCATCCGCTCACCATATAAAGCCGCAGGCCTTGCTGCATTTCTCAACACAGGGGCCTTAGTGGTAACCTGGCTTTTGTGTCTGGCCTGTTGTAGTGAAGCCCAACTTGCAAGTCTTCCGGGCAAAATTTTCTGAGATAACGCCCAACTCAATTCGGAGAGCATGTGAGACTCTAACGGAGCCCGATGTTAACATCAGTGATGCGGTTGACGTCCGCCAGGAGCTGGATTTGCGGATAGGTAAGCTCGCACTTATAGGATAGAGACTCTTTTTATGTTAGGAAATGCCTCAGCAGCCAGTAGTGAAGCATAAAATGTAGCTTTAGAGTTAATCTGAAAATGCAAGCCCTGAGAATTGTTAGTTGAATCATATTCTTTCCAATCACACTCCACAGGGGCTTCATTCACTCGATTCCAGACACTTCGCCTGCAGAAGATCTTCCCAGAGTCCCTGGCCAATCAGCTGATCTCCTACGGCAGCTGTCAGTTTCCCACCCTGGGCTTCGTGGTGGAACGCTTTAAAGCCATTCAGGCTTTCATACCGGAGACCTTCTACAAGATCAAAGGTTAGCGCCCCAATCTCAAACCGGCACGAAAGCCTCGGCTTTCAACAAGTGTTAACCCTTCTCCTGCATGTCTGTGCCTCCCAGTGCTCCATGAGGTGGAGGATGCCACTGTGGAGTTCAGCTGGAAAAGGAACCGCCTCTTCAACCACACGGCTTGCTTGGTGCTCTATCAGATCTGCATGGAGGTGCGTGACGTTTGAGTATAAGTCAACGCAGAGCTGTTAGGATGATGCTGTTAAGTCTGGACAGCACCTAAATGTCCCTAGGTGCTCATCTGCATTAGGTTTGTTTTTATTTGGAAGATGAAAATCCCTGCTGGGAAAAGCTTAACGGGTGAGCTGAAGATCGGGTCATGTTCAGATAAATCAGCGTTTTCCTCCGCTTTTCTGCTTGTCGATCCATCTCTTGCATCCTGGTGTCGCAGATCCTGAGCAGCTGGAACTTCCTATTGATGGAGTCGAGGCGTTGTCTGAATCTCTTGACAGCCACAGAGAAGCACATATTGTTCGCTAACGAGCCCCAAGCAATTATCACCTAGCTAGTTTTCACCGTCACCCACGGCTTAAGGTGTGAGAGTCAGAAGGCAGGCGAGTCAGGTCACATGACTCAAAGTGTTGTTTTGCTGTTATCTCTTTGCTCCGGTTTACTAAGAGGTAACCGAGTTCGACAAATGCCACCCAAATTTGAAAAGCAAATCGATGAAAATCCACTAATGCTGTCCAATGTCTCCCCATATTTAACGCTGACTAATCAGATGAGACAAGCAAAGGAGTCTGAGCTGAGCCTCACGCGTTCAAACCGCACACACGAGCTGAGCTGGAGCACTGGGTGATCATCCCTCCTGACTATTCCAGCTTAGAAAGCCTGCTTTTTTCGTGACCGTTTCCTTTTTATTATTAACTTCATTGCAGGCATTAGTCGCAGTTCTGCTCGTGGTTGAATGGACCACTAACCTAAAAGCTGCCCGTTGTTATTTCTTCACCATAACTGATTCTTTTTCTGAAGTCTGTACTCATTAGATTGAGAGCCATTTAATGCCTAGATAAATAACTTCAGCAGGGAAAATACACAGGAGTTTTGGGGTTAAACAATACATAAGCTGACATAATATAAAACCATATGGTCCTCAGCAGGTCATTAACTAAGCCAAAGTGAAGAAGCTTTGTAAACAAACTAATTCTTAAATCCTTACTGGGAGTAAAGTTTTTAAGTGTTAGCAGGATGGGCCATTTTGTTGGTCAGTGATGCTCAGAATTGTAGCCTAATTAAATTGTAACAAGGTCAAAAAGTTGTTGTTGTTAATCTAATGTTTATTTAATTTCAAGACCTTGTGAGAGCCATGTGATTTGCTATTTTGTCCTGATATGCAAGACATTTTCAATGGAAAGGTTTTCATGTGATGTTAAGTCAAAAACAGCGCTTCGTGTGGTTGTACCTGTTGTGTGTGCTTGTGTTGGAAGCGCACAAAGCCGTGATGAAACCACACCCACAGAGGACGGGACACCGCACAGATTCTGACAGCTCTGTCAATAAGCTTCGCGTGTAAGAGGTGAATGATTCCACTCATTTTTCAGGATCCCATGGCAACAGTCACCTCAGTAACCAGCAAACCTAAAAGCAAATGGAGACCGCTGCCTCTGGACACTGTGGTAAAGTGATCACTCACGACGCAGTTGTAGATGAAGTGTTTGAGATGCGGCTCCATTTTTTGATACAGCAGAAAACAATTCTCTCTCTCTCTGCTTTGTCCCACCATGAAAAATCCTCTACGTTTACCCGGGCCGACAGGAACTGGAAAAACTGGCATCTCGAAAACTCCGAATCAATGCCAAAGAGACCATGAAAATAGCTGAAAAGCTCTATACCAAAGGGTGAGTTGGTGAATCTTTGAAACGGCAGTGATTAAGACAATGGATAAACAGTGGATACAGCCTCCCACAGAGCAAAGCCTTATCTTGGTCTGAGCGTTTTCGAAACATTTCTTTCATTCATTTTAACTCACTTCAGTTAGTTTGCCGGCTAGAAGCCAACTCGCGGCTTTATGGTTTCAGGGAGACCGTCAAATGCCTTTTTTTTTGGGTCTGTTTACCCTGCTGTCAGCCCACCCCAGAATTCTTCATATTTTTGGACATGAAAGGACCATCTGGCGGCTAAGCTGTCGGATGCAGGAGTTTTTAGCTATAGATTTCACATTTTCTGGCGTGTCTCTTCTCGTTTGTGTAAGTATGCTTCTGTGTTCCTTCACACAGGTTCATCAGCTACCCCCGTACGGAGACCAACATTTTCCCTAAAAACCTGGCCCTGGGGCCCCTGGTAGAGCAGCAGGCGCAGAGTCCAGAGTGGGGGACGTTTGCCCAGCGGGTGCTGGAGCAGCCAGGGGGCCCCAACCCTCGGCAGGGCAAGAACTCAGACCAAGCTCACCCTCCAATACACCCCATTAAGTACACTGACGCGCTGCAGGTGGGTGAAGGACTTAACTTTCCCCGCCTCTTTAGTTTTTGTTACTTACTGTCTTTTTTACACCTTTTTCCACTTGTGCAATCGTGGACTTTTGTACAAGTGCAGAAATGGTTTAATGATCCGCTTTAATTTGTTCCAGGGCAATGACGGGCGGGTGTATGAGTTCATCGTCCGGCATTTCCTGGCTTGCGTCTCCCAGGATGCTGTGGGGCAGGAGACAGTGGTAGACATAGACATTGCTCAGGAGAAATTCTCCACCTCGGGGCTCATGATCATTGCCAGGAATTACCTGGATGTTTACCCGTACGACAGGTGGAGCGCAAAGGTGCGTGCACGTTAGAAACAAATTCGTACAACAACAAAAAAAAAAGCTTCCTCCCATTAAACGCCAGTTGCCTCCCGCTTTGTTTGCCTTCAAAATATTGGGGGGAATTGTGGTTTGTAGGTGATCCCGGTGTACGAGCGAGGCTCCCAGTTCCAACCCTCTGCCGTTGAGATGGTGGACGGTCAGACGAGCCCGCCGCAGCTTCTCACCGAGGCCGACCTCATATCGCTAATGGAAAAGCACGGCATTGGTAAGTATGAAAACTTTGGTGTGGCAGACAACTTCACAATTGCTTCTGTTGAAAAAAAACAGACCAGTAAAATTACCTCTGGTTATCTCAGTTTAAAATATTTTTTAAGTATTAATGAAGCTTTAATATTATGCATTATATGTAGCGACCTATAGCGTCTGAATTAACACAGTTACACATTAGCTATGTTTGACTTTTATTCCCCCATTCTTCACTTCTGCACATTACCACTAAAGTTGGTGTCAGGATTTTCTGTGTTTTCTGTATTTTCAACTCAGAAAATAAAGCACAAGCTCAAGACCAAGCATATTAACTCCAATCATTTACCTCAAATAGTGAGGTCATATGTGACATGTCCAGTGTTTGTTTTTTTTTAAACCTTTTTATTTATTTATCTGCACCCATGACCAACTAGCCACAAAGTCCATGGAAACAGCCTCCCCCGATTTAATCTGTGACTTTTTTCTTGGCCTGGAAAGACAAATCCTGCCATGTGAGCATGTCTGCCCGAGGCCTGGACGTCTCTGTGGCAGCGAGAGCGAAGTCCTCTGTTGGCCAGTGCTGAGCGTTTGCTGTGCGTTTCGTACCTCGCTGATGAAAGTGATTTCTCACTCACTTTGGTATTGACTGCTTGGGCAGATTGTGAAATCTGCATCATATCACGTGGACGCCGGCTCTCTGGGGTCACTCTGCTGCCTCTGCTCGGCCGTGTGCAGCGCCGGGTTCGCACATACTCAGATCAGTCTCCTCGCTGACTCGTTCCCAGGAGTCTGCTGCAGGCCACTGCCCCTGTTCAAGCTTCACAGAGACTTTGCACAGTTACCAGTTGGACTCGTATATGTCCACTTGCATATTTTGCAGCAGTACAGTTGAACAAAAAATGATTTGTGTGTGCTTGCCCATTTTCCAATAAGGTCTTCCATCAAAGTGAACTTGCTGTTAACTTGTTGCATTAAGGCAGAGCTTGTTTGATCCAAAGTTGCCATCTCAGGTGTAATGTCAACTGTTTTGGTTTTTAACAGGCACGGATGCAACTCACGCAGACCACATCGAGACCATAAAGAGCCGCATGTATGTGGGTTTAACCGCAGACCAGAGGTTCCTACCTGGAGAGCTCGGCATGGGGCTAGTAGAAGGTACATGTAAACACACACACACACACACACACACACACACACACACACACACAATCTCTCCTTCTCCTTTCACTCGCCCTCAGACAGTGACTCCCTTCCCTTTTAGAGCAGGGTCAGCCACATGGTTTCTACTTCTCCACTGTGCTCTCTTTTTGTGTGTTGCTGCTGCTGGATCTTGTCCATCCATCTCTTCCTTTGTCATCCTCTTCTCCGTTGACCAAAAACGACTGGATTCAGCATCCCTTTTGCCTTTTCTTCCTTTTTCCCTCGCTGTACAAACCAAAACCATCTAATTTGTGATTCGCACATATTTTCAATGTTAGCTGCCACACCAATCGTTTTTCACACACACACACACTCTCGTACCGCGAGAACACAGTGAGAGTTAGATCACAGTTATGCCGCCTGCCTAATTTTCACGTGCTCTGTCTTACTCAGGTTACAACTCGATGGGCTACGAGATGTCAAAGCCAAACCTGCGGGCCGAGCTGGAGGCGGACCTGAAGCTGGTGTCGGAGGGCAGGAAGGACAAACGGAGCGTGCTCCAGCACCACATCCAGAAGTACAAGTCCGTCTTCATCGAGTCTGTCAGGAAGGCCAAAAAGTGAGGGCCGGCCATCTCCCCGTCCGTCCGTCCGCAGACCCGATGCTTTCCCCGCAGCGCGCGGTAGCTAACAGGTCTGCTCTCTGTGGCCGGCGCAGGCTGGACGAAGCCCTGTCGCCCTATCTGGGCGCCGCCCACCAGATCACCGAGGCGGAGCGGCAGGAGATGGAGCCGCCGCTGCCGGTGAGGAAGTGCCCCAGCTGTGGTCTGGACATGGTGCTGAAGAAGAAGAGGGATGGAAACAGGTGAGAGCAGAGGCAGGGGAAAAAAAAAACGGCGTGCCTCGTGAAATCCATTTAGAGGAGGGTGAGAAGAAGTAGTGCTCTGTGTCTCCCTCTGCAGTATGTTCCTGTCATGTGTGGGATACCCGGCCTGTAAAACGGCCGTGTGGTTCCCCGACATGGTGCTGGAGATCAGCAGGGATGAAAGCGTTTGTCCCACTTGCCAGCCAAGCCCCATTCATATGTGAGTATGGATTTTTATCCCTATTGGGACTGAGCTTTATTAGATTGGTGCTCAGAGCTGAGGGGTTTGTGCTCACCTGTGAGGGATGAATCAGATCAACTTGCCAACCATGAAACTTAATATATTAAACTTAATATGTGCTTGACACGCTGGAGGGGAAAAAAATCCCCTCTGAGATGGACGAATGTCTCAAATAGAGATAATGATGAACCACTGGCTTCATTTCGATGGAAGTGCGACGTCGTGGCCTGGACACACGTGGACTTCCCCGTGCATTGTTTCACTCTGGCTCTGACAGCTTTTTGACACCCCCCCCCCAAAAAAAACCCTCCAAAAAAAAAAAAAAAACAGAATCAGTAAGCTACTACAGAGCTGTGGGATCAAGAAGCTTGTGACTTCTCAAATTGAAAGTAAACAAAACAAAGCCACTCCTGAACCTTGAAAACAGGTTTTTGTGACTATGAATTTGAAAGCATTTTCCTATGCAGCACAGCCTTATTGTCTCTTTTAAACAGGGAATGTGTATTTTACACACTCATCTTCTCGTTGATAAAAAAAAAGCAGAGATTATTAATTACAATTTGTGTCTTGTGAGTCCGAAGCTTAAGGGATGTGTAGCTGCCACTGTCAGAAAGTAGATGGGATGTACACACATACCGGCAGAGTGAGTTTTTTCAAATCAACACAATCCATTTGAACTGACAAAAGATGAGCCTTTCACCGTTTCTCCCCAACAGCTGTGAAAACACCTCGCTGCTGCAAGAAATCCGTCTAAGTTCTTGTTTACACAAGTAGGCGTTAACCCCTTGAGCGGTAGCCTCAGCTCGGTCCAAATATAGGGCACGCTCGCCAGCAGCGAGCCAAAGTGCTCCACACCAGCATCCGTCACCATAGCAACCAAGTGGGCACAGAGCTAAAAGTTGTGCTCCGGCAGTTATCCTAAAACAATCATCCTTTTTTTCTTTTTAAAGTCAGATTTCCATCAGCAGCTTTCAGCTGGTTGGATAACTTCAGCAGCAGATGAGTGCGGGAGGAAACTGTTGCTCTCTGCCTCGCTGGTCGCCACAGCAACGCGGAGCATTACACAAACTTTTGCCTCTCAGACACTTTTTTTTTTTTTTCGTGGCTGAAGGCGTTTCGCCGGTTGTACAGGTAGATCATTTTGCCCTTACCACCGACTGAAAGACAGAAGAGTTTTTATTTCCAGTTGAACGCTACCATTTACTGCAGAAACGCCGTGGATTCCGTGTCCTTGACCTGCAAACACGACAACAAAACCGTAAAGTTCAGATAAGAGATAATAGTTTATTAGTCCGGCGAAAGGGAAACTTCCTCATTACAGCTGAGTGGAAAGTGTCAAATATAGAAAACAAGGTAATAAAACTAAAACGCGTGTGGTCAACAAAAGAGCCATTGCAGTCTGATATGAGAGATGTGGCCCAACGTGATGAGGATTTGGTGTTTAGAAGGTGTAGTGGGAGGATAAACCCGGGCTAAAGCACTCGAACCGTCCATCTCAGGTGATCTTTATCAGCTAACTGATACACAAAGAAATATGATAGAAAACGGCCTTCATTAATGGAAAATTATATAGTCTGCATCCATCAGGTTCCCCGCTTTCTCACAGAAGTTAACACATCAGATCATCTGGAAAAATCACCTGCCTGCACCCTCTTTGTACTTTACTCATCATGGAATTTTTTGGGAAACCCAAATCTCGAATGGCTTCATCTCATTTTACTTTCAATATCAGTCTTTGTGGTTTAGACAGAACGGGACCTTAAAATGTCTTTGCAGTCAAAGCCATGTGCTAAAGGGCTTGTTCCGTTTCAGGGTTTTAAACTATGGTAACGTGGTAACATGTCCTTTGTGCAGTTTTTTCTTGAACCCCATGATAGTATGCCTTCTGCTGACACTTGGTCTAGTCTGATGAGACTCCTGTAGGATTCCTCCCCGGTCCGGATAATTTCTCTACCTCCCATGCAGTCCTGAGCCTGACCCAGTGTGTGTCCCCACTCATCCAGGTTGAAGTTCAAGTTCCGCAGAGGCAGCCTCCCTCCCATGATGCCTCTGGAGTTCGTGGGGTGCATCGGTGGTTGCGATGAGACTCTCAGAGAGGTGCTGGACTTGAGGTACCTCAGAGGAGGAGGAGGAGGAGGGCCAAGGGGAGGAGAGGTATTTGGAGGAGGGGGAGGGGGTGAAGACCCCCGTCCACCAGCGCCAAGGCCCCCCAGGCCAGCTCCCCGGGCCTCCCTCCCCCCCGTCCCGACATGGGCCCCGCAGCCGAGGCCCCCGGCGGGCGGAGGCGGCGAGGGCGGCGGCGGCGCCATCGTCTGCAACTGCGGGCAGGACGCGCTGCTGCTCACCGTGCGCAAAGACGGCCCCAACCAGGGCCGCCCGTTCTACAAGTGCAGCTCAGGGAGCTGCAACTTCTTCCTGTGGGCCGACCAGCCCGCCCAGCCGGAGGCGGCGCCCGGCCGGGGGCCCCCGCTGCAGGTGCAGAGGACCCCCCACGCTCCCCGGCCGCGCCCGGGGGGGCCTCCGGCGGGCGGCGGAGGGCAGGGAGGGGGCGCCGCCGTCTGCAAGTGCAACGAGGCGGCGGTGACCCGCACGGTGCAGAAGGACGGGCCCAACAAGGGCCGCATGTTCCACACCTGCGGGAGGCCCCGAGAGCAGCAGTGCGGCTTCTTCCAGTGGGCCGACGAGAACGACCCGCCATCAGGCAAGACACGCACACACACACACACACACACACACACACAGGCCTTTATTCTTACTGCTCCAAATACGTAGCCGTTTAAACATAATAAGATTGAGCTAATCGGACCGATAGGAGAAACTTCAGTCCACAGGCCGCTCATGTGGTTGTTGGACCTGTGCTCCCCAGAGTCTGGAGGCTATGGCGGGGGAGGCTATGGCGGGGGAGGCTATGGCGGGGGATTCAACGGCGGCGGAGACGCGGGGCGGAGGGGGAGGAAGACGACGGGGGACACCAACAGACCCCCCGCCGCCAAGAAGCCTCGCTCCTGCGGCCTGTGCCACCAGCCGGGACACACCCGGGCCTCCTGCCCACAGCGCTGACCCCGCCGAGGTCCGTGGAGCTTCTTTGTTTAACAGAGAGGGTTTTTTAAATAGTTGAGGTGGTACGAGGCCACCCTCAGGTCGTCTTCCGTCGTGCCACGTTGCAGGAAGAGATGGCTTTGGGCCAGAGACTCTATTTTTTTATTAATATTATTATTTTTCAAGCCACATGTGGGCAGGACTGTCAAAGCCTCTTTGGGCCTTGTCACACTCAAATATGCAACTTTTCCTTTCTGTTTCCCTCCTCTGATCTCTGGGCTGCCCTCAGATCTGCCAAGTGTGTTTTCGAGATGATTCACTTCAGGCCCCTGGGTCGAAGGACAAAAGCCGCTTTATGAGGAGATGAACCCTTTTGTGAGTCTCTCTGCACGTCCAAAGCTGAACTCCGCGTTTACAGGCTCTAAAACTGTGATTTAAAAAAAACAACAAAAAACCAAACCTCGTTCATTTTAAACTTCACGCAAACAGGCAGAACTTTACTGCCGGAGGACGGTTTTCTGAGCACAGGCAGCACGCCACACGCCGCTGACTACTTTTAAAACTTGTAGGTGTTTTGTAACCACAGTAACCTAAAGGCACTCGACGGGTAATTGTGAATTTGCTAAGCCGGCCTTGGATCCGATATTTCACCGGCCTATTGAGTGGCTGCGTGTTGGCGACCCTGAGAGGAGGCGATTGTGCGGCAGCAGCAACGCTCACCGTGGAGCGGATGAATGGGCGTTTTTAAAGGAAGGCGACAAGTTATTGGTGTAATTATTAACAGTGTTCAACCACCTCTCTCACCTTCGTTAAGAGCAGCCTAGCACTGTGTATCTATCGACATGTGAAGGAAAAGCTGCAGAAAGCGTGTTTAAAAGAGAATGTTTCATTTTCTCAGTCTGAAGAAGTGTCACCCCCACAGATTTTAATGTTAAAACTGATAAAAAACTAATAAACTTCAATGGGCTTCATCCTTCTGTGGTCATTTCTATTTTTACAGCATGGGGTCAGGGGGGGTACTGTCGGACTTTTATGTTTTGTTTTGACTTCTTTTCTCTTCACATAGTTTTGCTTTTAGATTGAGTCCTTTATTTTTAGCCCCCTTAGTTTTGCTTTTGGTTTCATATTGCGTCTGCAACTGTTAGAACAGATTAGTTTCTGGAACACTCGTAGCTGAGAGGCAGCAAACCCTGCAAACAGGAATGCTTTTCAAGTTAAATGTCCATCCATCCATTTTCTGCACCCACTTATACATCAGGTTGTGGGGGGGGTGCTGGAGCCTATCCCAGCTGTCATTTAAAAAGCTGGATTGACACTTTAATCTCTTGCTTTTGATTGGTCTTATCGTCCATCACTTGGAACTTGAGTGTCCTCCTCATGGGGATCCTCCATCCTGAGGGCTCCGCCTGCTGCGTCTGTAGGGTCGTTGTCATGGTGATCATCCTTATCTGGGCTGCTTGGGTTCCATCACAGCAGTCCCACGGCTGGAGTGTGGACCCTGGCCGGCCCAGATCAGGGTGGTTTCCTTTATTGATCATTTATCAGCCGTGTCTTTGACAAGCAAACCTTATTCAATAAGGTTTCATTTAACCCTTTAGAGCCTAACCCCCCAAAAAATTGGGAAAATTTTTTATCTTTTTTCAGTCTGAAATATTTATTTGGTGCCAATATATGGTCTCCAAGAAATGAAGAACTATTTATCATTTATTACCGGGCAATAAGTCCATATTATTGTCGTGCAGTCTTCTGTCCGAGTTGCCATGTTTCACTTCTGTCCCGTCTTACTCTTGAGAGACTCTGCTGCTTTAAGATGCCCTCTTTAGACCTAATCTTATCATCTGCTTGTGGCTAATTAAGGTTAATCATTTATTAGTTGAAGGTTCTTCCTTTTTTAATCCCCACTCCCAGTTTTTGTGGTTTTTAGGATGCCTTGCATCAAGATGAGATTAGAGGTTTCACCAAATAGCAAACTATCTATATTCTTTTGAAACTACAATGTTGGTTTGTGAGATCTGCAAATAAATGCATCTTGTTTTTGTTTACATGTTGCATACCCTCCCAAAGCCAGCCCCCCCCCCCCACCCTTTCAAATAGGGGTTGTTCTCAATTCCAAGGGCACTGCTGAGTTTTTTGCTGCAGAAATGAACACTTATGGGTCTCGTTAAGTCCAGATGCTACATTTTTACAAGGACATTTACCTTAAGTGCACGACAGGAATGCAGCTTTATGTTTCACATCAGGATCTGGAGCGTTTATATTCCCAGAAACGCTGCTCTATCGACTCTAGTTCACTGGTGAGTTAATTCCAGTTCACGTCCCGCGGGTCGTGCACGCGCAGACAAAGGAAAAATACACTGGAAATACACATATTCCCGGCACGGGGCTTTAAATTACCCTGATGTTTTTGCTTCCCCCCCCCCAATTGCTCTGCATGTGTGTGTGTGTGTGTGTGTGTTGATATTCCAACGAATCTGGCTGCGATGGCTTTACTGGCACGTTTCGTGAGTCATGCGTGACTCACAGCACGTGGGTGGGAGTGAGCTCTGCGATCGCTCCTGTTTTTCTCCGCTCCATCCCGACTCCCAACTCCGCTCCGGTAGTAGTATCCGGGCAGATAACGAGTCATGTGATTGCCCGTGTATCTCCTGGCGAAGTGCAGGCAATAACCTCCTACTTACGGGAATCAGAAAAAGAAAAAAACGCTGCGTTCAGCCCGGCCCAAACGCTGGCCCCTCCGGAAATTCACCCCAAAAGAGCCATTAAAGCTCCAGATAGGAATCACTGGGGCCCTTGTGCCGTAAAGCAAAGGCTTCTGGACTGTGTGATGACTCACTGGTTCTTTGAAGGCACCACGGAGCGGAATGTGGCCACTTAAACTCCAAAACTAAAAAGAATAACATAGGCTTTACTGAGTATGGCTGCATACCGCTTACTCTAGAAAGTGTAAAGTAATGCTTTAAAATAACCCTGACTATGTCACGGTCACGTCATCGTTAGATGTTTGTGCAGTTGTCCCTGTTTAAAATAATTTTTTTCTTTTAGAAAGTGGCCAAAAATGGCTGCAACATGGAAAGTGGAGGGGGTAGAGGGGGGGGGGGGGACTGTTGGAAACCTGCAACAGCACAAACTATAAAAGGAGGAAGTGTTACTTCAAAGCTGAAATGGGTCAGAAAAAGGACTGGTGCAGGGCGTTGGTGTTAGCCCGGGATAGAGGGGTCAGAGGTCAGGGAGCCGGGATGGCTCCACAGCCCTGAACTGATCATCCGCTCTTCCTGCTGCGTCATCGTCACCATCCAGCTTTTCAGCGGTTGCTGCGGAAACGGTTGCCATGGCACCCAGTGTCAGTAAGTGATGCAAGTGTTCCAGGTGCAGAGAGACCATAGAGCCTGTGTAGGGGCCACGTGTGTGTGTGTGTGTGTGTGTGTGTGTGTGTGTGTGTGTGCGCAGAGTTAACAGAGTTTTTTTGTAAACTGATCCACAAAAGCCCCAATGAAAGATAATAGGAATCTGGCACTGGGCCTTTTTTCCACAACTGCAAACCCCACCTCTGTGAACTACTTCCACCCGAGGGCTGAATGGGATCAAAACATTGGGCCGAAAAGTTAGAAAAAGTGTCCCAGATCCCGTTTTTTTTTTTCTTTTTTTCATCGGCAGTAGTTATCTTAAGAGAAAAAACTTTCGTTCTCTTTGTGTTCAATCGAATTTCCAGCTCTCCTATCTGGTGAGGTTGCTTAGCACTGAGAATGTAAATGTGAGACTCGGTGTTGTTTGGTTCCATATTTGGATCAAACAGTTCGACGGGTGGACGTTCTCACTGGAGGGTGAAGCAGAGCTTTCATTTCCATTGCAGATGCTGATCGCTTCTGTTACATAAAAATACATGAGCTCGCGCTGTTTCCCTCTCAGGTTCAGCCAGTGCAGTGCTTCAACTGCCTCTCATTTCTCACTGACCAGTCTTTAAACCAGGCATACAGGTCATGATGTGACAATAGATGACTGAGGTCTCCTTCTGGCTGGGACATTTTTAAAAAATCCATGTGCGCTGATACAAAGGGTGTATGTATTCACACTTTTAGGTGTTCTTTACATGATCTCTGGGCAGTAAATGACATGTTATTGTATCATAAATGCTAATAGACGTTGGACCGTGCCTGGAAAATACCGATAGACTAGAAAAAAGTCATTCAATCTCAACGTGGGTCTCTTTTTATTCAGTTTTTAAAGTTGAGTGGGTGAACTGTTTTAATATCCTCATTTGTTATTCGTAAAGACGCATGGAAATTTTCGGAAAGATCCCCCATAACAAAAGCAGCTCCTCCCCAAACTTTCTGGGCTCTGTGGCCCTCCTCCCCTTCGCTGCTCTGCACTCTGCTCCAATTTGCGTGCGCGGGCCCGACGCCGCTGCGGGCACGCGCGTTGGGGGCTTGGCCCTACGCAATGGGAGGAGGAGGAGGAGGAGGAGGAGGGGGGGGGGGGGGTGGGCGCGCGACTTTAAAGCAGCAGCGCGCTGTCCAGTGTTGATGTGTCGCAGATTTTAAAAAGTGAGGCAGGCAGACGGCATGAGTTCAGAGAGTGGCAAGCAGCGGAGCAGCTGAGGGAGACCGATCCTGCAACCGCCCATTTTTATCCCTCACTCCCCTACTCTTCTCAACATTTAAAAACAACCTTTTTTTGGAGGGATTAAGGAGAAAAAAAAAGAAAGAAAGAAGGAAAAAAAAATTCCTGCACCTCGACCAAAACAAGTGCGGATCCAGTTGAGTCCTGTTTTTGGAACGTGCGAGGCAACGTGCAGCGATGGAGCTGTCATCGATAGGAGACCAAGTGTTCGCGGTTGAGTCCATAACAAAAAAGAGAGTGCGAAAGGTAAGAAAACAACCGCCGACGATGCGCGGACGCTAACCCGCTTAACTTCATTCGCCGTAGTTTAAAAAAAAAAATATTTTTTTTAACCGAACGCCCCGGAGAGCAGCTCCCGTGTCACAACAACACCGGGCACCGCGCGCGATACGTTTTGCTCCTAGCCAGAACTGCTTTTAGCCCCAGCTGCGCCGAAGTTTAACACAGTTCCGAGGCGTTCTGCCCCCTCTCCCCGTGCACAGCCCCGTGGTGCTGCGGCATGACCATGTTTTGGAGGAGCCTACGCAGTTATAGTAAAAAAATGTGAGCAGGAAAAGTGGGGGGCGGGGGGGGGGGGGTGGTATGCTGGAAGCTGGTCTACGGCCGCCGTTCGGGGGGTTGCTACGCAGTTGATATCGGCTACGCCAGCGCGCGGAGGGGCGCGCGGGGCTGCGCGCGGAGCGGCGGTTTCGGGGCGAAACTGCTGCGTAATGCGTGCCGCGTGACGCCTTCGCTGCTTCTGGAAAGCGGAGATGCGACGTTCGGAGTCACGGGCTCGTCCATGAGATGGAGCCACAGGTGCTTGTTTGGCGGATTTGGAACACGCGACGTTTGCTATTGTCCCATCACGTTTAATTATTATTGTTTAATTTTAAATTTTAATTGTTTTTTTTTTTTTGTTGCTTTCTCCATCTTTGGTCAAGTGGTTGTTAAAGTTAACGGGGTTGCAAAGTGGCAAACGGAGCCGCTCTGCACGCGGCGGCTTTCCACTTACTCGGACTTGCGTAACTGTGTGTTGTTTACACGTCTCCGTGGGGCCCCACCTACCCCGGCAGCCACACGGACTCGCGTTCTGGAAAATACCCGAAAACTGTAGAAGCCGGGTCGTGGGGCGGCAACGTCATCCCGAAAAAAAAAAAAAAAAAAAACCTCCTCCCCTGAGGCCACGCAGACCCACTGTCACTGACGTCACCCCGCAGAAAACCTCCTCCTGAACGTGGAGAAAATTCTCCACGAGCCCCCCCAACCCCCCATCCCCCTCCCTCCTCATCCACTCCACTCTCTTAAAGAGACAGGCACCCTTTGTTGACACGGCAGCTCTCTTCTCTCTCGCACCAGGTCGAGTGGGTTCGTTTTTGGAGTCTGTGGCGTCTCTCCTTCATGTGGCTCTCTCTCCTCCGTCTCTCCGCAGGGTAACGTGGAATACTTACTTAAATGGCAAGGATGGTCCCCAAAGTGAGTAAGCCTTGAGTCATCATCCGGTGACCTCATCACTTTATAGACACTTGTGTTGTGCACCTTTTCTCCGGGCGCTGCGGCTGGATCCAGATGAAAACGGTTCGATTGTGTCTGTGCCTGCAGGTACAGCACCTGGGAGCCGGAGGACAACATTTTGGACCCCCGTTTGGTCCTGGCGTACGAGGAGAAGTGAGTACTGTTAGAAAGGCCGATGCCCCCGAAGCATGGTGTTTGTTTTTTTAATTTTAATTTTATTAGGTCTCCCACTTCAATCTCTTTGTGTGACCTCCATCCCCCCTCTCTTGCAGTCAGGAGAAGCTGAGAGCTCTGGCCTATCGCAGGAAAGGTCTCAGACCCCGGAGGCTGCTGCTGCGGGTATTTACCGTTTGCTTTTGTTTCGGTTTTCTTGTGACACACACACTCTTGATGCACTCTGACAAGGACCTCTGTGTTAGAGCTGTTTCTCTGTCTTTCAAATGTATGGGCTCATTGTTCCATATAGGTAAGGCTAAAATAGTCAATTTGATCAGTCACTGATCTTACAGCTTTTTAGAAATTATTTGTAACCCAAATGGAAAAATCTCACCATGCCAGTAGTGTTGTGTTGTTGTGGTTTGCAATAAAAACAAACCTGAGAGCGAAGCAGGTAAATCAGCAGTACTGAAAAATATTTTTTAGCTTTTTATTATCATCTCCTTTATCTAGTGACCATGGATAAAGCGCTGTTTGAAAACAAACCGCATGAGATTATAGAATAAAAGGCACATAATTTGGAGTAAAATAGGTTGCTGGCATGGCTTTGGTAGCTGACCGCATGGTGGTCATGAGGGACCACCACAAGCTTCAGTTAAACATCAATCCCAAAACTTTTTGGACACCAGGAGAGTTTGGATTGGCAGACGTCTGTGGTGTTGGATGGCACATTCAGCTCTTTCCACTGATCAACAATCGGTCTCAGAGAAGCGGGGTTCTAATAATAGTCCCCCAGAGCCACAGTGCAGCACAGCTGAGAAACTCACTCTCACCTCTCCTGTTTTTACTCCACTTCACGGTCCAGTTGTTGCACGTTTCTTTCTGTGGACGTGTCTCTGACTCTCTCTCTCCCCCCCCCCCCCCCCCCCAGAACGTCTTTGCCATGGACCTCCGCAGCGCCCACAAGGTGATGGACAAGCCCCCTCCCCGCCTCCGCCTCTCCCTCACCAGGTCCATGAGCACGGACGTGGAGCAGGTGCTGCGGCGCCCGGCCCTCAGGCGCAGCCGGCAGAGGGGGGCCAAAGGGCGACTGACCGCCAGCAAGCTCCTCCGTCCGCTGAGGAAGAAGGAGCAGCCGCTGGACGAGGAGTGGGCCACCAGCGAGGAGGACAAGCCCGAGTCGGAGGGCATCGCCGAGGAGAGATGCGACGACGGCTCTTACGGTTGGTTTTTGGCCGACGTGTGGCCGCCCGGTCCTGATGCCCGCCGGTCAGGGGGACTCAGACATGCCCCGTTCTCTCCTAAAGGTCAGTCGGAGTGCAGCTCGCTGCCGTCGCTGGAGCAGCAGGACCTGGACATTGAGGTGGAGGAGAAGGTGGACGGCTGCCTGATAGCGGTGGCCGCCGAGACGTGGGACGACGACGAGTCGGACGGGGGGCCGGAGGCGGTGGCGGTCGAAAAATGCCCGAACCAAACGTCGGCGTGCGAGCAATTGCGCGCCGGCGGGTGGGCGCCCGAGGCCAGGCCGGGACACGCCGTTCCCGCCGGCGACCGGTCAGTTTGGGGTGGAGGAGAGAGCCTCAGGGCCGAAAGCCAGAGAAGCAACACGGCCTCGGTCATAGTGAGGGTCCAGGGGGGCGTCCGGGCGTCCGGCGCCGTTTGCCCCCCCTCTGAGCCGGCGGAGGAGAGAGGCGACAATCAGAGGGTCAGCGTGACGTCCGGCGGCGCTCCGGCTGCCCCCGACGCAGCTGACCGTCCCGAGAAGGTGATCGTGACACATGTGACTCTGAACTCCCTAACGGTGACTTTTAAAGAAGCCCCGGTGGCCAAAGGCTTCTTTAAGGGCTACTGAGCCAAGAGGCAGGAAGAAAGGCAGCTCCCAGTTTCCATAATTAGACTTGCCACTCATTTTTTACATGTGTATATAGTCATGTATGTAAATTAACTCCACGTGTTTATGAAGCTACACTCATTTCCTACTGAGTTCTGTAAGACATTATTGCCTTCGAGTAAAGAAATGAGTGGTAATTTTACATTGTGGCTCATCTGTTAGGTGCAATTGAATCAGCCTCTCCAAAGTGCTTGAATGATCCAGTACAATCCAGTAGGCTGAATGGATCTCTTTGGAGATGACATTCTTTGAGCGGTCCGAAAAACCACAGTTCACATTAGTATTCCGATGCAGCTAATTTTTCCAGTTGTCCTCAGTGCTTTCCAGCAGGACGTCTGTCTCCGAGTCAGATCTGTCCTCGGGGCCTGTTTCAGTCGCTCCTCTTTCTTACGAATGACGTTTTTGTAAAGATGTCGCTCCTTTTGTTTGTTTGCACAGAGCCAGTCGCACGTTCCATCAGTCTTAGTCGCATCAAAAAAAGCCCCTGTCCCACGCTTTGTCGGAGGGGTTTATTTCCGTCACAAAAGAAACACAAGAAAGGCAGATGAATAATGGCTCCCGCTTAGATGAATTTCTGTGTTTTAAGGAAGGTGGATGCACAAAAAAAACACAACAACCATGTGGACAGAGATGTTTTGCTGTCTATCCTTTAACGTTTTAAGTTTCAAAATGCTTCCTTGTTCTATTTTTGTATCACCGATTGATAGTCCACTCTTTTCAGTAGCCTTTGTGCATATCTACAGAGGAGGTATCAGTTTACCGCTTTTATGCTGTGTAGGTAACGTGCAAACGAACTTTAAGTAGATGTTGGTATTAGGTATTATTTATTGCATGTCATATGTATAAGCTAAACTAACTTATGTCACTTAATGTGCTCCAATCTGTGTCTTTCTTGCAAAGATGGATTGTCAAACTTCAAACGTCTTCTCTCTCAAAAAAACGTTTTTATTTAACTGTATTTTCAATAAATGTGTACCAAAAGAACGGCGTTGTGGAGCGTATTGATCTGTGGAAACGCAGCATTTATGAGCTTGGAAACGTGTTTCAGGCATTTTTCTCTCTGACTTAGCCGTCCTTGTTCCTTATATTTCAAATAAAGGAGACGAAAATGCACCTGAACGTCCCATCTATAAAGGTCCACCATTTAACTGGTGCAATACCGCCTACGGCGGCTAGGTGTCGCGGTGCCCTCACGGATAAATGTCTGACTGAGTGACGTTAACGAGCTGGATTTGGCGGCGTGACTCGTGTGGTCCGTGTGGCTAAAGGCACGCAGCGGCGTGGAGACGTTAACGCGAGAGAGAGAGAGCGGGCGGGGTGGGGCCGCGACCGAGGAAAATTACAAGTCCTCCAAAAGATGGCGTCAAACTCTGGAGCCCCCGAGCGCGCGAGCAAAATGGGATGGAAAGGTTCCGATCAACTGAGAGCGCGGAGCCTTTCTTTACACATGTTAAGATCTTTAAGTTGGATGAATGAATCCAGTTTGTCATCCATGCACAGCGGACCTCAGAAAAAATAAATGATATTTGTGTGTTTTGCTGACCCGAATTCAAAGCAAAAAAAAATGGATTTGATTGACGGTTTGTGATAAGCCTGGAAGAACACGTGATTCCAATCCCTCATAACTCATTTCTACTGTACTTGTCTCTTTGGGGGTGAGGATGAGGGCTGTTCCGGCCCTATCCTCTGAGGCAGGATGCTGCTTTCCCTCCCCTAAACACGCACCTAGCATCAGTCACACATCTCTATTATCCTGGAAAAGGGAATCATATTTTCTGCTCGTTTACCTTCTTCAAGAGCGCCATGCCAAACACATCAATACTGGTAATTTTGAATTTATTATAAAAAAAACAAAAAACAAACAGTATTTGAGTCCACAGTTTGTCTCCTTTGTACAGTAAAAAAATTATTAAATTAAACTTCCAAAGTTCTGAGCAGAAAGATAAAGATGGAGTTTGTCAGGAGGGAGCTGGATAGACGTCTCCCCCCCTGTCCAGGAGGAGGATATAAAGTCCAAGGGAAGCAGCAAAAGGGACGAGGAAGAAAGAGACTCGGATCGCCTTCTTTCGCCTCAGTTCTGTGCAACACAGTTCATTTGGATCATCATCATCATCCTCCATCTACTCCAAAGGTAAGAATCCTAAAAACACTATAAGGAACCCACCCCACCCATTTTTTTTCACATCCCAGCCCATGTAGTTAAAATGTTACAGGCACAAAGGTATGCACCCCCCCTCCCCAAGCCTCCAAAGCTCCATATCAAGTGTCTTTAAAGAGGAAGGAGTGCACACACATTCGAGGGAGAGGGCTTGCATGTTTTACTCAGAGTCCCTTCCAGCATGACTGGTGTCCCCGAACAAGACGCTGGCAGGACGTCAAAACTGGGTCCGTCGGACGTCCCGAAGTCGGAGCGGGCCCCTCGACCACCGCAACAAAACACACACGTTACTCCCACCTGGACAGATCCAACTCAAGACATCTAAAGTCAAACGACACGTCGGGCCCCACAAATAAACAGTCATTAACAAAAATATAGTTCCGTACGAATTGTAGCAGTTCCAGGGTATACAATATCCCCTCCCCACCTCCCGAAGAGAAAGAATAATAAATAAAACCCCCCAAACATCGAGAAAAAAAAAAGAAGAAAAAAGATATGCATCTCGTTTGGATTTACACTGGTAATTCACATAATTCTGCAGACATAAATGGACAGACTAGATGATGTAAAAACAAAGCTGAAATCAGGAATAACAACAATAATGATGATAAAAAAAAAGTTATTTGCATTAAATCATGTCCTCTTTAATTCTTGACCATTTTTAAAATCTTAAAAACATTTCTTTAAAAAAAAAAAAAGGAAGTACTTCTATCTAACCCCTCCTCCCACCCTCCTCCAAATCCCCTGAAATATCACTGTTCTTCTGCAAGAAGTGGAGAAAAGGAGTGGCCGGAGGTTCTCTAACCTGCCTGCTAGAGAACCCCCCCCCCCCTTTGTCCTCAGTTGGGAGAAAAAAATATATATATTAACAGCAATAAGTTACAATTCATTTATTCTAATTCATTTAACGAATGCTTGATTTAATGTTCGTCTCCCATAGGAAGTTCAGGTCAATGCATCTTTATTGAAAACATTTTAAATAACATTTAATAATAGTGGAATAAAAAAGAAAAAAAAGAAAAAAAGAAGAGGCTAATAACAATAACACTGTCCTGGGTGAGTGCAGTTTGTGCGGAGGTTTTTCTCTGAGCCTTACTTCGGCCCGGCGCGACGCCGGGGAGAAGTCCTACATGTGGTCTAAGGAGTTGTGGTTTAGGTTCTGGTTCATGGGGTCCTGACCGCTGCCCCCCGGCCCGTGCAGGCCGGCCATGCTGCTCAGCTGGGACAGCATGGCGCTCTCGTCCGAGCCGAACTGCTCCATAGAGTTCTGCTGCTGCTGCTGCTGCGGGGGGGGGGGGGGGCCCCCCCTCCCCGGGTGGTGCTGGCTCAGGTGTGCCGGGTGGGGGGAGCCCGTCTGCATCTGTGGGGAGATGTGGTGGGGGGAGGGCTGCGGCTGCATGCGCGGCGAGGGGCTGGAGTGCGGCGGTGGCGGCGGCGGCTGCGACTGGGGGCGGGGCGAGGGCTGCTGTGGCGAGCGCACCTGGCTGGCCAGCGACGTGGACAGGGCCTGGCCCTGCAGGTGGGGGTGCGGGTGGGGGGACGGGGCCATCTGCTGCTGCTGCTGGGGGCTCATGGGGTTGCTGTGGGCCGGGGAGCCTCCTGGTCCCAGGTGCTGCTGCTGCTGCTGGAGCAGCCGTTGGTGCAGCGCCTGCTGCAGCAGGGACGGGGGCGGGGGCCCGCCCTGGGGGGGCTGCGAGCCCTGAGACGGCTGCTGAGGGCCTCCCACACCCCCGCCGCCCGGCCCGCCTTCTCCCATGCTGCCCTGCTGCTGCTGCATCTGCAGGTGGTGCTGGTGGCGCTGCTGGAGCGCCGCCGCGCTGATGGGCTGCTGGCCCACCGACACCGGGTAGCCCTGCCCCTGCGGACCCTGGGGGCCCCCGGGCTGCTGCGGCCCCAGGGGGGGACCTCCGCCGGGCCCCTGGCCCCCTGCGGGAGGCTGCATCCCCTGCTGTCCCATGAATCCCTGACCCTGGGGGGGCTGCGGCTGCTGGAACTGACCGTGGTTCACCCCCATCTGCTGCTGCTGCTGTTGCTGTTGTTGTTGTTGTTGTTGTTGTTGTTGCTGCTGTTGTTGTTGTTGTTGCTGCTGTTGCTGTTGTTCCCGCTGTTGCTGGTGTTGCTGGTGCAGGTGGCGTCTCATGAACTCTCTAAACTGGGGGCTTTGGCCCTGCATTCCTCGCCCAACCCCTTGCTGCTGCTGCTGTTGCTGCTGCTGTTGTTGTTGTTGTTGTTGTTGTTGTTGTTGTTGTTGCTGTTGCTGCTGGAGAGCCGCAACCTGCTGCTGTTGTAAACCTCCGGGGATCTGCCTTTGTTGCTGCTGCTGCTGTTGCTGCAGCTGCTGTTGTTGCAGCTGCTGCTGCTGCAACTGCTGTTGCTGCAACTGCTGCTGCTGGAGCTGCTGCTGTTGGAGTTGCTGCTGCTGGAGCTGTTGCTGCTGCAGTTGCTGCTGCTGGAGCTGTTGCTGTTGGAGTTGCTGCTGCTGGAGTTGCTGCTGCTGGAGCTGGAGCTGCTGTTGCTGCTGCTGCTGCTGTTGCTGTTGCTGCAGCTGCTGTTGCTGCAGTTGCTGTTGCTGCTGCTGCATCTGCTGCTGCTGCTGTAGCTGCGCCATGGCGGCCATGTTGACGTTGGCCCCTCCCTGGACCCCCATGTGCATCCCCGACTGGCCGGTGGCCGCGGCGTTCATGTTCATCTGCGGGTTCCCTCCTGCGCCGACACCACCACCAGGCCCCCCCGTGGGGCCGGCTCCTCCTGGGACTCCTCCCGGCACGCCGCCTTGGACTCCTCCCGGGACAGCCCCGGGGCCCCCCTGGCCCCCCTTGTATTTCGAGGTTCTCTGCTTGATGAAAGCTGCCATGAGCTGAGGGCTAGAGCGCAGGATGTTCAGGACCTGCTGTTGCTGGAGGGGGGAGCTGGGAGAGCGGAGATGGCGGAGGAGCTCCTGCAGAGCTGCTTGGGGTATGTTTCCACCGGCCGCTCCAGCGATGGCTCCGACTGTGAGCCCCCCCCCGGGCCCCTGCTGCTGCTGGAGCTGCTGCTGCTGCTGCTGTGCCATATTCATCAGAGGGGCGTGGCCCTGACCTTGTTGCTGCTGCTGCTGCTGCTGCTGAGCGGCCATCATGGCTGAATGACTCATTTGGTTCATCATGGCCTGCCTCTGCTGGGGGGGCATGCCCGGGCCGGCCCACTGCTGCTGCTGGGGGTTCTGGAGGGGGGCCGCCATCCTCTGCTGCTGCAGCTGCACCTGGGGCGGGAGCGGGCCCGGCGGCAGGTTAGCCTGCTGGGGGGGGGGCTGCTGCATGTGTCCGCCCGCGACCCCCATCATCCCCGGCGGAGCCCCCTGCTGCTCCATGCGGGCCCGGGCGGCCGCCGCCGCCGCCGTGGCCTGGCTTTGCGGAGGCATTCCCTGGGGTCCCACCATCCCCACCGGCCCCGAGTGTCCCATGCCCATGGGCTGACCCTGGCCCTGTTGGTGGTGGGGGGGCATCAGGCCCGCCGCCACCGCTTGTCTCTGAAGAGCCGTCTTCCTTTGGGCGTCGGCCACCCGTTGGATCTTTAACGCGATCTCCACGGCTGCCGGCGGCGGGCCGGAGGAGGGCTGCTGCTGCTGCTGCTGACCCGGGGGCTGGCCGGGGGGCTGTCCCCCCCCCATGTTTCCTCCCATCACGCCTCCGCCGGGCTGCTGCTGCTGCTGCTGCGGGGGCGTGGCAGAGCCGAGAAGGGGTTTGCCCTGGGACGGGTGGATGGGGGAGGAGCCTGGCGCCCGGCCGCCGTACGGTGGCAGATTGTTGGGGTGCTGCTGGAGGTGCTGGGGGTTGGGCCCGGACCCCCCCTGCTGCTGCTGGACCTGAGGGTGCATCTGCTGCTGATGCTGAGGAGAGCTCATCATTCCTCCCGGCCCGCTGCCTCCGCTCGCCATCTGATCGAACTGATGGAGGGCGTGTTGGGGATGCATCCCTCCCGGCTGCTGCTGCTGCTGCACGCCGTTGCCGGGCGTCATTCCCTGCTGTGGGCCGGGGGGCATGCTTTGCGTGGGTGTCTGCGGGGTGGGGGGCTGGGTCCCCCCGGAGGTCGGCGTGCTCGGAGCGGTGGTCCCGTTGTTTCCGGGCGAGGGGAGACCTACCATGGGTCCTCCGGGCGGGCCTCCGGCCGGCTGCCCCACCCTCTGCATGGTGGCCATCCTCCTCCTCAGCATCTGGGCCTGCTGGAGCCGGTGCTGCAGCTGCTGCTGCCGCAGCTTCTGCTTGATGTTCAGGCAGAAGGGGACGGGGCACTTGTTCTCCTGGCAGTGCTTGGCGTGGTAGCAGCACAGCGCGATGAGCTGCTTGCAGATGGGGCAGCCGCCGTTGGTCTTGCGCTTGCAGCCCTTGGTGTGCTGGACGACGCGCTTCATCTTCTGGCAGGACGGCAGGGAGCAGTTGGCGTTGCGGCACTGGCAGGCGTGGACGAGCGACTGGATGCAGCGCTGGATGCTCAGGCGGCGCGAGTCGCCGGGGCTCTGGGTGGCGGCGGCCGACGGGTTGTTGCTGTCGTCATCCAGGCCAAGCCCCAGCTTGTCCATCTTGTGTTCGTGCCCTTTAGTGTTGTAGCAGGTGATGCACAGGTCGTAATCCTACAGGAAGAAGAAATAGGGAGAGAGGGAGGAAAATCAGTTTAATAAAAAAACCCAATCCAGGCTCAGACGGTGTGACTGAGGCCCGCCGCTGGCTCTCACCTCGCAGACGGTGCAGTGGAAGCGGGTTTCCACGTGGTGCTTGCACTCGTTGCAGGTGTAGACGAAGCGGTCCTGGCTCTGGTTGTGAAGCTCCACCAGCATGCACATGGAGCTCCACAAGGACCTCCTGAGCGAGCTGAACTCCAAGTGTTTGTCCCTGGCCAGAGTCAGAAAGGCGTCGCGGCCGTCCATCAGGTCGCAGGCCATCAGGGGGTCGGGGTCGGAGATGGGGGGCAGCGAGTTGGCGGTGGGGCCGGCAATGAGGCGGATGACGAAGAAAACCTGCCAGAGATTGCAAGGAGAAATAGTAAGATCTCTTAAACAGTGTGCGGCTCTCATAACTGTTATATTAGCTCTTTTTTTAGCACAGACTCATCTTTAAATGCATCAGTCAGAAGATTGAAACTCTCTTGGCCACAATAACACCAGCTTTTATATGAGGTAGGCCATCATAGTGTCAGCATCTGCGTAACAATCTCATACCTCCTTGTGTTTCTCCATGGTGGCGTAGAGTTTCTGGGAGAGATCATTGGACACGCTGGGCATCCCCGGTTTCTTCTTGTTTGCTCGGCTCAAGCTGCTCTTGTTCTTGCTCGTCTTCTTGTTGTTCTTCTTTTTGGCGTTCTTGCTGTCTCCTTTTGTGGCCTGCGGACGTTTTCAAACGACAGAGTTCAGCCTTCAAAACCGGCAAGCGGAGACAAGCGCCTCGCGGCCGCCTGGCTTTACTCACGTCTGTGCTCTCATTGGAAGTGCTGTTCTCCTCCCTTTTCCTCTCCTCCTCCTCCTGCTCCAGCTCCTTGATGCTCTCCTCTAGTACGTTGGGCCAGAAGTCGCCCTCGAAGTAAGGCAGCTCTTTGGCACTCGTCAGCCGGTCTTCTGTTGCTTGCTTGAAGATGTCCTAAAAAGGAGCACAAACAAAAACAAGCAAAGATACTGAGGACATTTTCTTAAAAAATATTAGACTATAATATTAGACTATTTTTTACTGAAATGCTGCACCTTGTAGTCATGAATAATCCGCTCGGACACAGCCTTGTCCAGCATCTTCTTGTACCACTCCTGCAGGCGTTTTGGCTTGGGGATCTTCTGGTCGGCTGGGTGACAGTGGAAGATGTAATCGTCCCCCTCACTGGGAGGACAGGCCCAGATGTGGCCCGCTGTGAACCTGAGACGGGGACGAGTAGTTACAGACACTCCGCTGCACCAAACACCCCGCAATTCTGCCCGGTAACAGAGGGGGAGCGCCCCGCAGCAGCAGCAGCACAGCCGTTCTCCTTACCCCATCCTTTTGACATATTCCAGATAGCCTAACAGGATCTCGTGGTAGACGGCCGTCCGCAGTTGTCGGGGTTTGAAGAAGTGCACGCTGTCCAGGTAGGAAATGTACACTCGTCTCTGATTGGGGGGGGGGCAGTCCGAGCCGTACTCCTGCACGTGCATGCCGAAGAAACACACGTCCGCCCCGTCGATGTCCTCGAAGGCGAACAAGGCCTTCATCCTGTACGGAAAAGACTCGGCCATCTCCCCGCTGTCCACAAACCTGGAGAGGGGAAAAGACAGGATTGGGGAAAACAGCCAGAGAAGCCAATACATATCAACTCCAAGTGTAGAAGTGTTTCATTTTGAGGGCCACAAAGTTGATCATGACTGTTTCAGCAGGATTTCTGTCTCTCAAAAGCCATTTAAATCTTTCATTTTCTCACCAACTGCAGGGTGATTTAATGCAAGTCTCCCATAATTCTGTAAAATGTTTAAACTGCACGTTTGTCTCAATTCATTGTTGGGGAAAAGTCCTTTTCCACAGCTAGCACCGAGGTGATAACTCAAACAGAGTAAAACACAGGATAGCCATCAGTCATTCTACAGTGCCTTCAAATATTCATCCTCTGGTCTAATTCTGATCAAGACAAGTGTGGCTTCTATATGTAGAATAAAAATAAATAAATTCTATTCAGGTGCACACAATGGTACACAATTAGGATAATTGTCAAAGCTTGAACACTGGGGAAAATGGTTGACTCGTTCCAAACAAATGTCAGACTGGACGCTCTCGTTTGTGTGTACCTGGACTTCATGCCCGGCTTGACCTCCACCACCTTGTCTGAGACGTGGACCACACGGATGGTGACCTCTCCAGCCTCGGGGTTGCTCTGACGTTTGAGGTAGTCGTTTACTCGCGACTCCAAAAATACGCCCAACTTTGTTTGAGGAAGCCCTGGGAAAAAAGAGAGAGATTTCAATCTCATGCCCTCAGAGACATGTGTTTAGGATTCAGGGGGACGAGAAAGTTTGTGAAAAAAAATGTGAAAAAACGGGGGGAAGAAAAGAAAAAAAAAAGGGGACGAGATGGCAGCTCCACTCACTTTTGGCGGCATATTTGTTCTCTTTCCGCGTCTTGTTGACCTTTTTCAGGCAGTTGTCGCACACAAAGCTGTAATTAACGAGAAATAAACAGTTCACTTCTACACTTGCAGGTTACCATCAGCTCTGTAACAATAAGCACCGACGACAGAGACAAAGTGGCTTCAATCAAGGAATAATTTGGCTTTTTGTACAGCTCCTTCCTTTAAACAACTCTAATGACTGTAAAATGGCTCACGTCTTTTAATTACAAACAGCCCCCAGGGGGCCGTGCTATATTCTATTTGTCCTAAGTTTTCCTGAACTTTTGATCCTGCTTTTCAAAGACCGCAGATCATTTCATCCTGGATTCCGTCGGGCGGGCGAACGTTGGGAGTGTGTGCGTGAGAGCTGGCTCACCCTGACGGCCATATGGTGTCATTATGCAGGACGCAGATCTGGTGCATTTTACGACCGCAGTCAATACATTCCACAAGTCTGAGGAGAGAGAAAACAGGGATTCAAAAGACCCAAAGTTAATGAAGAGAACGAGAGAAAGCATCTAAACTCTATGCAAACCGGACACTGAAGGACTGAAGAGACAACATAAAGTCACCGGGGAAAAAAAGGAAAAAAAGAGTAATGACAAACTCGTACAGCTCAGGGTCCAGGGTGTCATTCTTCTTTCGCTGGAACTGGTCTTTGTTAATTGAGCTAAGGGAAGGAAAAAAAAAGAAACAACTGTCATTAAGTGAGTAAATATTAAATATCATCCCATTCTATCGCAGCCTGTTCTTATACTTCTTACAGCAAAAACAGAAGAGTTCAATAAAATAAAAAAAACCTCAAAGAGCCATCAATGTTTAAGGTTTCTTTTTTGGGTGGGGGTCCCATTTTAGAAACTGATCACAGAACAGTGAAGATGACTATGGGATTGTATGATTTCAATCCATCGGGGGCACCGAGAGGTAATGTTCTCATGTTTTCTTTTGTCAACCCCAGAATGACAAAACAACAGATCATGTGTAACGAACAGCAAACAAAGAATGTGCAAGAGCACACAGAAAATTCTAAAGGTCCAAGAAAAAACAAAAAATAAAACAAATAAGTTGTTTGTGATGTTTGTGTGTTAACAGAATAAGAGAAAAACCCCACGCTCAGCAAAAGGGCTGCAGTCTTGTTGCATATTTTGTGTTCATGTGGAAGTGGACTGGGTCTCTGAGCTGAAACATGGTTCAGTGGTCAGCGAGTGTGAATCAGCAATTCACGATGAGATGGTGAGATAAACTTTCTCAACCTATTGCTTGAAATTTCAGACTAGAGCTTGTTAAATGTTTAGGATGGAGTTTACTGGTTCAAAATCGTAGTCATCTACGTGTATATTTGACAAAGAAAAACAAATATATACACATAAAATATCTAAATATACGAATCAAGGAGTGGAATAGTGCTATTTATTCAAATATTACAGTAATGTGTGTACTGTGCACTGAACTCACAGCAGAAAAAATAAATCTGGACTATATTAGAGCAGAGCGACACTTCTGAAAGCATTAAGTCACTATATCTGATGCATGAAGCCATCTGATTAAAATGAAAAAAAAGAGGGAAATATGTGTAAGAAGCAGCTTTTTTGGACTGGGGCAGCATCAGTATAACCTGTATTTTTTTAGTGGTTGCATGTCAGCAGGACTTTCTACAAATCAGAGGGTTGATGATGTGTAACAAAGTTTCCCCCGGAACAAAGTGTGGGATGGAGAGAAAACACCATGTAGCCCACAACACAGACTAAACAGTGTGTGAGGAAAGAGTGAAAGAGCTCAACAACACTGAAACAGCACTACGCAGCAAATTCACACTTGCGTCAAGTAAGAAAAAGGGTCATCTGGGCGCTAGGAGAAAAGAGAAAGCGGAATGGTACTCACGTCTGAGGCTGGGAGGGGTCATCTCCCAGGGAGACACTCTCGCCTTGGATTTCGTTGAAACACTTCTCACAGAAGTGGTACCTGTCAGCAAGAAGCCCATATTTTGGTGAACTACACCGTTCGTCATCAGCACAGCCAATCACAGAGCGGGCACGAAGCAGCAGCCGCCAATCAGGGCAGGGCAGGGCAGGCCGAGGGGGGCGCACACACAGGAGGAGGCAGAGGGCAAGGTGGGTCGTCGCCGGGAGGAAGCAGCCAATCATGACGCAGGGTTTTTGGGTGGGCGCGTGTTTTGATTTTGCGCGTAAATTTTCGGAGTGGATGATCGGTCACACCAAAGCAGGCCAATGCAGACATCACAAGCGTTAAAAAAAAAAGGAGGGAGAAAGGGCGAGAAGGGAGACGGGAGGGGGA